ACGACTGGTGAGTGCAAGCGAACAATCATGAGACCTAGGTCAAACAAGATTTTCTACCATTGGCCTCCAACCATCTAATATTGTAAAAACAGAAGACAAGGGCCAGTCAACAGATCGTTTATTGAGGAAATCAACAGATATTTATGTATTTTCATGTATATTATTATAGATTATTGTTAGCAGAGAAACACAGTCTTCTGATTGCTGGTTTCTCACAGAAAGTTGTTAAACTTGCATTTCTTTGTGGCTGTTTTTTGAATGTCAGATCATCTATATGTTAACTGTGTCCGTCTACACAAAGTCTGCTGTGATTGGTTGTCGAGTCAGTCTTTGTTCACGACCAATATTGGGGACGTAAACATTGACGTAAATTACTGTCTACCATTTTGGCTGGCAGCCAGCTCTCACCACAATATAAACAATTCATCAGAGTGCAGTGCGTCGTGATGGCAAGTCACCTAGAATGATGGTCACATTACAAACCCTGTAATGACTTTGAAGTCAACTAGTAGATCGGGTGTAGTCGGATTGTCGAAACATAAGAATTTAGCTAAGGTAAGAATGGTTGACCCCGAGAAGATAAGTAATTTAGAAAAAGTTCAGCACTGTATTGCACTGCACGCATTAACACACAACTATACAATAGGGTGATAGACGGTTAACATTCTAAAAAGTAATATAAGTAGGTGGAGAGCAAGAGGGGTTGATTTCTTAATCCTTGCTCATTGAGTCACGTGATTAAGTGACATAATTAGCAAAGGAGTAAAATTCATTGTTCAACTTGTTAGTAGTATGTATAAAAATAGTTAGAAAATATCCTAGAATTATAAACGAATTTTATATATTGAATAGATGCGTAAAATCAATAATTAAACTCATGTAAGGGTCAAACAAATTTAGTTGAACAGAGAGAGAGGTCAAGGATATACATAGAGACTAAATTAGGGTAGGTAATTACATTGTCAAAACAAAATCTAATTAAAATGATTAAATTAACAGAAATAGGACAAAACAGTTCAATGCTGTGAAGGATATTTGCCTATGGTTAAGGCAAGACTGAAAACGATTTCCTCTTAGGATGCATAACTTCACTGTTAATCGTTTAATGTCAATCTCTTCAGTGAAACATATCAATATGGAGCTGTTTTGAACTTTAATTATCATAAGTGATTATAATGTATCGATTTCATGACTACTGTCTAACAAGTGGCAAACAATTGCACAACTATGGACGTTTACGCCTTTCAGACATGTCATGTCTTTTCGAACCTGGTTGGCTTTTAACACCTTCATATATTCATGGATAATCCCCATTCAGGCATTAATGAAAGCAAAGCGGCGAATTCATTTTCTTAGCTGTACAATCGCAAATATATACATATGTGTTACTTTGTATGTATGTGTACATTAAGTTTCTCAAACAAAATTACAAACCAACGTGGATTGGTCAACTAACAAGCTTCTATAGCTGGGTACCCATTCAACAAAAGCAAAATTTAATCAAATCACTTGCACCCGCATCTGATGCATCTGTAGTTCCGATGTTCTAGAAACAGAATTAGATGTACTAGGAGAAATCATCCAGAATGGATAGCTAATAAGATTCATCGACAAAAATATGAAACAAAGAATTTGTAGAAATGAAACTTCACTTGCACCTAAAAAGAAACTCTACATGAACTTGGATTTCAAGGGAGATTTAGCAAGCGATATTCTCAAGAGAAGGATCACATCATCTCTGAGAAGAACATTCTTTGCAGCAACGCTAAGTATAGTATTCTCCAGTTGCCCACTGATTTGCAGAAGCCTCAAGAACAAGATCCCGCATCTGGCCACTTCTGTATGCATATATCAGTTCACCTGCTACTGTGGAACCAGCCAGGTACATCGGTCGTTCGACGCACATCCTGTTCAAGAAGATTCAAGAACACTATCCAGCTATTTTGGTTTCGAAAATGCAATTGTGGTGCAATAAGGAGTGCTATAATTGAACACCTGGTCAACACTGATCATTCCATTTCAACAAACACCTCCTGCTTTAAAGTAATCTACAGAGTCAAGAATATTCTATCAAAGGCAATACGGTTTCGTCTTCTTTGTATCGCTGAAGCTCTGGCCATTCGCATAGAAAAACCGGAGCTGTGCATACAAGAGAAGATTACTCAATCACTTCTACTGTCATGATAACAACTTTTTTGATTTGATTTCAGTTTTTTGATTTTGATGACTTAATTTTGTTTGTTTGCCTATTTCTTTAATTGCTTAAAGTTCTTGTATTCATTCAAAATTCATACGTAATTTCGTATTATCTACTTTGTTCCTGAGTAAAAGTCACTCATCAAACTATTCATATTATTACATAACCTCTTTTTTAACAACTGTTTGTGACACCTCATCACCTACCCTTGTTACTACCCTAGTTTCATTAACACTTAATTTTCTTGACTTGTATTACCAACCTTCACTTGTTTAGTTAAAATAACAATAACCAATTGTCTTTTTTGTTTGTTTGACCATCTTAATGTACACATACATACAAGATAACACACATATGTATATTTGCGATTGTACAGCTAAGAAAATGAATTCGCCACCGAAAAGAGTCTCTTCACTGACCTTCATATATGCTGCCTGTAATTGAAGTGATGCCGACTAGATGAGTGAAACAGTTGCCTTCCTTCCTTCACTTTTCTTCGACTGATAGTCGTTGGGTTTGTTGTCGTTGTCGGTTGGGTATCTTCATCACCTCCTCCTCACTACTACTGACGCATTCTGTTGTTGGTGTTCGCTTGTAGATCTTCGAGTGTGTGTGTTTATATGAAACTGGACGTAAATCATCCATAAAGTCCCAGATCTTCTAGAGTCTGTTTATTGATCCAAGTATTCCTGTCATCTCACTCTCCCCCCCCCCCCACAGTCTTCCACATGATCCAGTCCACTACAAATCAGGAATATCACCGGCGATAATAATAATAATAATAAGCAACACCCCATGTCTTGTCTTACACTCCTGTCCTCATTTCAAATAGCTTCATTGAGTTTATTGTTACGGTTCATTGACTAGTATAAATTCATGTTTAATTATTTAGAAGTAAACAAGAAGTTGAATACCACCTAACTAACTAGTTTGTCTATTCATAATAATAATAATAAGCATGATGTGTATCACAATAATAAATTGTGAATGTATAAAGGCCACTTTTCTGTCTGTGGTGTCACTCAGACAGACCCACACGTGTATGTTGGTTGCATTGTTCAGTTGACTCATTCGATGATCTTAAGGTCAGATGATAACGAAGTGTATATACGTGTGTGTGTGTGTGTGTGTGTAAGGTCAGACAACCTAATCATATCACAAGTGAAATTCATTCATTCATTTACCTGTCACATATGAAATGTTATACATATATTGATGCATATATATTACTGACTGACTGACTTTATAGTAGTAGTATGTCTGAATTGTATATTCAACTATTATTTCTTTGTTCAATGTTCAATGAGAATGAATGCATAAATCTATTTGTTTGTCTGTTTTAAGGTGAATTATTGAAATATATTGTCAATGCATTTGTTGTAAAACTAATTTAAAATTAAATCAGTCTAAATACACACATACAAGTGGTATATTTGTTGTTATGATGTCACTCACCACTCTTATATTTCTCAATAACATTGGCATGATGAAATAGGGATGGTGAGTTTGGACACATAGGAGTTGATGACGAATACCGTTTGACTATGTCAACATCAAGAACAACATCAACGAAGCTGTATGTTGGGTATCTGTTTCCCCAGACCGCAGTATTTAGGCGAGAGCATACAACAACATGATCTGCAAAGTGTAGTCCACGCAATTTATGCATGATTCGAAATATCACCAAGGCTGTGTCATTCAGTCTGTAAGCATGATCAATAAAATATTTGGCGTTATATAACACATGCTAAAAACTGGAAAAGCAACAGGACCAGTTGGAATACCAACAGAAGTATTGAAAATGGACCCAGAGACGTCAGTGGACTGGATGACACCACCAATGGAGAAGGTGTGGAAAGAGGGAAGAAAGGTTACTTATTCAAGCTGCCAAAGAAAGGAGACTTAAGTCAGTGCAAGAACTGGCGCGACATTATGCTCTTGTCTCACCCAAGCAAAATACTGAGCCACATCATCCTGGATAGAATCAAGCACGCCCTGCATGAAAAATTTCCACCAGAGCAGGCTGGATTCAGGAGAACAAGTCATGCATCGATCAAATCACAAAACTACGGATTATTTTGAACAAAGTTTGGAATTGCAGTAAGTCGGCTCTCTATCTCATTCAACTTAATCGAATTTCGAAAGGTCTTCGACAACGTCGATCAAGAGGTGATCTGGGAACTGCTTCTCTACTACGAGATGCCGCCAAAAGTACACACCTCACCAACAGTTGTACGATAATGCTGCATGTCAAGTAATCCAGAACGGGAAACTCACGGAATCTTTCGAAGTGAAGGCGGGCGTAAGACAAGCTGGCTGTCTACTATTGCCAATGATTTTCCTGATGGGCGACAGACCAGTCCAAGTGACTGAACAATCAATGACCTTTGGTCTGATAACCTGGTAGTAGAGTCGTGGGTTCACACTGATGAAGAATCCAGTTCTCTTCTTGATTTCCAATAGTCTCTCTGACTGATGTCACTTCGTGAACAACACATCTAGCACTGATGAATAGTTGATAAAACGGTAATTTCAAGTTCTAACCCTAATCTCATGATTGATCTGTTTGTAATGTTGACAATCACTGATATTTTAAGATCGAAGGTAAGTTTAACACAAAATATTTCTCCATTAGTGCGTTTGGGGAGAGGTTGGCGGCAGCCGACGGGGAGAGGGAGGGGCTCACGAGTCTTCTTAATTTTATTTGACATCCTATTTTAATTAGTGTTTTATGATTTACTTATATGGATTTTTCTCTTTTTTCCCCTATTTATACTACTCCTATTATTGTTATTATGAGTAGGTTGAATCACCTATACTATTCAGTGAGACAAAAAGAAAAGAAATTGATAAATTGAATCTTTCTGTAGCGCATATTTCATCTTTACCGTCAACAATAACTCCTCATCACCGATAGAAGTAATCGCTAAGTGTGCAACAATTACGTCAACGACAACAATAATGACAACACCAACAATTCCCACTGCTACTACACCACCACAACCAACATCAACAACAACAACTACTACTATTGATATAGATATTAGTAATAATAATATTGCAAGTTCACATGAAAATGCAAATAGTACTACTGATATGAGTATAACTACCTCATCTACTAATCACACCAATGCTACTACAACCTTGACACTTATGTCAGCGGATGATATTCATCCAATTGATGATGCGATCGATATCGATGGTATTGATAATAATGTACAATATGATTATTTATTGAAACAAAAGAAAACGCATACCACTGGATCATTACAGTGTATTCCACAAGAGGAGATCAAAACAAACAAGAAGAAGAAGAAGCAAAAGGTGATGATGATGTTGAAGAAAGACGATAGATGTCTGTTCAGCCGTCTAGTGTATCCCATGTTCAGATATGCAAACCTTTTCAGCATCATTATCCTCCCACCGAGTATCATCACCATTGAAGTTGAATATCCAGGATGATATGAAAGTCACACCTACTTCAGCGCCATCATCGTCTTCGTCTACTACTGTTCCATCGATGGTGAATAATAAGGATAATAATAACAGTAACAATAGAAGAAGTACGGCGTCTGTTTTATCCTTGACTTCTCCTTCTTCTCCTCCTCCTCTTCCACTTCAACAACCATCGTCAAGTTTACTATCGACAATAAAAATGACTTCTACCATAGAATTGAATGCTACTGAATTACAAAATCAATCGGTATTGTTACAAGATTCATCGACTGTTTCCTCTGTCAAACTACGTAGACGGACAACAACAGCACCGACAACTGCTGGCCCCATTGCTGCTGCTCCTGCCCCTGCCGCTTCAGCAACTACGAATACGGAGGATAATCATAAAGTTTTGTCTATCGTTCCAACGTCTACTGTTACCACATCGACAATAATAGCTCACTCGCCTGTTTCTATTGTTAGCACAAATGAAATTAAAAAATCACGTGCTTCTATGATTGAATTAATTAATTGTCAAAGTAAAGATGTCTTACGTCAGGTGACATCAAGTCCAGGTTTATCATTGTCTCCATTATCACCATCAACCCAATTGGCTCAACCACCTTCACCACCAAGACCATCACAAGGAAATAAGGTAAAAAATATCGCCTTCTTTTGATCCATATGCTCATAAATATTTTTTATTAAATGACATTTGCGCGCCTTATCATCCACACACACACTGATGGTACTTAGATTATCTATTCAGGAGTTTTGTCTAGTTATAGTGATAGTTTGAAGAGACTAGTTTCTTCATATTCCTTAAACTTTAAAGTTTCAGCAGTAAAAAGTATTTATTTCTTACGGGGTGGGGTTTTTAGCCTCACACCCAACTTTCCTTCGTTACCAGCGAAATTTAAGGATGCCGTCGGCTGGGATTTGAATCCTGAGTCACGTGATGCGTGGTTGGCGAGAACTCTACCACTGAACCCGCAATGTACTGAGGTAAAAATTGTATCCACTCACTAGGTTAATGGTGTTTAGCAATGACATCTGGTACATATGTTTCGTCCGATTTAGGAAGTCGTCAATTGTGGATGTATCTGTACTCTTAAGAATTAGTGATGGTGTTTCCGCTGAGATTCAACCAACCCCTTCTTACTAGGTTGTTCTAGTCATAGTGTGAGCACTATTATTCAGGAGGATGAAAGTATATTCAAGTCACAAGTCCCACTGTTAGTGATTACTATCAAAGTGGTAACTATGATCGATTAATTCAAATGAATCAAATATTCAACACATGACTAGCGCATTTTATTTTTATTTACAATCAGCGAGGTTGTGTGCATCATGTTGCTTTGCGTTTCTGGTTCAGTGGTAGAACACTCACACACCATGCCTCACATGTTCCGGGGTTCGGTCTTCTGCCGACGCATTCTCAAACCTCGCTAAGTCAATAGTAGGGCTGGTAAAGAGGAAAGATCTGGCATGAAGCTGACTACCTCATCCTGTAAACCACTGGTACCGGAACTTCAAAGCTCTGGTTTGAAGTCCTATTTTTTTTGTTTTTGATTACAGCTTGATTCCACACCGTATTTTTGGTCTAAGTATGGAATTTTCAGCATGTGATATTGGTTACCCAGATTTTGCAGGCCGACCATAGATATCAGGTGTGCGTCGACAGGGGATCGAACCTTGGACCATGTGCATGACCGACGAGAGTCCTAACCACTGTGCCACCGACGCACTAGGAAAGTAAAGGAGTTTTATAAAAAAAATTGACTGCCTTCATCGTCGTACTGTGTTTACAGACTTACAGATATAAATTCCCGAAGCTAAAGATCGGTGTAGAAATACAGCTCTGATCCATGCATTTGATGCTGAAATAACATCGATTAATAGGGCTAATTATTTTTGTATAAATATGGACATAACAAGAGGTGGGACTAATTTAATCAACCATTGGCTGTTTATCTGATGAGTTCAGTGGAGTTTAAGTTTCTCCTCAATATCGATGTAATTATCGATCACCTGTGGTTAGACTGACTGGATTGATATTTCTCAGAGTTGTCTTACAAGAAGCAGTGAAGCAAATAAAGTGCATGTTACACGTTGTTGATTAACGCAAACATGAGGATTGGGCAAAGTGTAATATTGCGCATTTAGTTATTATCACTGAATAAAGCGAAAACAACCACTGTGATGGAGATATATTCATCATTTCATCTACTTTTCTATCAGTCTTAAGCGAGGATGTCACCTATGTCATAAGTCAAACTGGTAGCTCTTTCATTTCAGTTTACTTGCATAGAGGTATGGAATGGAGGCAACTCAAATCTACTCAGGTAACAGGATTTCATCATGTACTTGACATTGGTTAGAGAATCATTGGAAAACCTGTCAGGGAGTACTGGACATATGTTTCGTCTTAGTTTGGAACTCTTCATCAGTACGCATCCGCCGGGGTTCGATATTGTATAACGGATGTAGAGAAATGCTGTAATCCGCGAATCAGTTATTACATTTGGCTAGTTTATAGTTGTTTTATCAACTTCTTTTATACAATTAGAATATCTGCTGTGGCGTTTAGCTACACTGTGCACGAAAATACCTCGCGATTGCTTTAGTTCCCACTTATTCATGTTGTTAATTTTAAAGATTAAGAGGTGATTCTTAGTTGTTCTTTTTCTCTTTCTCTAAATTCTGCATCTGCTATAGTTCAATGGTAGAATGCTTGCTAGCCACACACACACAGCAGCTCTAGTTTCTATCATTGACCAACGTACTTCTTAAACTTCGTCTAGTCAGTCGTGTACTAGCCTGAATAAGATTCACAGTTATGCATGAGACTAGCGATCCGGCCACCAGTGGGAAGCCGTGACCAGTAAGGTACAGCAGGTCGAAGATGAGGCAGTAACTAATCGAAGAAGACATTGCAAAACGATTGCGCTATATCGTGAATTGGCAGAAGGTAGAATTCAAGAACCATTGGATGGGGTTCAAGTGGCTGACTATATGGTCCACGATCTCGCTAGCCTTGTAACCACAAGGTCCTGGGTTCGAACCCTGGCGGTGGGTGCGTAGTACTGAAGAGTCTGAAACTAGGACGAAACAACTGCCTAGTACTCCCTGGCAGGTTTTCGGGTGATTCGCTAACTGATATCAGCTCATGATGAAATCCTCTATGCAATTAAAGTCTTGTTTTCAAGAAATAATATTTGTTTGACTGACCAGTGTTTTTTGGTGTTGTTTTTTTTTTTTTTATGTATTTAGATGGGTGCATGTTTCTCCTTGGTGTTTGAAAGTTGTCCATTAAAGATCAATTCAACTGCTACATGGACTAATCCAGCTAATAATGGTAATGTCTGCTGGGCTTTATTTTTCTTTATTTATTTCTTGTTTCTCAGATTTTGCTTTTCGTTGAACACATATTGTTTGTTGTCAATAGCGTTTTACTAATACTAATGTGAACATCATGACTTATAGACTGACTAAGTTTCAACATAGAACCTTAGTAAAGAGGTGCACATCTTTTTAATTGCTTGAAAAAGAGATCACAAGGATTAAATGATACATCTGTGCTATTGATAACGATTTTCAGCCGTATCATCAATAGTCTCCAGTTATTGGTTCTTATAATCCTAAGAACCCTAACCAAGATAACCTACACCTCTGTCTACATGGCTTAAATTAACTGTCAAAGATTTTATTGACTGATTTTCTAGGGTTTGATGATGTGACTCAACCACCTCAAACACTTTACTAACCTGGTCCTTTATCGGCTGATATTGCCTGTTGTTGCGGAAGGCGATGACTAGGCATACGTAACATCTGCCCTAGCTATCTCAATCGATTTAGCTTCACAACCTCATCGATATATTTTCCCTCTTTTCCTAGTACTCGCCGACTTATCTCAGTATGATTCATACTATTATACCAACCAACACCGGAGATAGAATGCAGGCACTATGTCTGCCATGTCTCACCGTCATAGAGGAGGATGGAGCTAATTACTGCTCAGTGCAGATGTCTTTTGATCGATAGCTGGATATCACGTCTACTAAACTCAGAGATGGCGTAAACTGGCATATGCGAAACTAGCCTTCTGTGTATCCCTGATGAGATTTCGTCAGTGATCAACCCGCTGGTGTTGGCTGATGCAACTTCCTACATAAGTGAAGTGGTGAACATGTTCCACCACTTCAGTCTCTATCTTCAAGCTATGAGTCTATGTAGTCCGGTCCAGTCATGTGCATCATCTTAAATTTGACAGCAGGAGCGAATCGCATGTCAAACATTCAAAGATTGCTACTGAAGGTATTCAGAGGACTCTGCTGGATATTGTCAGCGTCTTCACTTATGAGGGAGGACTTTATCATCTGCATATTCTGAGTCAACGAGATTATTTCCTTGTAACAAGTTGATTCCTGAGTCTCTGAAGTCAGTTAGGGTTAAGTCGATTAGTACATCCATGATGAAATTAAACAGAAATGAGGACATTGGTGGGTATCCTTGATGAACACTATTGGTTGTCATCACTCAGATGACAAGTAAATTGCCTTTATTAGTGCGATTTACTTCCTCGGCTGTCTTCTCACTGCCAAACATTGCCGTAACACATCTACAGTTACATCAGAGATCTCACTTCAGAACTCTAAGCTCTGGTGAGAATGAATAACTCTATATCTTTCAACTATTATATTGGATTTCCACTTTACCGTGCATAGTTCATCTGCCTATAACGCAAATCGAGGATGAAACTTATTAATGGTGATATTGTTTGCCTATCGCATTGAATTGATATTAGTCAGTTAATGAAAAGGATCAGACTACGAATCGTCTATATAATCAGTGGGTAGCATGTCTACCAAACACGACTTGATGATTCTGAGTTGGCTATGACATGTGAAATGTAAGCCTAGTCATCTCCTTCTTCATGAGAAGAGTAAGGGGCTTAATTGGTGGAAGGTGACTAGCAGTGGAATCCAGGATAACGCACATTTCGTCCTATTTGGGACTCGTCATCTGGATGTACGTGCATTCCCTAGTGAGTAATGATGTTCCCACCGAGGCTCGAACCCAGTGCACATAGTTTCAAACGCCAGAGCGTTATCTAGCAAACCACTTGGGCCACGAGATCCACCTCTTGTGCGATGGGTCATAATGACCGCTGATGAGTCCCAAATTGGACGAAATGTGCGTTATCCTGGATTCCACTCCTCGTCACCATCCACCAAATAAATTCTATTTACATGCCTAGACATCGTCGTAGCGTCTGCACAACAAGCCGACATGTCAACTGGAGACCGAGCACTTCGGTCCAGTGAACCAACGGGAAATTCAAATAAAATAAAGGGGTTAAGTTAAATCAAAACATTGATTGCCAGTTAGAACCACTTTGAGGCGTAAAGATTGTCTGAGCCAATAAAAAATAAAAGTGATACAACTACTGGCCTGAATTCCAAGGTGATTGTATGTTTTGCATTCACTGTGGCACTGGAGAGAAGCATATTGACCAATAGTGTGTCATCTTTCGTCCGTCTTTTAGAACTCTCCAATAAAAATTACTAGTTAGTCTTCGCTCACTTATGACCGACTGATTGTCGATTCGAAATAACGCACAGAGGTGTATACTCATCAAGCTTGATTGCCTGGGAGTAGCCATCGCCTTCCTCGATCTCAATGGCTAGCGCCGATGCATCCACTCTTTGTGATTAATAATACCCAATGAAACTATATTGTTCTTCGGTATTACTATTCTTTTTGCCTTATATCTTTGTTTACTGCCTGTGTTTTGTATTTCTTTTACTTTCTTGTCTTGATTTGTGTGCTACATGGAGGGAGTGTGGCGAGTTGAACTTCTGTACATCGATGTAAAGTTCTATGTTGAAAACAGACAGACACCTCCACCAGCACACACAACCATCTGCATACAAGAACTTGTCGACAACTTCAAGTGGTTCATCTGCATGGATGATTCACAGGTACAACCTCCTGCCAATTAACTACAGTACTTTGTACTTACCGTAGTTATAAACACTGATCGTCAGCTTGATTAATTGCGATTCAGGCTGCCAGCATGTTACAGCACAGTAAAACGAAGTCGGAAACTCTTTCTTCAGGAAGCAGTTCATTTACTTAAGCACTTGATGTTCAGGCAACACGTCTCAGGTTTGAATTCTACTCTATCTTCTCCAACGTGACTATTTGAGCACTGTCTTTAGCCTCCCTTCCCACCCTTATGTACACACACACACACACACACAGAGTAAGCATGGCTCCCAGCCTTCTTCTTACGTACTGGGACCTTAACAGCATGCAGGTTGATCGAATGCTTCTTCTCACTGAATTATCGATTATCTCTGACTAACTGATCGGATTCATGGGTGATTTTTATTTCCTTAGCTAGCAGTGAAACCAAATTTAAGCAAACGCCTAATACATATAATAACACATGCACATATGTATATTGCGTGTCTAATAGTTAGCATATGAGAACATAGTACATTTTTATATGGCGGGGCTGTAAGAATTTTCAATTGCAGAGGCAAAAAATTATATGTATATATATCGAATAAAAATGTTAGTTTAAAAATTATTGATCAAATTTTTAAAATCCCTAAATTTTTTTTCTTCCTACTCATTTCGCTTTTTTCCCCCGTCTATTTTCATTTTTACTTATGCTAAATGGGAGGAGGGTAGGGGAGAAGAGACATTAGACACTCTTGTTTTTTTGCCTCTTCTGTATTTTTCAATCGATAACTATAATCTCCTTTTTTTTACGTTTCCAATGGAACGAGTTTAATCCATTTGCATGATTTCAGTGGATACGATGGTGGGATAGTTGCCAGCCTCTTGGGGTTGGTCGGAGTGGTGGTGCTAGTGGTAGAGAGGCGAGTGTGATGTAGTTTTTCGCCTACTAGTGTTGGGAGGAAGACTGGACTCGCGAGACTAACAACACACGCTCCGACAACTCCTCCTACCGCCTCCTCTGTTGTGTAACATCAAAGATTTAAAGCCCATGTGTTCCAATCGGTACTCGAAGAATGTAAGGGGAAAATAAACGTGATTTCAGAGTAGACGTTTAGCAGTACATTATTGTGTATTACGAGAATGAGTAGGATGTCAGTGTACAGTTGCTGTTTATGTGTATGTAAGTCGCAACATATGACGTTTCTAGATTGGGAAGTACAATATACCTTCAATATCTGGATTGTAGATAATTTTGTTTTAATATATAAGGCATTTGTATTGGTTCCTAAATATCATACAAAGAGTGAATTACTTGATATTTCACTACTGCATTCTGGCTGGTCTTCTTTACTAAGTTGAGTTTATTAATTTAAAAATGAAGTCGCCCTAACTCCTAGCGAGAGGAGTCCATCCGGCCGAGCGTGACGACAAGCACTTGCCGATGACATTTCCTGCTGGTCGTGCTAAAATCACGAATTGGTAGAAGTTGGAGTTTTTAGGGCCAATGGATTCCATTATAGTGGCTGGGTGGTCTACAAGCTGGTCTTGTAATCGGAAGGTTGTCTGTTCGGACTCTGGTGGGTGTGGGTACTGATGAGGAATCCCATCCAAGCTAGAAGGGAATGCCTATCCACTACTCCCTGGTTTTCATTGGTTCTCTAATTGACATCAACTTGTGGTCATGCGTGTTACCAATCAAATCCCTGTGAACCAACACTTGCAAACACTTTGAATTGTTAGACAGTTGAAGGCAATCGGTAGGAAGCTCTCTAGACTCAGGTTTTCCTGATTGCCAGAAATTGTCAGTAATGTGTGTCTGGAATCTTGAAAGAATTCATCTCCCTTCTAAGATTCGAACCCTGTTAGCCTAGTGCTGACGAGTTCGAAGAAGCACCAAAACCTGTGTCCAAAACTTCTTACCGATTTCCCCCAACTATCTAATAACACCAATTTAGAGCACACCTTACTGACTATCTACCTACAGTAATGGGCAAATTGAAAACTTTACTGATAGAATTCAAGAGTTAGTTTGTAAGGATTTAATTTGATTTAAGTTTGCCCACAAATTAACATCAGTTAGAAAACCATTAAAATCCACCCGAGAGTCTTGGATAGCTGTTTCGACAGTCTAGTTTAGGACTCATTGGCAATACACACCCACTGATTTTTGAACTCGGGATCGTCCGGCAAACATTCTTATCCGATCCAGTGGTCTATGAATTCTAATTTCTACCAATCCGGTGGTTTGTAACTGACAGGTCCTGGTTTCAAAACCTAGTGGGTTCGTACTTCCGATAAGTTCCAAACTGGAACAAGATATCTGTTCAGTAGTACTCCATCGTGGTTTTCACTAGTTCCCTAGCTGATATCAATCCGTCGGCAAACTTGAGAGAATTCAGTCTCCACCACCATCACCAAGGACTAGATGCTACTACCCTAGTATCCATAACACTTCTTCAGGAGGTCAATCACCAGCTTAAATAACTGAGTGTTAACGTCTCTGTCTGCAGCGTTCAGTGACCTGATTTAAAATCTTCGAGGGGATATGAGTTCCTTTATGACAGCAGATACTTTTTGCTGATACGAAGTTCAACAAGCACGAAATCAGAGTCCAAGGCCTCCTACCGACTGTCTCCGACCCCCTAACAACAAATGAGTATATTTCATAATATTGTGGTAAGTATTGACAGCTAATATTATAAATGGTTTAATGGTTTTATTACTATTTCTAAGACTGACTACTGTTCAGGAAGGAATTCAATAATACCTTGATGATTTTAGTATTAAAATATACACTTAAATGGCTTATTTTTAACAATTCTTTTTTCTCTTCTTCTGTAGGTCAAGTGATCCTATTTGGAACCAATGATGGTATATATTGTTTGAATTTAAAAGGATTAGCTGAAAACTCTCTGAATTGGTAAGTGTAAAACATGCTTTATTCTCACACACACGCACAATACACTGTCCTCCTCCCTTAGCCCCCCCCCCCCAGCACATCTCAGATTTTATATCTCCTTCATAAAATTACACTTTACTATTATAACATATTGCCTATGAATGTTTTGATTACATCTTGAAAGATATGATTTTTGTGGTAGGTGCATATACACGTTTCGTTCTGTTTAGGCTTTCATCAGCTAGCCGTTGTTGTCTAGAATGTGTCTTACCTACGCCTACACCAACTCCGACTATAATCAATAAATTTTTGAAGGTTGGTGAAAAATATTGTAGGGTATCCTACGTCGATCAAGGTTTCTTGTTTGCTTCTTCCAGCACTTGTCTGTAATTGGTTGTTTTTTTCAAAGTATCTTGTGAAAACTAGATTCTTCCTTAGTGATTAGGATCCCGGTGCCAAGGCCGAATTGTGCTCTAGAATTACTACAGTTATCCATGTAGTATGTATGATCTAAGGAACCCCATAGCTGATATAATGCGCCGTTTGAGGTTTCACCGGTTTAAGTTATGTACTTAAACATTCCTGGCTTAATGTCGGAGACAAGCAGGACTAATCGTTTATTCACATACTAGTGTAACGACAGAAGACAAGGGCCCAGGCAACAGATCGTTTATTGAGGAAATCAACAGATATTTATAGATTTTTATTTACATTATTATTCGTTATTACTAGCAGAGAAACAGCGTCTTCTGATTGGTTGATATCCTGCTGAAAGTTATTCTGTCATCTCTTTGTTACCGTTTCTTTGAAGGTCAGACAATATATCTGCTAGTCGTATCCGCCCAGACCAAGTTGGCTGTGATTGGTTGTTGAGTTAGTCTTTGTCTCGTGACGCTGATTTGGACGTAAATACTGACGTAAATTACTGTCTACCAACTTTGGCTGGGAGGCAGCTCTCACTACACTAGTACACCTTTTGATTAGGTATTGGTTTTCAGGAGAACTGAACGTACCTATCCCTGTCTCTTGAGAGACGAGACCTGCATAGAGTACCATCCTGTGGCGCAATCACTCGACAGCCCTCTCCCTTGGTAGAGCATTTGCACTGTTAGTATATACGATAATGCATAGGTAAGCGTAGTTACACCGATCAGTTGTATACTGCTTAGACAAGCGCAATGGAGCCTATCTCGCATGCAAAACCAGCCAAACGTCTTATTCTAGGCAAGAATAGCATGCATAGCGACGCTATAGTGGCACAGACTCTTATAAATGAATGTAAATATGGGACTTGGACACTGTGGTAGAATGTAATTCTATATTAGATATTATTATTATTATATTATTGTTTCTTTGGGTTCCTAGTGTGGAACATAGGGCTTCAACTGTGCACGTCTCCACTTGCCACTTCTGTCTTGCTTCTGCTGTACTTTTCACCAACTTTAAACACAAGGAGAGACACTGTTTAACCTGGCGACCCCCATCATCAAACCAACGCTGGACACAAATAGACCACATAGCAATAAGCTATCGTTGGCGTGGGTCGGTAGGAGATTGTCGCTCCTTCTGGAACACGTGTGTAGATACCGATCACGCACTGGTCCGGGCTCGTGTGTGCTTACGACTGAACGGACGTAGGAAACAGCTGGCGGTAAAACCATCACGTCCCCAGCTCGATCAGGAAACTAAATCCCTATTTGAGGAAGAACTAGCTAAACGCATATCTGAATTCGACAGCTGTGCTCACCCTGGAGAAGCCTGGAAGAATATTCAGTCAGCTATAGATACAGCTGTAAAAGCTGTGAATAAGGCAAATCCAAAGGTGAGTAAAAACCACTGGATTTCGACTGCCTCATCCGAACTGATAGATGCTAGAAGACTTATTCCGGCGAGCTCCGAATTCAATGAGGAGCGAAAGCTGCACAAAAGGAAACTTACTAAAAGTCTCCGCAAGGACCGTGAACAGTGGTGGGTGACAAAGGCAAAAGAGATGGAAAAAGCATCGGCGATAGGCAACTCTTTAGACTCATCAGGAAACGGGTGGGAGAAGGCAAATCATAAGTGAGACTATTTCTGAGAAAAATGGCTCCTTAATTAGCTCTCAGGATAGACGCCTTGAACGCTGGAAAGAACACTTTGAGGACAATTTAACTTGCCTACAGCCACACTGAACCTCCCCACATCCACCACGTACCCGAATGGGATATAGACACTGGTCCGCCGTCTGTAAGTGAGGTCACAAAAGCTATCAGTAATTTGAAACGAGGCAAAGCGGCAGGACCCGACGGAATTATTCCGGAGGTGTTTAAATATGGGGGTGACATACTAGTTTGTAGATTAACTGAGGTACTAGGCAAAGTCTGGGAATCAGAGACAGTGCCATCAGACTGGGGTAAGTCACTTATTATACCGATATTCAAGAAGGGAAACAAGTCCTCGTGTGATAATCATAGGGGGATCAGCCTAACGAACATAGTCTCTAAAATCCTAGGCTCAGTAATCATGCATAGACTAAGCAGAACTCGGGAGGAACAGACAAGGGAAAATCAAGCAGGCTTTAGACCAGGTAGAGGGTGCATAGATCATATCTTCACTCTTCGACAGATTCTAGAACATAGACACACTTTTCGGCGTCCAACAATTGTCATATTTCTTGACTTGAAGGCGGCCTTCGACTCCGTGGATCGAAAGGTACTATGGCAATGTCTGACTGTGAAGGGAGTGCCAAGAAAGTACATTGCACTAATCAAGGCACTCTATTCAAACTCACGTAGTCGTGTAAGGGCTTATGGGGAATTGTCATCTGAATTGGTAACAACCAGTGGTGTCCGACAGGGATGTCCACTTTCCCCATTTCTGTTTAACTTCATCATAGATGTGCGTCCAACAGTCATTATATTTCTTGACCTAAAGGCAGCATTCGACTCTGTCGATCGGGAAGTTCTCTGGAGATGCTTGGCTGTAAAGGGAATTCCGAGAAAATATATTGCACTGATTAAGGCACTCTACTCGTACTCATACAGCCAGGTGAGGGTTTACGGCGAGTTGTCATCTGAACTGGTGACGACCAGTGGTGTCCGTCAAGGATGCCCATTATCTCCTTTTCTATTCAACTTCATCATAGATGTGTTAATGGACTTAACCCTAGGTGACTTCAGCGATTCAGGGATTGACTTGCTACCTGGGAATAATCTCGTTGACTTGGAATATGCAGACGATATAGTCCTTCTAGGCGAAGACGCTGACAAAATGCAGAGTCTTCTAAACACCTTGAACAGCAATCTACGAATGTTTGGCATGCGATTCGCTCCCGCCAAATGCAAGATGATGTTACAGGACTGGACTACATCGACGCCTAGTTTAAAAATAGGAAGTGAAGTGGTAGAGCACGTTGACTGCTTCACTTATTTGGGAAGTACCATTAACCCCAACGGGTTGATCTCTGACGAAATCTCAGCACGAATACAAGGGGCTCGTTTCGCATTTGTTAGTTTACGCCGACTCTGGCGTAGACGAGATGTTCGACTATCGACCAAAGGGCGGGTGTACTGCTCATCAGTCCGCTCCGTCCTCCTTTATGGTTGTGAGACCTGGCCACTGAGAGTGGAAGACATGAAAAGACTAGCTGTCTTTGATCATAGGTGCCTGCGTTCTATTTCCCGTGTAAAGTGGCATAATAAGGTGAGCAACATGGAGGTTAGGCGTAGAGTTCTAGGTAAACAGGGGAAATCAATCGACGAAGTCGTGAAGCTACAAAGACTGAGATGGTTAGGACATGTGTTACGTATGCCAAGTCATCGCCTCCCTCGACGAGCTATGTTAGCGGATATAGGGTCAGGCTGGAAAAAAGCTAGCGGCGGTCAAACCAAAACATGGCACCAGTCAATGAAATCCACAACAGTTGGTCTAAGCCACGTAGGAAGGTGTAGACTTCCAGGCTGGGGTCCTCGGGACGGTAAAAATCTATGGTTGGAAACAATTGGTGACATGGCTCAAAATCGTTCTCAGTGGCGCAGATGCATCCACTCCCTGTGACTTATGATCTTCAATGAAACTGTTTTGTATTTCTTTATTACTCCTTTGTCTCACACCTCTGCTCACTGTTTCTATTATGCTTTTCTTGTACTTTCTTCTCTTGCTTCGCGTGCTACACGGAATGTGGCGACTTGAACTTCCGCACATTTGTGCAAAGTTCTATGTCGAAAACAGACAGACAGACAGATATGCTAATGGAAGTATACTTAACTGAACGTAATGACTTAGGAATCGACTTGTTACCAGGGAATAATCTTATGGACTTAGAATATGCAGATGACATAGTCCTGTTAGGGGAGGATGCTGAAAAAATGCAGAGTCTTCTGAACACCTTGAGCAGCAATCTTCGTATGTTTGGCATGCGATTCGCCCCTACGAAATGTAAGATGCTGCTACAGGACTGGACCACGTCAACTCCTAACTTAGTGATAGGGAGTGAAGTGATAGAACATGTTGACCACTTCACCTACTTGGGAAGTTGTATTAGCACCAACGGACTGATTGGCGATGAAATCTCAGCACGGATCCGAAAAGCTCGAGCTGCTTTCGCTGACTTACACCATCTCTGGCGTAGGCGTGACATCCGGCTATCAACCAAGGGACGTGTGTACTGCTCATCAGTTCGCTCCGTCCTTCTCTATGGCTCTGAAACATGGCCAATACGCGTTGAAGACATGAAAAGGTTGACTGCTTTCAATCATAGATGTCTGCGATCTCTGTCTCACGTTAGGTGGTTTCACAAGATAAGTAATGTTGACGTTAGGCGTAGAGTGTTTGGCGAAGAGGGAAAATCAATCGACGAGGCTATAAAGTTACGTAGATTGAGATGGCTAGGTCACGTGGTGCGCATGCCTAACCATCGCCTCCCCCGACGGGCATTGCTAGCTGATATAGGTTCAGGTTGGAAAAGAGCCAATGGTGGCCAAACAAAAACATGGCCTCATCAATCCATGAAATCCTTGACAGTTAAACTGAGTTAGGTAGGGAGATGCAGACTTCCGGGTTGGGACCCTCGGGACTCTAAGAATCAATGGCTGGAGACAATAGGTGACATGGCTCAAAATCGTTGTCAATGGCGCAGATGTATTCAGTCTCTGTAATCTTTCATATTCCTTTCTACCATTACCCATTCTGTTTCACTCTTATATTTGTCAAACTGTATTGATTCTCTTCACTCATCTTCTTGTCTACCTCTGTGTGCTATTTGGAAGGTGGCAACTCGAACTGGTGCACTTGGGTGCCAAGTTCTATGTTGAATCCAGACAGAGACCTGCATCCATGTTAGTCCGTACTGACTGTTTCAACTCCTCTTCACACGATCTCCTCCATTTCACCCTTGCACCGACGTCCCACTCGCCGCTTCCCATTCTGTCGGGTTCCACTCGAGCATTGGCCTGACGCGCGCGCGATGTCACACAACGGTGGCCTCCTCAGCCACGAGTGTCCAATCCATCTCAATCCACTTTCTCCTGCATATTTGTTGGTTGGCGATTGGTTCTTGCTTTGTTTGTTCCCATAGTTTCTTGTTGGCGATTGTTTCCGACACGGCCATCTGATCTTCAGTATAGAGCCAGCGAAGACAGTTGTTAGTTGATAAAGGTCTGCAACAGGCTGTTGGAAATATTCTTTGTGACCCGCCTGTCAAGTTTCTGATCCGTATAGAAGGACTGACTAACTTGACGTTGTTTGTATTGAAAATCCGACTGAATTTTGTTGTTGCTGGTGAGTTGAGTGACGAAGATTTCCAGATCAGGTTGGTTGATGAATGTGTTTCTCGACTTCCCGATTCTCACTCAATTTGACATCCTGGTCTGTTCCTACTTCCTGTAGGTTAGACAATGCTCCCTAGATGATAAGTGAATGAATGAGGTAACCTCTTTCAAATCCGTTCCATTGATGGTGATTGGCACTGGATGTTGCTGCTGCTGTTATTGTTGTTGGTTGGTTGGTTATTTTCATAACCTCCGTCTTGTCTATGTTCACCTGGAGTCGTGTCTTCGTCGGCTGCTTCTTCGACTACATATTGGATAAGTTTATTTTTAAATATCACACAGCCATGCAGTATAAACAACTGTATGACATTTTGAGCATAAATTAATGCTGCTCATAATCATATCAATTTTAGTCATACAGTTTCACAATTTGTCATATATATATATATATATATATATATATATATATTCTGTCTGTTTGTTACCACTTTTCCGAATGCTGCACATGTGTGGTGTTGAATCGATAAACAAAGATTCACTAATCAATCTCTTGCTCGCACACTCTAGCTAACTATATTACTGTGGATTGCTTTCACCATGTACCCCCACCCACCCTTTTGTGTGATTACATGCAAGTGAATGCAGTGCCATGGATGAGCTCTGCTTTTTTCTAGGTTATTTAATTTAACAGGGTCAATTATTCTGCGTGTAGCTAAATTTTGTTATATTCTAATAATCTAGTTGACCTCGATCTATTAGTTTGACCTATGTGTAATTGACGTCACAGGCATTAATTACATGATATTTGGTAAATTATGTTCATTTTCCTAATTGAATCTATTGGGTCCTTAAACTGATAAAGTTTATCTCTGAGAGAGTTGGTTAGTTGGTTGGTTTCAATGCCACCCTAATTCCAGCCTCACCGAGAAGCCAACACTAGCGAAATTTAAGGAAACCGTTATCCCTGTCAACCAATTTAACATACAAATGGCCTCTATATGTCAACTAAGATAATAGAAAACTATCCACAATCACATAAGTGAGCTATGCGAATGGCATAAATCGTGCGCCTACCATCTATATGGCTTCTGCTATAGTTACTGTAAGATTTATGGGTAGTAAGCTGGACAGCCTAGCTTAGCTCTGTTAAGCCAAAACTTTACCAAATTATCCAACTTAAAATAAAAGCTTGCAGGTGTGTATTGAAAGGCAAAAACAAAACAGTGGTTCTCTAACTGATATCATCTCATGATGAAATCCGGCAGCCAATCAAACAAATTCCCCACAAAAAAAAACCCACCAATACTTGAAAATTAATCTGATGCTCACTAGTGACTGGCGCTATTCTCAGGCAGTGACCTGTACCTGTGGTGCTAGTGGGAAGCCGTGACCAGTAGAGTACAGCAGGTTGAAGGTGAGGCAGTAACTCGTTGAAGAAGATATTACGAAGTGGTCACGTTATGTCGTGAATTGGTAGGAGTTGGAATTCATGGACTGGTCATTGGATAGGGTTCCAGTTGCTGGCTGAATTGTTCACGAGCTCGCTAGCCTTGTAACCAGAATGTCTTGCGTTGGAATTCCTGTGGTGAGTGTGTACTGATGAAGACTCCCAACCTAGGCTGATGAAACAACTGGCGGCTGTTTGGCAGTACTCCCAGGTGGTTTTCCAATGGTTCTCTAACCAATGTCAGCTCATGATGAAATCTTCCAACCGACTGAACTAAATTCCTGCAAAGCTACCAATACTTTAAAATTGAATAAAAATCGTAAGGGGTATATAGAGAGGAAATAATACAGGTCGGTGGTGCAGCGGTAGAATGTTCGCCAACCACTTATGTAGTTCGGGGTTCGATCCCCCGCCGACTCACTCCTTTACCTCGCTAAGCCAGTAGTAAGACGAGTAAAGGGGGAAGGTGGGGTATGAGGCTAGCATCCTCATCCTGTAAAATGTACACGACTACTACCGAAACTTCAAGCCTCTAGCTTGAACGTAAAGCAATAAAAAGAAGGAAAATAATTGCATAATATTGTCATGTAGTTTTTTCTTAACGAAGATAGAATGACTGAAAAGGGTCAACACTTGTTCAATCAACACCTCATGAGCATCTGTCACAACAGACTTATCATTCAGAGTCATTTACAAAGTAGGCAGAAATCTATTGTGAATAAAGTGTGGTACTGACTTCTTTGTTTTCAACACTGTAGAAATCGGAGGTATGTGTTTCTACAGAATCTAGTTCACTCTCTACTTCTGCTGTGCATCATTCCGTCTTCACGCACATCCTGTTTACACCTGTCTTTGTTGAACACTATTTTGCATATATTACGTAACGATTTTTTTTCATAATCCTGTATTGCCTTATTTCTACTAACCTTATGATTTATGTGTACTATTTATCGCACCTGGTAACTTTTATAACAATTTGGAAATTTATTATCTTCTATAATGTTGTCTCCCTTCGTTACTGGGGGTGGTTATATCAAGTGGGTCTCACTATTAAACAACAACATTAATCCACTCCCTTCCTTCTAACTAGGACTGACAGGTGAAGGGATCCAGTTGGATAACTAGTTTAATGATAACTGGGCAGTATAATATTTTAGATGGCTGGAGGCAATCAGCAGGTAGCCTTGCCTGACCTAGGTTTCGTGCCTGTTGGAACTTGTCAGCATGGCGTATTTGCAATCTTGTAAGGAATTCATGTCCCTTCTGAAGTTAGAGCCATGGCCATCCGGTGCTGCAGTCAGAAACGTGATCACTGAGCTATTCGAGCTCGTGACTTCTTTGATTGGACAGTAGTTATTATCTAGTGCAATGTGTTGAGTCCTTTGCTGTTGAGAACCAAGTAGAGTGAAATCTTGGTCCAAGACTTCCTGTAGATTGCCTCCAACCGTCTGATATCAACAGTGCACAATCGTGGTGAGGTAACCCGCAAATTTGACTGATAGAATTCAGTCTGCTTCAAACAAAGGACTAGACACGCACGACGTTAGTTATAATTTAGTGTCCAATCATATTAAGTGGACTAAACCCCCCTCTTTCGCTGTAAACGAAATAATCTTTAGTTGTCATGTAGAATAGTTAAGTATAGGGTCCATTACATACATCGCTGGGTCACCTAAAATTTCTTTCACTTCATATATTGGGGGGGGGGATTGTTTGGCAATTATAACCACACACTGGTTGGATACGTAGTCCTATCTAAGGGAGCTAGGAAACCCTGATTTCAAACCTGCGGTGTACATAGCTCCCAGAATTCGAACGTATCGAGTGGTATATGAACCTATTTAGGCCACTGGAAGCCATGGGAAAGCAACTCGTTACTCTGCTATACATACTGATTGTAAGCCGAACTTCAAGTCAAACGAGGTGCCCACCTTGAGACAAGCACCTTATTCAGTTTGGGCGTCTGAGCAGTATCCCAGTCTTTTCAATAGCTGTGCAATTTTGTGTGGCGCATCTCTTGGTGCCTATAGCGGTACCAAGTAAAATATTTCAGGGAATCCGATCTTGCTTCTGATCGAACAGTATTGTATGATATGATATTTCTATACACTTTTACAAGAAATATTATGTCAAGTTTACTCGGTGGAAATATGTACGGAAAAGAAGGGGAAGTTGAACGTTTGGCTAGCAATCAATAATACCTCTACTGAAACTTCAAATGAGCTCGAAATCCCGTTTTCCATCCACTCGGGAATCTATGGAATAAAACAGACAATCTCTACAGGTTTGATCATGAGTTGGCATCATTATGAAAACCAGAGAGCACTAGACAGCCTCTGTTTCTTCCTAGTTTGAGGCTCTTCAGGATTACGTCTCCCACCGGAGTTCGAACCTAGGACATCCTGGTGACATGGTGAGTTCATAGACCATTCGTCACTTGGATGGAAGCCCTATAGCCCATGAATTTCAACTTCTGCCTATTGGGGATACATTTATAGCGCAATAGCCGAGTAACCTGACTTGGTGGACTCTTACCTTGTAACCGAAAGGTCCTGGATCCTTGCAAACCATCACTTGAGAGATGATCACTAATCACTTATCTAAATGACTTATTTTATGAGCGTTTTAAACTCATCTAGGGCTTGTTTATTCTTCTATTTTTTCTTTCTCTCTGCTTACTAGTTATTTCCACGTCGATGTTTATGGTTATCTGTAACACGAGATACTATGATGTCATTGTCTGGACGTCATCCACAGCTATATGCTCACAATCTAGTCTCACTAATGAAATTAAAATCACAAGGTCATCCTATGTTTGGTAGTGGTGGTGCCGGGAGTACTGTGGCTGGGGGCGGCAGTGTTGTTGGAACTCCTTCAAAATTTGGGAAATTTGTCAAACTTTTCCCTAAGTAAGTTTTTTTTCTTGTTTGTAATATTTATTATTATTATTATTCGCTGGCTCTACAACTGTACACATGAGCTCCTCACACGATCTCTTCAATGTCACCTTTGGAGTTACGCCCATATTGTCTTTTCCTATTCGGATCACACTTTAGGGTGTGCTTGTCATGTGACAGTTTCCCATCTGTCTTTTCATTTTCTTCGTCATATTTGTTGAACGATAGGTACTTGGTGCGTTCTTTGACTACCAGAGTTCATTTTTGCTCATCTTTTCTGGTTGTTCATCCAATCTTCAGTATAAAGCGAATGAGGAAGACAACTGTTGATAAAAGTTTGAAGCCTGTTGATAATGCTGTCCGTTATGCGCCAAGTCACTGAATCATATATATAGAAGCACTAACCGATTTGACATTAGTACTGAAAATGCGAATATTATTCCTCTATGCCTACAGTACAGTAGATTTCTGCGCAAATTTCAAAGGGGTTGATATCTGTGTTTTCTTCCTGGTTCTGACTCGTTTTTTACATCTTCATCCATGCCGACTGTCTATATATAATCTAAGGTTGCTTAACTTCAGTGATCGGAAGAGAACCAGCGTTTTTTTTTAACGTGGAATGGTTGCCGACATTTGGAGTTTATTTCGAGTGTAAAAGAAAAACTTCTAGTTAGATTGCTTCTGTTTATGCCTCCTCCACCCACACATTCTGTTTCCAGGGGGGAACTTTACACACAACTTCAAAGAGGCAGAATCTTTCTGGATTATTTGTGAATCAAGAAAGTTTTTTCACGATGCAGTCTAATTTCCAAATGTTGTTTTTTTTATTAGTTTTCAAGGGTTGATTCTCGTGGATTTAATTGGTTACAGGTTCGATCACGAGCTGAAGTCAATTAGGGAACTATTGGAAAACCGTCTAAGAGTACTGGACAGCTGCCTCGTCCTGGTTTGAGTACTCTTTTTTTAACAGCAGGGTCCTAAGTTCGAATCCCGCTGAATGTGTACTGATGAAGAGTCCAAACCTAGGGCGAAACAGCTGTTCAGTTCTTTATTAATTCATGACATGAAAACTCTTATAAAATAGCTTGTTTATATTGAAGTTGAAGATGTTATAGCTGAGCCATTCAAGTAACAACAATTGATAGATGTCAGTTAGTTATAACTCAGTTAGCCTGTTCACGGTTTTCTTAGTACCGACCTGTGAACTTATACTTATTTTGTTTTTGACGTTTTATAATACTATCTAGTTGCTCATAGATTGAATTAAACACGATGGGATTCGAAGCCCCAGGCCTTATTGGCTTCAAAAGTTGAATGCCTAAATTATAGCAAACCAACAATTGACCACTGGATATTAGTAGGTAACTTCTGTATCTGATTACAGGTGGAACGAGTGAGGATGTCAAAGTCATGGTGCAGACTTAGAAGAGCGAGACAGATATTCATCACTTAAGGAATAATTTGGAAATCTTTTGCATTGTGCAGGATAAAGAACAATATTGAGATTTTCAAGACTAATGTCGACTTAGTTCTGTGTACGTCTGAAACTCGACAGGCACATTAAGGAAGACTTTTGTCACCTACGTGCGTCGGTGGTGGTGGCACAGAGGTTAGGATGCTCACCGACCATGCACATGATCCGGGGTTCGATCCTAGGCCACCGACGCACTCCTTTACCTCGCTAAGCCAGCAAGCAGTAAGACTGGTAAAAAGGGAAGGTTGGGCATGAGGCTAGAATCATTATCCTGTAGAAATGAACACTACTGCTACAGAAACTTCAGCAAATTCTAGCTTGGAGCCGCCCTATGCTCCACTGGGAACGTAAATGAATAATAAATAAAAAAATCACCAACTGCTTTTTTCTCACTCACCACTGAAGACCAGATGGCCTCAGAGAATTAGCAACAAAACCCTCTAGGAACAAACTAATCAAGAACCTACTGACCAATAACCACGCAGAAGAAAATTGTTACCATGATATGATTGGGATTGCTTGAAGGTGAAGCTGGACCAGTCTGTTGGTTGACGAACATTCTATTTTTGTTAAATAAAAATTTTGACCTTTTAGAAAAAAAAAATGGAGATGGATATGACATACTCTAAGAAGACAGTCGAATGACATCGCACGACCAAACATACCCTCTATTGGAACCGGACTGGGGGAACGACAAGTTGGGGGTGGGTCCGAGGGTGACATTGAGGAGATCGTGTTAGGAAAAGATGACAGGATATGAGCGACCGTGGAGCCAGCCAGATGAAGAAGACTACAGTGAACAGGAGGAGATGGAAATGTGCTATTGTGAAGGGCCTATCTTATCTCTGAATTGTCAATTTAGTGTATATCTGAAACCCTAGTGAGTGTGAGGAATGGTGTTTGAAATAACTGCACATTATATTTCAATAAATTGACAAAAGAAGGGCGCTTGGATGCTATTGTGGTGCTTCCTCCAATAGTCAATGTGTTAGATTTCTAACTTGAAGGTCCTCAGTTCAATCTTTCGTTGTTGGAGCCATAGATTGGTTATGCTGTAGAGTCCCAAATTTGAACGAAACAACTATCAATAGCTCCTGTTGCTTTTCAATGACACTTTTTGAATAATACTTAATCACATTTGCCAATTTAACTCTTTTGTTTATGCTGTTTTTCTTTATTTGCTTTTAAAACACAGACGTTTTTCACCATCAAAAAAGATGCCAGATACAAAAGGTTGTCGATGTGCTAAGGTAACACGGAATCCATTTAATGGTGCAAAATATTTATGTGCAGCTATGACTAATGAAATTTTAATCATGGAATGGTTTAATCCAATTTCATCATTTATTGAAATTAAACGGGTAAGTTGTATGCATGTGTGAATGTATGAGTGTGTGCACGTAGTTTTTTTTGCTCAAATCGATTGTTTTTGCATTGTCTTGTATTTTTTACACACATGCTGAGGAGCCCGTTGAATGAATGAAATTGCGTGCTAGCCACACCCTGGAGTGGAACCCTCGACTGGGAAACAACAAGTTGAGCGTGCTGCGTCTGAGAGTGATATAGTGGCGATCAGAGAATACGGGTCATGCTAAGGGGCTAGCTGGAGAGGACTTTTACTCGAACTCATGCAGTCGGCCAGATGAGGGCTTACGGGGGAGTTATCATTTGAAGTAGTGACAACTAGTGGTGTACGTCAGGGATGCCCATTATCCCCATCTCTATTCACTTTCATCATAGATGTACTAATGGACTTAACCTTAACTGTTGACTTCAGAGTCTCAGGGATTGACTTGCTAGAATATGCAGATGATATAGCCCTCCCTCCCTGTTAGGTGAAGACTCTGACAAAATTCAGTAGAGTCCTCTGAATACCTTGAGTTGAAATCTTAGAATCTTTGACATGCGATTCTTTCAAGTGTCAAGTGTAAGATAATGCTACAGGACTGGACCACAGTGACTCCGTAGTCTAGAAATAGAAAATGAAGTGATAGAGCATGTTGACCAGTGGAGAAAAAGCCAATCTAAATTAAATTTGATTATAAAGGTTAAAAAACATTGTAGTAGTAGTCAACAGAAGACTGAGTATGTTACTAGTCAGAGCCTATTCTGCAATTAAGCTTACCGCCGTCTACCGAACAACTTGCTCTTTGGTGTAATCGAAAATCGATAGATATCCATCCTTCTCATGTTAACTCCAACTGTATATACAAATTTACTTGTATCTGCGGGAGCAGTTACACTGGAAGAACAGAAAGAAGAAAGGCATATCTACGATTTTCTGAACATGTACCAAAAAGCTTATGTCTAAAGGGAACAAATGTTTTAAACAGTTCCATCGCCAGACATCTTTTTGACACGGGTCATGAGGTGGACGTCAAAATGTCGTTCAAAATTATCAATATGCGTGAGGGAGCTCAATTCTCCGGCCAGAGAATGTGAGATGTAAAAGAGCAGAAGAGAATGTGTATGAACGAATGAATGGATGATTATAGCTTCATTCCAAAACAGTACTTCCGATACAGAATGGAATTCTCAGCATTTTACTACAGTATTGCATCCAATTAGTAAATTAACAATAAAATAAAATTCTACATAGATTAAATGTATTAAATATTCCTATAGTAAAATTTAGAACAGCACATTTAAGCGAACAATATTGTTTTCAATTGGGTCTCATCACGGGCTTAACTCTAATATACCTACATAAGTTTACAAATAAAAATTCAAATATAAACCAATCATGGTGTTTTGTCTATAGGATAATAAGATGATGAATATAAATTGTGCAATTAGTCATAATAGTGGTAATGATAATATTAATAATAGTAATAACAATAATAATGGTCTTATCAATAATAAGGATGAAAAAATGAGGCAATCTGTGATAACACGAATAATGAAAAAACAGCTTGATTAAGCAAACAAGTAAAACAAATGAACCGATTACGTAATGTTAGATTGTAAGGGAAGGAAATGAAATCTCAGTTAGTTTTGACAACAACATATTAGCATGTCGGTAGCAAAGCCAAAAAATAAACAGAGTGTTAGGTGTTTAGAGAAAAGTAGGTTCTCTAGCATATTTACTGGTGTAATCAGAAGAAAGAAACAAAGCTGCACAGAAAAAGAAAAGAAAGAAAGAAAAACGTTGAACCTATAGAAGATATGAATTGGAAAGACGAGATCCAGTTGTTCTACTGACTATTTAATAAGTTAAAGGTTTCACGCCTAATGCTTTCTTTATCGCACAGAACACGAGCTAAGTAGGGTATGGTTGAGTTTTCGTACTTACTAGTGCGAGCATATAGTTTTCTATATACGCTTCTGGTCCTGACTGAGGAGATACACGGGGTGAGTTGTGAATGAAGAGGATGGAGTGAATTAGGTAGAACGGATATAGCCCATTTTTCACATGAGTCCAAGTGCCGTTGTCAACCAGAATATTAACAAGATGGTTAAGTGGCACTCTGTGGCTTACCCTGCTGACAACCTTTAACATCCTACGTAATAAGGTATAGTCTTTCTTCAGTAGCCCTGGAAAAAACTGAGGGGGAACAATAGAGAATAATAGGCAGAATACGGGAGTTAATGAATTGTAGGAGTAAGAGTTGGGTTAAACCAGAATGTCTTAATTTCTTGATGTAGAGGGCAAGACGGAATATTTTCCTTAGAAATCATCAAGATATGAGACGACCAATAAGGAGAGATCAACAGATAGAATGACGCCTAGGTATTTAATTTCTGTTGTATCGTTCTCAATCATTGATAGATGTTACACGTGAGATTTATACAATAATAATAATAATAATAATAAATCCAAAAATTGTGAACACTTGATTCATTCAATGTACTTCTGCATTGCTTTTCGTACTCTCATATTTATGTATTTCTGTTTGTTTTTTTTTGTTATTTTTGTCTTACAGATACTTATACCAGACATGCCTTCACCTTTGTTAAATTTTGATTTATTAATTGTGAAGAATTTGCCTTTACCATTTGTATGCCTTGGTGTTTATCGACATCATTCACGTAAAGGTCGAGATGGTCAACGTTTTCGTTTACATCTGATTGATTTGAATAGTAATTCTGGACCATCACCGTCGCCATTACCATCAACTCCAGTACCAGCGCCAACTTCAGCTGTAGTAACACCTTCACATCCTCCGACTTCATTAATGACACAACAGACCTCATCAGCAGCAATAAGAACATCTCCACATTCTGTACCACAATCACCAGCTATTCGTACCACTCCACCGACGACAACAACAACAGCAACAACAACAACGGGTGATTCATCTTTACCCAATCATCAATCAGTAGTACAGCCTATTGGTGGGGGGAATGATGAGTCGGTTCAGGTAAACAGCAATACGAGTAGCGGTTCTGCGATAATGAGTAAAACGCAACAATTGAAAGCTGAATTACAACGAAAAAACACTCAATTTTTGCGTAAGTTTATCAATTGGTAACATTTTTCTTGTTTTTTTTAAAGGATTTTGTGTTTGATTGCATGGAGGATTTCATCACTAGCTGAGGTCAGTTAGAGAACAACTGAAAAACCCGCCAGGGAGTACTGGACAGCTGTTTCGTCCTAGTTTCGGACTCTTCATCAGCACGCTCTCACTATTAGGGTTCGAACCCAGGACACTGTGGTTACAAGACCAGCTAGCTCGTAGACCATTAAGTCACTGGGACCCGATCCAAAATGGCTAGCCGATGAACTGCAACTTGTGCCAATTCACGACATAGCGCGACCATTTCGCAATGTCTTCTTCGATGAGTTACTGCCTCATTTTCAACCTACTCTACCCTACTTGCAACCGGAAGGTTCTGGGTTCGAATCTTGGTGGGTGCGTACTGATGAAGAGTCTTTCTCTCTGGGCTTTCTCGTTTGAGAATTTCATTGCAGTGTTTGCTGAACTGAACATAATCTTGTCTAATGGGGTGGGAGGAGGGGTGAAAACTTCACTTTTCAGACACTAGACCAGCCTAGAGTTCAGTGACTTATTATTGCAATTGTGAACAGTCATCGAATGTCATCATTGACTGATATTCCGTTGATCTCATTATCAGTTGCAAGTTCTTTTGATGAGTACTTTGTTTCCAGGTTTGATCATGAGCTGATACCAGGTAGAGAACTAGTGGAAAAACCATCTGGGATTATTGGACAATTGTTTCGTCCTGTTCTAGGACCCTTCAGTGGCAATCACCTTCTGCTGTCCAAACACAGAACCTTCGGGCCAAAAGACGAGCTCGTTGGCTATCCAACTGCTGGGATGGTACCCAGTGGTCTATACATATATATATATATATATATATATATATATATATATATATATATATATTGCAGATCTTCAGGAGCAGGGATTCGTAGACCGTTGGGTTGGGTGTCAGTTGTCGGAATGGTCTATGATCTCTCCCTGTAACTGGAAGATTTTGGGTTTGTACCCTGACTGGTGCATCCTGGCGGAGAATTCAGTACTCCCTGCTGTTGTTTTTTTAATGGCTCTCTAACTGATGTCAGCTCATGATGAAATCCTGTAACCAACCAAATTCCTGCAAAGTAACACTTTATTTTCATCACAAACTGTAAACAATGGAATCTTACAACAATAAGCAAGACAATGTCATACGAACTAATTATATTGTCCCAAAATCCTCGATGTTTGGTGACTTTGTAAGGACCAAATATCTAAGGTTATGGTCTGAACAGAAGAAATTGTATCTCTAGTTTCCATTTGGATCTGAACCTGAGGACCCTTGAATTCTAATTATTATTATTGATTTAATGGTCACTAGTGACTGGCGGTATTCAGGCAGTAACTTGGAGTTCTAGTGAGAAGCCGTGACCAGTAGGGTACAGCAGGTTGAATATGAAGCAGTAACTCATCGAAGAAGACATTGCAAAATGATCACGCTATGTCATGAATTGGTAGAAGTTAGAATTGTAAGCCATTGTATCGGGTCCTATTGGCTGACTGAATGGTCCACTAGCTCGCTGGCCTTGTAACCAGAAGTTCCTAAGTTCGACCTCCTGTGGTGAGTGCATACTTGATGAAGAGTCCCAAACTAGGATGAAACAGCTGTCCAATACTCCCAGGTGGTTTTCCAATGGTTCTCTAACTGATGTCAGCTCATGATGAATTCTTCCATCTGCTCAAACTAATTCCTTACAAAACCAATATTTGTAAATTCTAATTATGTCTACTCATGATATAGCGTTACCCTCAACCAGTGGATTCAATGAGCATCCATGGTGAGTCTCACAACAGGTCACATCTCACTATACCTTCTGCATATCCATCCAGTAGCCATCACTGAACTGGAGATTTGGCGTCTCAATCTGTAAGTCCTGAATTTGATTCCTGGTGAGGGAGGCTGTGTGTTCACACTGCCAAAGAGTCCCAAAACCACGAGGAAACAGCTGTCCAGTTCTTCTGAGTTTTCAGTAATCACTCTACCTGATGTTGCTTCCTGATGCAATCGAAAAAAACCTCGAAATTCAGTTAGTCAAAATTCACATAAAAATCGCATAATTTACATCCTTTATTGTAACGACCGAATTTATTCGGCTATGGTGTGAACGGGATAAACTGGATCTCCATGTTCTACAGTATTGTAGCCGAGAAAATTTTACTGAGACACACTCTGTCACGAAACGTTTCATAGTCAGAGGAAAGACGATTATTCACCTATATATTTTAGCGGTTCTATTCAAAGACAGTAATGATAACATCAAAACTCAAATTTACCTCAATTGTGCTGTGAGGAAGAGCTCTACGTACAGGCAATGTAGCTTTCTAACTATAACACAATTACTGTGGGACAAAAAAAATTGTTAACCAAAGTTCATTTGAAAAAAATGTACTCTAGAAACGATGAGGAGAATATTCCCCCCCTCCCCTCCCAAGGAGATGTGCGATGAAAAGCACTGTTGTCCACAAGAATCACACACCAACGCTTCTTGCAGACAGTCTTTTATCAGAATGTGACCTACATTCATTCACACAAATTAAATATATATTGTCAAACAACCCATTGTCATTGTGCACACAACCACAAATAGAGAAGTATTACATTTAAAGATTAAACAAGGAGAAAGATCAATATTTGGTGTACAAATGTCAACTTAAGTGATACATACATAGTCTAGGGGAAATACGCACAATAATAATAATTACAAAGTTAGTTGAAATGTACAAACTATAAGTATAAACATTATCAATAGATCGTCTAGCAGAGAGAGAGATCTTCCGAACAATTTCGCCATTATAGACTTTTAGCATATATATGTATGATCAGTCTATAAGAAATAACTAAACGTTATCTTTAACATGGTATGATTCTCATGGCCTAGAGGGGTTAAAATGATGCTTGATGTGCTTGGGTTCGGTCTCAATGTAGGGAACACCAATTGTCCCATTGAATACGAGAGATATTATGTGTGTGTGTGGCGTTTTTAGATTCACAGGTTTTTTGTTTTACAGCATTGTTTATTTTTTTAGTGTAGAGTAGGTTATGAGTGACTGACGGGTTTCAACATAAAACTTTGCATCGGTATGCAGCAGTTTGAGTTACCACACTTCACTCAGCACACAAAGACAAAGAAGAAAGTAGAAGAAATGCAAAAAGAGAGAGAGTAGACAGAGATATAGGGCAAAAATAGTTGTAATATAGAAGAACCATATAGTTTTATTGGATATTATAAGTCACAAGGGGTGGATGCATCTTCACCAGCCATTAACAATGATTTAAAGCCATATCACCAATTGTCTCAAACCTTCATTGTTTTTGACTGTCCCGAGGACCCAACCAGTCAGGAAGTCTACACCTTCCTACGTGACTGGCTTGCTTAAACTAACTGTTGTAGATTTCATTGACTGATTGACGCCATGTTTTGGTTTGCCCATCAATGGCGTTTCTCCAGCCTAACCCTATGTCAGCTGACATTGCTCGTTGTTGAGGAAGGCGATGGCTAGGGATGCATACATGACACACGTTCTGACCATCTCAGTAGATGTAACTTCACAGTCTCGTCGATTCATTTCTCCTCCTTACCTGGCAGGCACTCGATCGGTGCCTCACCTAAATATTGCTCACTTTATTATTCCACTTCACATGAGAGATAGAACGCAGACACCTGTGATCAAAGACAGCTAGCCAGTCTTTTGCTGTCTTCCACTCTTAATGGTCAGGTCTCACAGCTAGCGATAATGGAGGACGGAGCGGACTGATGTTCAGTACACCCACCCTTTGGTCGATAGTCGGATATCCCGTCTACGCCAGAGACGGCGTAAACTGGCATATGCGAAACTAGCCCTTTGTATCCGTGCTGAGATTTCGTCAGCGATCGACCGTCTGGCCCTGAGTGATGCAACTTCCGAAACAAGTGAAGCGGTCAACGTGCTCTACCATTTCACTCCCTATTTGTAAGCTAGGAGTGAGTCAGTGTGGTTCAGTCCTGTAACATCATCTTACATTTGGCTGCAGGAGCGAACCACATGCCAAACATTCGACGTCTGCTAGTCAAGGTGTTCAGAAGACTGCTGGATTTCGTCAGCGTCCTCACCTAAAAGGATTATATCATCTGCATATTTTGATGTGGTTTTGTTCTCTGAGCTGGATGGTTAGTTTGCGAAGCTTTCATCACCTTACTGGGTGACATCTTCAGCGCATACTTCAATTTGAAGTATGCGCTGAAGATGTCACCCAGTAAGGTGATGAAAGCTTCGCAAACTAACCATCCAGCTCAGAGAACAAAACCACATCAAAATCATCCACCTGAGCTACAAATCTTCTCTATAATATCTACATCTGCATATTCTAAATCAACGGAATTATTCCCGGGTAACAAGTCTTACATACACTCTTTGGTTGTATTTGCACAGTCGATATTGTATCTACACTTATTTGTATTTACTCTGAAGTGATAAGAAGACTAATTGTTCCTGTGAATGAAGTCGGGTTTCTTTTTTCAAGGTGAACAAGACACTAGTAAGACTAGCAGGTTGTATCTGACTGTAATCATCGAGAATCTCTGTGAATATGGTCTTGACTTATGTAGTTGACCATCGGGCAGTTATTGCAGGCAGGGTATTAGATAAACTAAATTGTTTTGTTTAATTAGCCCAACAGTATTGATCCTTTAACCGATAAAGCTGGTTTCTGATTGAGTTTGTGTGTGTGTGGGGGGGGGGTTGAATACCAGCCACTTTAAATCCTGCATTGTTAGGAGTTCTCCTTAAAGTTTTTGAGGTTCCTTCAGAATTGATCACAACAATAAGATAAGAAATCTGGAGAATATTTCAGCAGCTATAGCAATCACTACATGCAATTACACACAACCATACAATAAACTGGATGGGATAAGATGTCAGTAGTTTTAAAATCTAATGCAACAGGGTGAAGGGAGAGATTGATAACACAAGCTTCATCTATCGAATCGATTGAGAGTGAATACGTGTATTAGGAATGATTCAACACCTCTCCACCCAAACATCTGGAAAAGTCTACTACTCCTACGATGACAAATAGGAGGAGAGAACAAACAAAACAATAAAACTCAGGTTTCGAAGTCGTGTGTGATTATATTTGATGAAATGATGATTATGAACAATAAATAGTAAATTGTGCTCGAAATTGTGTTATCCAGTTAGTAGATAAGATAATACTGTTTCACTCTAAGTGTGTTGCATATCTAATTAGTATGGAAATACTACTGATAGTTTTAAATGAGTAAATCCTGACATGCCACTGACATTAACCTACCACAAATCCGGTGGATAGTTTGAACTTATCGTGAATTGGCAGAGGTTAGAATTCAAGGACCATTGGATCGGGTCCCAGTGGTTCAGTGGTCTATGAGCTCGCTAACCTGGGTTCGAACCCCTTTGGTGGGTGCGTAATGATGAAGAGTCCCATACTAGGACGAAACAGCTGGTTGTCCAGTACTCCCTGGCAGGTTTTCCAGTGGTTCTCTAACTGATCCTCCATGTTATCCGATTGTCTTAGCGGAGTTTAACAACCAGACACACCACTGAGATGAGTTTGGCTACAGACACCGAAATGTCTGTCTGGTGGAAAGAGAAGCCCTCAGCTGACTTTCTTATGTCACTATTTGTCTTCAGTATTGATTTACTCGTTTGTTTGTTTTGTTTTTCTGGGTTTTTTTTATAGCTGAAGATATTTTACCGGTTGTGGAAACTGTACAATTAGAGCATAACACAATATTAATCTGCTTTCAAGGTTAGTCTTCTTACCTTGCATGATATTAACTCTTTTCAAAGTTCAGTATTTGAATAATAATAATATTATTATATCCTTTAATTCCCAGAGAAACATAAGGCTTCAGCTGCGCGTCTCCATTGCCTTCGGTTTTCTGCCAACTTTTTCACCCCGCTCCAAGTATGCCCACATGCTTTCATCCCCTCTTCACATGACCTCCTCCAAGTCACCCTTGCACTGACGACCAACTCGCCGCTTCTCTTTCGGGTTCCACTCCAGTGATGGCTTGTCTAGTGATGGTTTGGTTTCTCAGATTATGGCCAATCCATCTCCATTTCTTCATGCCTATTTGTTTCATAATCGGTTCCTGCTGGGTTGGTTCGCTCCCAGAGATCTCTGTTGATGAATCTTTTCTGGCCGGCCATCTGATCTTGAGTATTGAGCGAAGACAGCTAACTGTTGACGAAGGTCTGTAGTTTGTTTGAGATGTTCTTTATGACGCGCTGGCCAAGTCTCTGATCCGTATAGTAGCATTGACTTCACATTGGAGTTGAAAATCCGGATCTTATTTTTGATGCTGAGTGCTGTTGACGTCCACACAGACTTAAGACTAATGAAAGCTTGTCTTGCTTTTCCGATTCTGGCTTTGATATCCTCGTCAGTTCCGTCCGCCTGTGGTTGAAACGATGCTTACCAGGTAGGTAAAGGAGATAGTTGGAGGCAATCGGTAGAAAGCCTTACCTAACCTGGGTTTCGTGCTTGTTGTCTGGTACTCATCCGTCGGCAAAGCGTATATGCAACTTTGAAAAAGGAACTCATTTTCCTTGAGAAATTGAAATTCGTGTCACCCAGTGGTGCAGTCAGAGACGCCTGACTGATGGCTGGTGAGTGCCAGCCAACAAGCACGAAGTCTAGGTCACACACAAGGCTTCCTACCCGCTGCTTCAAACCATCTGTTATCAGCAATTCAAAGGGCAGTGCATTATGATGGCTAGTCACATTGAAAGGATGATAGAAAGAATTCTAGTGTGAAACTAGAAACCTTATTGATTCTATTAGCTCGCGTATATATTCGAGTTACAGAGAGGTCTTCTGCTATTTCCGAACTATCATCAAATGAATGAGAATCATTTACTGAATATATTATCTTGGTGCAAAGCAAACGAGTTGAAAATGTCAGTGCGGAATTGAACAGGAGCCTCAAATCCATCGAAGTACAGAGAAAGTTCCTTATCGACCCCAATAAATTTGTTTTCAATCACTCCTCCGTCAACTTGTCTACCTTACAATTAGAAGCCTTATCTTTAAGGTTGAAATTTTTAGTGACATAAATCTATACAGTAACAGACTACACACTTATGTCTAATTTGAAGATTATTATTAATCGAACAAGCGACCTTACTCCTGTCTCTGATGCAGACTTGTTACATTTCAAGTCTACAGTTTCTGACTGCTACTGCAATCAGTACATCAACTCAAAAACTAAAGTCCATGGAACAATTTGGGCTCGCGATCGACAGCCTTGTAGGATTGTATTGGATACTATGACTGGACACTAGTGTAATGTGTCTAATGTCACAGGGTGGAGGGAGAGGGATTGATAACAGAAGCTTTGTGTTATCGAATCAACTGATAGGGAATACGTGTAACAGGAATGATTCAACACCTGTCCACCCAGATATCTGGAAAATTCTACTACCCCAACGATGACAAATAGGAGGAGAGGACAAAGAAAACTATAAAACTCAAGTTTCCAAGTCGTGTGATTATAATTTATGAAATGATTATGAACAACACATTTTTCATTGAATTTTTGATTTTCTCCGTCGATTGATTGGACCTAAGTGCTCGGTCTCAGGTTGACATGTCGGCTTCTTGTGCAGATGCTTCGACGATGTCTGGGCATTTAATTAGTATTTAATTGGTGGATGGTGACTGGCAGTGAAATCCAGGATAAAGCGCATTTCGTCCTATTTGGGACTCGTCATCTGGATGTGCCTGCGTTTCTCAGTGAGTGATGATGTTCCACTGAGGCTTGAACCCAGTGCCCATAGTTTCAAACGCCAAAGCGATATCCATTAAATTCTAATTAAATGCCCAGACATCGTCGAAGCATCTGCACAAGAAGCCGACATGCCAACCTGAGACCGAGCACTTCGGTCCAATCAATCGACGGGAATATCTAAAATTCAATTAAAATAATTAATATAACCCATTCGTACAAGAGGTGGCTTTCGTAGCCCAAGTGGTCTAGTAGATAATGCTTTGGAGTTTGAAACTGTGGGAACTGGGTTCAAGCCTCGGTGAGAGCACTATCACCGACTCACTGGGGAATGCAGGTACATCCAACTGGGAGACGAGTCCCAAATAGGACGAAATGCGCTTTATCCTGGATTCCCCTGCTAGTCACCGTCCACCAATTAAACAACACATTTCGTACGAAACCTTGTCATCCGGTAAATAATACTGTCACACTCACTGTGTGATTCATCTAATAAACAAACTAATATGGAATGTATAAAATATTCCCATAATAAAATTTAAAACAACACATTTAAGCGAACAATATATTTTTCAATTAGGTCTCATCAGACTTAACTCTAGTGTATATAAGTTAACAAATAAAAATTCAAATATAAACCAATCATGGTGTTTTGTCTATAGGATAATAAGATGGTGAATATAAATTGTGCAGTTAGTCATAATAGTAGTAATAATAATAATAATAATAATAATGGTTATATCAATAATAAGGATGAAAAAGTGAGGCAATCTGTGATAACACGAATAACGAAAAACATCATGATTAAACAAAGTGAGATTTTATTCTAGAGACTTTCTAGGAGTATACGAAGAACATTTAACGCAGCACACCTAAGTTTGTCATTCTCTAGCCGACGAATGATTGGGACGCAAACGAAGGATAAGCTAGATAGCTTTGCCACATCTATGTACATTTATCAATTCAACTACATCTGTGGTGACAGTTATGTTGGGAGTACTACTAGACAGCTTAGCCAACGTATTACCACTGAACATCTCCCATCGTGGTGGTTTGGCTAAGGACAGACAAAAACAATCCGGAGCTCAATTTTATCACATTTAATTGATAGTGGTCAAGTAGTGGAGAAAACGAGAGCCTTCAAAGTAATTCATCATATCCCACCGTATCTTTCCAATAGACTTCGTATTCGTCTACTGTGCACACACAGCTGAGGCAGGCGATAGGCATTCGAACTATTAAACATAAACTCTACATTCAAAAGAAGTTCGTACAGCCATTATCCCTCCCTTGTTGGCCTATTAAGACATCACTAACTGATGACTTCTACACCACCCCTTGTTTATATTTTCAATCCCTTTCTTATCGTCCCTTAAACTTATCTTCATCATAAACGTGTTTCATTTACTTCCCTTACAATCAGTCCAGCATTACTTAATCGGTTCATTTGTTTTTACTAGCCTTTATCGACTACTTCCACCTGAACGTTTGTTTGTTTAATCATGCTGTTTTTACATTATTCGTGTTACCACAGATTGCCTCACTTTTTCATCCTTATTATTGATAAAAGCCATTATTATTATAATTATTACTACTATTGTGACTAATTGCACAATTTACATTCACCATCTTATTATCCTATAGACAAAACACCATGATTGGTTTATATTTGAATATATATATTAGAGTTAAGTCTGATGAGATCTAATTGAAAACAATATTGTTCGCTTAAAAATGTGTTGTTCTAATGTGGAATGTGTCTAATCCGCTGTTTGGTGCAGACGGCATTCTACCAGTCAAGTTTGCAGTGTGGCAACCATTCTAGGTGACCCGCCACCACTGATAGAAGTCAGTCTGCACACTAAACAAAGAATTAGACATATTGTACAAGTTACTAACATCCATTGTCCAATCAAGAGGATAACTTCTCCATCAGGTTCTACAGTTATATCTACATAAATAATTGAACAAGTGATTATGAAATAACCTCATTGGACAGTCTCCTACATATAACCTTAGGCTAACGTCTAACCAATCAGAGCAATGCATTATCCATTGACTCAGACGACTTTTAATGTGGTTTCAAATGCATAAATGTGATGTGTTATTGGTTTTTATTTATACCTTTATTTAGTAGTCACAACACTGGAAGGTGTTCCCGAGCAAGAAAAATTAAGTTCTTAAAGCTCAAGAGTCAAATATAACTAGCTCGATAGGAGCAGTTGAATTATTGATACATACAGTAAGAGGTCGGGAAGATATTTTTTATCACCTTTGTTAGTTCCTCTGCCTACAACTTATTTTACATGTAAATTGCATACAACGCGATCACTGACAATTGTGATGATATATAACTGAGGATATCTGTGAATTCTAGTCTAGTGCAATCTCATTTTTAATCGGTTGTTTGTTTCGTGTACTGTGACTGGTATGCCTGTTCGTGTTTTGAAAAGAAATTCTCACGAAGAAGAACGACAACAGGCCCACCTACTCACTCACTTGTCCTAGGGCTTCAAGCTAGTAGAGGTTTTTGGATTTTTGGTAGCAGGTTGGTGGTGTTTATTTTCACGGGATTGGGTTTGCTAGCCTCATGAGCAATCCTATTGTAACAACAGAAGACAAGGAAGGGCCAGGCAACAGATCATTTATATGTTAAGTGTATCCGCCTGCGCAAAGCCTTTGTTCTCATTTTTCTCACGACCAATATTGGAGACATAAACAAAGAACGTAAATTACTGTCCATCAACTTTGACTAACAGCCAGCTCTCACCACAGTATTACTGGCTTAGCAAGGTAAAGGAATGCGTCAGTTGCCGGGGATCGTACCCCGAACCATCTGCCTGGGGTTGGCGGGCATTCCACCACTAGGCCACCGATACAGACCTGCTCATGTTCTTCATGTTTTCTTTTTGGTGTCTTTTCTTTACAGATTGTGCTAAAGTTGTCAGTTTGAATGGTCAGATCAAATCAAGTCGTCATAGGGCTACAACATTAGACTTTAATGGAATCACAGTTGAATCTATTGGTAAGTAAAACTTGATAATTTTTTGTGTGTAACAATGTAGAACTGTGTAGATGTGTTGTTTGCCCACCTCTCCTACAATTCTTTAATTAAATATAGTCTGCACCAAGAGATGTGCCATACAAAATCGCATAGTCTATGTGGTGGCGGGGATACTGTCTGGACTCCCAGACCGAAACAGGTGATTACCGGTCTTAAGAAGCCTTTAGCTTGAAGTCTAGTTCACAAAATAGTGGAGCAGCACCAGAAACTACGTTCCCATGGTTAAGGGAGACCAAAACAGGTTTATACTCGATTCGATCTGTTGGGATTATGGATCCTATGTGCTCACTCAAGTAGACCAGCATGTCCAACACTCGAATTGTAGGCTTCAGACGTCCTCATTCACCTCTTCACTTTAATGAGGAACATCTCTGCACAAAATATATCATCACCTTGTGGCCTGGTGAGGAATACTTTGACGTCATAAATCATGGATATTGAATTCAAATTTCACTGGGAACACTATCTGTCACCTTCTGTGGATGCAGGCGCATGCAGATGACGAGTCTCAAATGGGACGAAACACACTCTGTGGATACCGCTGCCATCGAATACCAACCATACAAGTTGTTGTATTCATCAACAAACAGAGTTTTCTTCAGGACTATTGGATTATTAATATTGGACGACAGGTTTTCTAAAAAACTTGACTGTTTTGTTTTTCCAAAATACTTTTTAATATTCCTTGACGCGATGTGTTTAGTGAGCTATTAACGAAGTTTTTTTTTAACTTAATATTTGAATAGTATTTACAATAAATACTAAAAATAACTGTGAACCTCTTGGAGATGTAATCAAAAGTTGTGGCCTATAGGTTTCATCAAATAGGATACGAAGACAGACGACATACTCCCAATTGACAGAATTTGGAATTCAGGAGACTTCAGATTCTGTCCCTGTCTGTCTGTTTTACACTGATGTGCACAAGTTCAATTCGTCACAATCCCTCCATGTAGCATACAAACCAAGAGAAGAAAGTAGAAGAAATGCATATTAGAGACAGTAGACAGGGATATGAGACAAAAGGAAGAGTAATAACGAAGAACAATAGAGTTTCATTGGGTATTATAAATCACAGGGAGTGGATGCATCTGTGCTCGCCATTGAGAACAATTTTGAACCATAACACCAATTTTTTCCAACCATTGGTGTTTACAGTCCCGAGGATCCCAACCAGTCAGGAAGTCTACACCTTCCTATGTGGCTTGCTTAAATTAACTGTTGTGGATTTCATTGACTAATGAAGCCGTGTTTTGGTTTGACCGCCGCTAGCTCTTTTCCAGCCTGACCCTATGTCAGCTAACATTGCTCTTCGAGGAAGACGATGACTAGCCATGCATGCGTAACACATGTCCTAACCATCTCAGTCGATGCAGCTTCACAACCTCTTCGATTGATTTCCCCTATTTACCTAGTACTCGACGCCTAATCTCAATATTGCTCACCTTATTATGCCACTTAACACGGGGGATTGAGCGCAGGCACCTATGATCAAAGACAGCTGGCCAGCCTTTTTATATCTTCTACTCTCAATGGTCAGGTCTCACAGCAAGCCATAATGGAGTACGGAGCGAACTGCCTCGCCAAGCAGTACACATGTCCTTTGGTCGATAGTCAGCCGTGTATCACGTCTATGCTAGAGACGACGTAAACTGGCATATGCGAAACTAGCCCTCTGTATCTGTACTGAGATTTTGTCGGAGATCAACCCGTTGGAGCTGATGGTACTTTCCAAATAAGTGAAGCGGTCAACGTGCTCTACCACTTCACCCCCTATTTCTAAACTAGGAGTCAGTGTGGTCCAGTCCTGTAACATCATCTTACATTTGACGGGAGTGAATCACATGCCAATCATTCGTAGACTGCACTTTCAGTAAGAAACCAACAATCAGAAAACTGTATTTCTTTGCTTACAATAATCTATAATGTACATGAAAATCTATAAATATCTGTTGATTTCCTTGATAAACGATATGTTGCCTGGCCCCTGTCTTCTATTGTTACATGGCCAGCACATGCTACTGAGTTTTGTAAGTGGTATAGAATTAACCAACCAACCAACACCACCACCACCAACAAACACCAATCACTGTCACAGGGAGAAGTTTTAAGAAAGGTTACTTCCTTCACACTTATCTAGGAAGCATTGTTCTGTCTACAGGCGGGAGTTATGTGGATCTCAAAACCAGAATCAGAGTCTCAGGTCAGTTAGCGTTTCTATATGAGTCAGAAATATGACGCATCATGGAAAGGAATTCTCAGCAAGTTACTACAGACTTTCACCAACATCCGCCGTCCTCACTGGTCTCATTTTTTTTCCTTCACGTTCCCAGTAGAACATAAGGCGGCTTCAAGCTAGAAGGTTGAAGTTTCTGTAGCAGTGTTTATCTTTACAGGATGGGGTTGCTAGCCTTATGCCCAACCTTTCCTCTTTACCAGCTCTATTTTGGCTTAGCCAGGTAAAGGAGTGCGTCGATCAGGGATAGAACCCCGGACCATGTGCATAGTCGGCGAGCGTCCTAACCGCCATGCCACCACTGATTTCATATTGAAAATCAAATGGTTAGTTACAAAGATTTGTCGACAAGAACATCTGGGAACATTCCAACCAAGAACCTGTCTAAGAAAATGGAGACGGGTTCAGATACATACTGAGGAGACCGTTGAATGACATCGCATGCCAGGCATATCTTCGAGTGAAGCCGAAATGGGGGAACGACGAAGTTGGTTGTTGGCCCATGGGTGACATGGGGGCGATCACGTGAAGAGGAGAAGGTGATGAGATACTATGGGCAGTCGCAGGGCCAGCTAAAGGGAACCATATAGAGAATAGGAAAAAGTGCAGGTGTTCTGTCGAAGCCTAATCTTTGTTCTATTTGGAATTCAAGGGGACAATAATATAGATATAATATCATAATATACATAGTGTAACGACAGAAGACAAGGGTTAGACAACAGATTGTTTATTGAGGAAATGAAAAGATATTTATAGATTTTTATATACATTGTTATTCGTTATTATTAGCAGTGAAACAGCGTCTTCTGATTGACTGTCGTTTCTTAGACAGTCTGGTGGTATATCTGCTAATCCTATCCATCCTGGTTATGTTTGCTTTGCTGTGATAAATTGTTGAGTTAGTCTTTGTTATTCTTGTTTCTTTTTTTCTCATGACCAAGATTTGGTACATAAACATTGACGTGTAAATTACTGTCTACCCCAAATTTGGCTAGCAGACAGCTCCCACCACAATAGAACTACTCATATCAGTCTATTAGTAGTATATAGTCTCACCTCCTTGCTTAGACATACTTTATTGTGTATTTTCTTCTTTGCTTTGCAGTATGCCTTCGTGACAGTATTCTTGTATTTCATCCGCACGGTTTATTGGGCAAAAGTTTTACCGGAGAGGTGAGTTGACTTCACAAGAAGATTATTATTATTATTATTTGAAATTAATAAAGAGGTAAGAGGTGGGTGAGAAAATAGACTACTTAGGCCAAGTTAAAAGGAGGACATATTCAAGGTCAAAATAACAATGAATATTGGGTACAGGATTTCATCATGAGCTGACATTAGTTAGAGAACCATTGGAAAACCAGCTGGGAGTACTCGACTTGAACTAAGTAGTCTATCTTCTCACTTCTTACCTATATGTTAATTTCATTGCTCATAGATTACAAGTTTATTAGTTATTTGAACTGTCTATTCAACTGTCTACTATTTTGTAATTTTAAGTAGTATGTTTCGAAATTCACAAATAAAATAAAAGCTGTTAGCAGTTTCCTACGTAAACATAATACGATACCTGCTTTCCTCGAGTTACTGAGACTCAGACATCATCAGGTTGTTATTGCCATAAATTTCTTGATGACATTTCAGAGTTATTCTTCAGTGTGTTTCGAAATGGTGACCATTTTAGTTGGTAATCTATGCAATCATTGACGTATGAATTTGTGTGTTCAGACCATTAAGATGACATCACCATTTGTCATCGTAATTCTCAATGTGTCTGTCAGTTGTCATTGAGTTACTGTTTCCTTTCCTAAACTCATAACTTTCCACTGAACTATGTTTTCGTATGTTTAATTAAATCATGATATCAGTTAGAGAACCATTTGGAAACCAGCCAGCAGTACCGGATAACTGTTTCGTTGTTGCTTGGGACTCTTCAATAATTTGAATCTAGGGTCTTCCGGTTACAAGGCGAGCTCATAGAACAATTGAAAATCAATACTTGAGAATTAATCTGATGATCACTAACGACCACCTTTATACAGGAAGGTACTTGGAGTTTTAGTATGAAGCCGTAACAAATGGGGTCAATCAAGTTAGTTGTGAGGGCTGATACTACCAGATGACAATATCTGGCAGTTTCGCTGTATATTGCGGCTTGTCAGAAGCTGGGATTCATAGGTCGTTGAACCCGGGTCTTGGTGACTGAATTGTCTACAAACTCATCTTGTAACCGAAAGGTTCTGAAGTCAAACTACGGTCGTTGCGAACTGACGAAGTGCCGCAAACTAGGACGAAATTGCTGTTCAGTAATTTGTGATTTTTTAGAAACTGTTATCAGCTCCTCATAAGTCTCTGACTTTGTAAATTGGTTCGATATCAAATCAATGAGGAGTGTATTCGAAATCTGTCATTTAACTTTTCGATGTAGATGTTTGTTGGTTATATAGTTTTGTCAACTTCAGATTTGACACTGTTGTACGTTAATTTTGTACAGAAAGAGGACAACTCGGTTCCATTAATACAAAACAAACCAATCAGTAAAGTGTGGGATCATGGATTTTCAACTGTATTTGATAAAGTGGGTTCAACTGTCAACTGTGACACACTCCTAAACCTCGCCTATCCAAATGTAATCTCAGTAAGGAGCGAAAGTTGGATATGAGATCAACAACTCTAACCTGGCAAAAGCACCACCACCATCATTGTGCAACTTCTAAGCTTAAAGACTAAAGCCCCATATTGCATCTGGAACCGGCTACATGCTGGAGTTCCATGGAGTTCTAGTGGGAAATCTTAACCAGTGAGGATCACCCATTCAAGTGTTAAGATGAATTTCCCACCGGTGATATTGGTCGGTGGTCGCGGTAAATGCATCACGAATTGGTAGAAGTTGGAATTCATGTACTGGTCATTGAAACGGGTCCCAGTGACTGAATAGTATATGGGCTAGCTTGCCTTGTAACCGGAAGATCCTGGGTTCGGACACCCCTTTGATGGGTGCCAACTGTCGATGATTCCCAAATTAGGATGAAACAGCTGTCCAATACTCCCTGGTTCTCTAACTGATATTTATCCGTGGTCAAACTGCAAAAAACAAGAAAATAAATCTGATCCTTAAAAATCAACTCTTGAAAATAATCAGTTAACTACTTGCCTCTACGAGTAGTATTCACCATATGTAGTTATTAATCTGTAGTCGGTGTGTGCATCGATTGCACAACTTGTAGAATGCTCACCAACCACGCAGATGGTCCAGGGTTCGAATCCTGGCCACCGGCGTACTCCTCTACCTCACCAATCCAGTAATAAGACTGGGAAAGAGGGGAAGGTTGGCCATGAGGCTGACTAGCAACCCCATCTCGTGAAAATAAATACCCCTGCTACTGAAACTTTAAAGCTGTAGCTGTTCCACCGGGAATGTAAAAGGAATAATATTTTTTAAAAATAGTCAGACATAGACACATACTTACACAGTTATGCGCAATTGGATCGGTCGATGATATTTTTTTTGCTATCACTATATATTCCGATTTGCCTTATATTATATATTATCGCTTGGACTATTCTCCTCCCTCATTTCGTCTTTTTCCGCCTTTTTCTATCCATCTATCCCTCCGACAACATTAAAATATTAGTTTGTTCATTTTTCATTCTTGTCTTTTAGTAGACAGCGAGAGAGAGAGAGAGAGAGAGAGAGAGGGAGAGCAAATAATGTAGACAAAAGTCGTCGTTCTTTCCTCTCTGTGTACGTGTATGCATGTATGTATGTATGTATGTGCGTGCGTGCGTGCATGCATACTGTAATACTGAAATCGTTCATCTGACTGACGCAAACGGAGCATAGAAAATGTCTGTGAAAGGAAAAAAACATATTACTAATGAAAGATTACGTGTAGGTGGAAAACTTAAAGTTATCTACATTAAAAATTACAGTAGAATGCATCTGTGTGATCCAGTGGTAGGAATACTCGCCAGCTACACTCGACGTGGTTTTCAGGTTTCATTTCCCCCCGGTTGACGAACTTGCTTGCAAACCTTGCTCAGCCGATAGTAAGCCTCGACCGGTAGCTGTTACCTTGACGTGGTCGTCGCTGGGCTTGCATATCGCGATGACCCAACAAGCTACACTGGCTGGAACCAATGTTCCTGCTGGTCTTACTATTGCAGGAGAGGGTTGTTAGGATAGCGATTAGACTAAAAGCGGTTACTGCCTTTGTGTAAATTTTTTTCCTTTTTACACTATGCTGGGGGGTCTGAGGGCGAAGTCGTACTACTGGGTGTAACAGAAGTGAGGTGTTTCCCTCAGATGACCACCATGCCAGCCAGCTATACTGTCCCTCCACTCTGGAGAGAGGAGGTTAGAAAAGGTCGACCTCAACTATTGTGCATCCCTACTTACCCTACGGTGGTCCGTAACCGGTGGTATTATGAAGTAAATTTATCTTTGGTTCTAAATTGAATTACGAAGGCAGGCTTAAGGTAATAGCAAATAACTTTTGGATACATAAGACAGGTTTAAGTCTTTTTATGGCTAAGCCTTCAACGAATTCAAGTATGTGGCCCATCCTTGTTATATATATGGGCTTAAAGACATTGTTGAAATCAACCTTTATGACACGTCTCTATAATGTGCTTCGCTATAGATGATGTTGGACATCTATTTCCGTGGTCAATTGTGTCTTGCGATTGCGTTTGTTGTTGCAGCCACATTGGAATGTGTTCTGTAGCCCTAACCTGCAGAGACCTATGGGTCCTATTAATTGTGGCCTTGAGCCTTTGTCTAGTGACCAGACTTTGCTGATCACTCATGAACGGCAAGAAGCTGATTGGATTGGTAGAGCTCTATGATGGTTGATACTTCCGTAATGCCTAATAAATCTCAGCGGGTAATTGTTATCTAACAATATTTCAGTGAAGTGTTGTCTGTCTTCTTCAATTATATCGCGGGAGTGTACATATACGGTGAAAGCGCTTGAACAAACACTTAACCAACGCCTTTTTATACTGTAGCGGATAGAAACTATGATAATTTAGATACTGCCCCGTCCATATGGACTTTCTGTAGACAGATCGTTTTACTGATCCATCTCGTCGGTGGTGGGTTATGAGTACATCTAAAAATGGCAGGCAACCATTATTTTCTTTTACGTATGTTAGCGATATACTGTTTTGTACTTTGTTGTTCTGGTTTAGGATTTCTATGATGTCTGTCAGTTTATCATAAGTTGCTGCCTTAATTTTGCCTCAAAATTGAGATAAAGCAGTCGCCCCCCCAACTACTCATGAAATGAAACTGTGAATCTCAGGGCTACTAGTTCCGTTGTTCATTTTACAATGCGTGAGATCATACCCTGATAGGTGTTGCTAAGCTGTTAGAATGTGGAACTGGTTAATTCTTAAACTTCTTCTGGATGTAATTCTTACCAGAAGGTGTTACATCGCAAAAGAAAAACCCTTTTAAGTCAAAGCTATCTCACATAATATGTATCTATGATCACACTATCATAAACTATCATTATTTAAACATATTATTTGGAAAGATATTTTAATTTTAAATTTTGATTTTCATTCATTTTTATTGTTTGTCTATTTATTTGTTTTCTCAATTTTCCCTTCAAATGGAAATCGATCAATTGCTGTTTTGGGGAATATTCATATGGACGCATTTTTGGATACTGTTTCATGTGTGTGTGTGTGCGTGCGCTCTCGTGGATGTGGATTCAATGTCCTCTTCTCTCTCTTGCCTCTCCGTTGTCAATGGGTTTAACTCAGTTAACTCAAGAAATCAATGATAAAGATAATATTTATCGATTATTAGGATACAATCGGTTAGTTAGTATTTTGATTTATCTATTTATTTATTTATTATCAATGTTGTTGTTTATTTTACTTTATCACTAAGTGTTATTTGTGTTGTTGTGTTTGATGATTGAAATTAATCTGTGTGACCCCGGGATGAGATGATTTCAACTACAATCTGATAGACTGCGAGTGAATACTAATTAACCCTAATACGCTGACTAATCTCCCTAATCGTACGTCAACAACAACAACAACAGTACCGTCGGCCCCCCGCAAAGACAAAAGTAAAACTGGATGTTAAGATAAGAGAGATTCCATTGTCTCAAAACAACAGCCGAAAAAAGGTTGACAACGCTATGTTGTGAATTGGTAGAAGTTGGGATTCACTGGCTAGCCATTGGATCGGGTCTCAGTGGCTTAATGATCTATGAGCTAGCTCGCCTTGTAACCGGGGAGGGTACTACCTGTCCAGTACTTCCAGGTGGTTTTCCAATGGTTATCTAGCTGATGTCAGCTCCTGATGAAATCCTACAACCAATGGCTGAATGGTTGAGAAGCTCACATTGGAACCGATATGTCCTGGATGATTACATCTAAAGAGTCCTAAAATAGCCTGATGAAACACCTGTCCAGATTTCCCTGTCTGGTTTTTCAATGATCCTTTAACTGATTTCATCTCATGATCAAACCTGTAGCTAATCAAATATTTGGAAACCAACACTTGGAAGAATGAACCTTCGGTAGCGAAAAGTAAAAACACTCACAGTCATCAAGAAAGACAGTTATGGTAGTCATGTAAAGTTGTGGAAGCTCATACTTCATGTTGAAATTGCTACTGATGAGATTGTCTAGAAGGATGGACAATGAAAACTTCACGATTACAATAAACTCTCGAGATCAGAGAAGCTGGAGCTTATATAAATAACTGAATGAATTAACATGTGGGCAATAACGATGCTAAACGTTAATGTACACCTCAAGTGAATATCGAATATGATCATTCCCCTTCGATACATTCTTTGCTTCACTAAGCCACGCAAATATCAGACAGACATTTATTGATTGATTAGGACTGGATAATTATAATCATCTGATAAAAGACAAGCTGTTAGGAATTCTTCAAATTTATAGGACATTGGAAGCATTCCCTTCTGACTGTTTCAGGCTTGTAGCCTGTCTTCACTGAAGCGAAGGTCACCTCTTTCACGTATATTTGGACAGCATCATTTCAACTACAGGCGGCAGAAGATATCAGGGTTAGCTCCAGGATCAGAAAAGCAAAACACTTTTTGGTGCAAAAGTGATTATGTCACATCCCACACTGTTTACCAGTTTTCGTGTGTTTGTATGGACGTACATACATTATTATTATTTATTTTATCCTTTAATTCCTAGAGGAACATAGGGCTTCAGCTGCGCACCTCCATTGCCTTCTGTTTTCTGACAACTTTTTCACCCCACTCCAAGTCTCCCCACATGCTTTCATCTCCTCTTCACATGACCTCCTCCAAGTCACCCCACCGTAGGACGACCAACTCGCCGCTTCTCTTTCGGGTTCCATTCGAGGGATGGCTTGTCTGGTGGTGTCACTTGATGGTTTCCTCAGAGATCTCTGTTGATGAATCTTTTCTGGCCGGCCATCTGATCTTGAGTATTGAGCGAAGACAACTGTTAATGAAGGTCTGCAGTTGGACGTACATACATAGGGAGGAGTAATCGTGCTTTGCATATGAGGGTGGGATAGCGAGCATATCCCAAAATGGTTAGAAAAACAAATGAATTATGGAAAACCAATACACACAGAGGTGTCAGTCTACCAAATTCGTCTATAGCTAAACACCATCTAATCGAGATGAACCATAAGATTGATGTTAACTCAGCCTTTAAGGTCATCTATAAAAACGGCCAAGGGCTCTTATTGAAATATGTCGAGACTATAGCTATTCATAAACTTAAGCCCCCTCCCCCCCTGTGTATTCGAAAACACTTTATTATTACTCTTAACCCAGCTACCTTGGTAATCCGTATTTGATGATTGGATTACCAAACGTTGTGTTAATGATTCTTAAATCCTTTATTTTGTCACTTTGTTTAATTTAACTTTTTCATATATATTGACTTGACAAGTAAATGTGTGAGGGATCAGATTGTTCAAAATGCATAGCGCAAATAAATCACATTATTTTTCAGATAATATTCGTCTTCTAATAACACTATCCAGACTATAGTTAATCTGAAATCAGAGTGAAGATCTGCTACACACTTATTACACAGAAGAAGATTGGAATTTTCAACACTAATGTCAATATCTCTATTGTTATTATGATTCAGAAACTTGGTTCATGTGCCACCAAAGGCATTCCCAACAGGTCACTGCAGACTTATAGGAACAGCTGCCTTTACATTGGCTATATATATATATATATATATATATATATATGGAATATCAGATAGCCCACACTGGAGAGCACTACCAACAGGGAACTCCTGCAGTGCAGTACTACAACATACTAACCAAGAAGACATAGTTCAACAAAGGCGAATATCCCAAAGGGAAATGAAAATGAATGAAAAACTGCATGCTGTGAGAAGACTGTTTATATTATAGTAGTGACATTATCACACGTCAGCTCTACCCTCGGATGGATGGAATCTGAGTGTGTTGGATGTGAGATGGTGAGTTGAGTTGAAATGTGAACCTTTGAGGGTGTGACATGCAGGAGGTTAAGAGTGTTATTGGCAATCCTGGAACCAATTGTGAAGAGGGCTGCAGAGGAGGAGAACAGGGTGTAATGGAGATATGCCGTTGAAGCTCTTATGTTCCTCATGGAACTTAAGGAAGTTTATTTATTTATATAGTGAAACGCAGAAAAAAACTTGGTGCAATATGGCACCAAGAAAGATGCGCCACACATTGAGATACTTCCCGGGCGCTCAGACCGAAGCAGGTGATTTTCTTAAGGGACCACCCCCCTGGAGCCCTTGACTTGGAGTCTAATCCGCAAGGCAGCGGAGCAGCGTCAGGAGCTGCATTCCCATGTTTTCCGGTAACCCATATGGGCTCGTTCATACGCCATTTGATCCGATTGGATTCTAGAGCCCATGTACCCGATGGTAACTGCTTTTAGTTTAACCGCTATCCAAACAACCTTCCTGACACGGTAGGATCTGCAGGGACATGAGTCCCAGTCAGTTTAGCTTGTTGGGGGGGGGGTCATTGCGGTATTGAAGCCCGACCACCACGGTAAGGTGTAGCAGTTATCGGCCGGGACTTAAGGAAGTAATAGTAAAAATATAATAGTAAATATAATATAATATAATAGTAGGATAAAGTGACTTCTTTAACCTTATATGAATCATTTTCATTCATTCATTGATGTGTGTATGTGTGTTTATTTTTGCTTCACAGATGTATAATCGTTGAAAGTCGACCAGCTAGTAATCCAATGTCTAATTCCAATGTCTATATTCTATCTGATCATCATATGGACAGTATTCAATGAAAAAATCATTAAGAACAGATTAATTCTCTTCTTCGTATATATAGATGTCATGATGATGATGATGATGATGACGACGACGACGACAGAGTTGAAAATCATCAATCCCCAACTGAAGTAGTTTATATATATATATATATATATATATATATATCTGTTTCCATGGTAACCATGATGATGATGGGTGATGCATATTAGATATTGATCTCTTCAACTACTCTTTGTTTTTTCTCTTGCATACCTTCCTTTCTAATTACACTGAGTAGTGCTGAATAGTGCGTGTGTGTGTGTTACCTTTACATTTTGATTATTCAACTTCCACACACTCCCCTTCCCCCGGAATGCTACGGGGAGATTTTGTACATGTAAACATACATATATTGATGATGTGTGAATATGTCTCATGTCTCTCTCTCTTTCTCTGTGTCCCTTGTTCTTTTTCCACCATTGTGTGTGTGTGTGAGTTTGTGTACTTTATTTCTTCCGCCCCCCTGTGTTTTCGCTTACTCTCTTGCTCTACTCCACAATGAATTACAAAAGTATATATGTCTGAGTCAGCCTAGTTTGTATGCAACTACACTTTGTTATTACATGATTGACTCATTCATCCATTGTTCTTCTTTCTGACAAGTTTTGATTTTTTTTCCCGTCGACAGAGAGGTGAACATCTCAACCGTTTATATCAAAATGATCAACATTGGAATCGTCATCATTATCATAAATACTGACGCATTTGTTTTTTCTGTCTTATCTGGGCCTTCATTTCCATTTTTTTTGCTTCCTTCGTTGTTGTCTTTCTCAGCTGTTCAGTGATATCTGAGTGTTAGAAGCATTATCTTGTTGTTGTTGTCTTCTCACTCTAGGACGACGATCCTCCCCACCCTACTTGCGCCCTCCAGCCCAGCCGCCCATCCACCATCCCATTGTATCCTACTCTCTTTTCTGCACTGCTAACTAGGTGGTTCATTTTGTTTTTGACGTACAACTACTGCATCTACTTATGAGTAGTTTGGAGATATACACACAAAAATATGCAACCGCAAGACTTTGACAGCGCGAGCACATACGAAGAGTGGAGAGTTAAAAAATCAAATATTTTTATTTTTTGAGTTCCTTATTGTAAAAAATGGGGAGCAAAGTAAAGATGGGTAGGTAGGTAGATAGATAGATACGTAGGTAGGTAGACAGAGAGTTGAGTTTATTCCAATGTAATAATAATAATAATAGGCTTTTGAATTTTGTTAATATTATTATTAGTAGTAATATTATCATCATCATTATGATTGTTATCATTATCTTAAATCATGCAAACGTTATGACGTAATGTACACACACGCATACATACATGCGACTACATGATTTTGCTTTCTGCTCCTTAGGATACAGTGTTTATAGTGTTTGTTATATGTAAATCACTAATTGTCCTTATGCGCAATCTCTCTCCGCTCCGCCCCAGCACCACAACTCCTTGTTTTGATAATGTATTATAATATATTTCACATTTTCTAAATTGTTTTTCTTTGTTTCTTTTTTCTTTTAATAAGCGCTTTCAACTTGTGTATATGTGTGGGTGTGCGGGTGTCTGTGTGCGAATCTATGTGTGTATGTGTGTCGCCCATTTGGTTTCAGCTTCTATGGCATATACAATACACTAACACGAACACACACATACACACAGAGCTTCACTGACTCATCCATCATCAGTCGGCGGCATACATGCATATATGTACCATGTGATAACTTCTCTGAGCATACACAAGCTCTTTCTATTATATACACATACAGCTTTTTCTCAAACTATGTGGTCCTTTCACACGTTCATCTCCTTCCTTCTTTCTTTTGGTTTTTATGTTCCTTTTGTAACCGGATAAAATTTGACTGTGGTATTGAATAATCTACGCTTTAGGTTAATTATGCAATCGTATTTTCCTGAAGTATTAATCGAGGTTTTCTATTTGTGTGTGCGTGAGTGTGTTTAGCTTGTTGGGCGTATCATATGTCTATCAACGCTTTGCACTCCTACATAAAGAATATGTGAACGGATAATATCTTTTATCTTTATTATTTTCAAAGTACATATATATATATATTTGTAGTTATTTCTATTCCTTCTTTTAATTTCACAGGAAGTGCTTTTCCAAATCTCTCCTTCTCTCTGTGTTAACTGTCGTCGTGTGAATGACAATGAGGTGGTGGTGAGGTCGCTACACCTTCTGCTAAAGTGTTGCGTACATTGGTTGATTGATTGATTGACTGATTATTGATTTTGCTATTGTCATCGTTTCCTCCTTCTCGCATCAACCCCCACTTAAAGTCTCTATTCTACACAGGGTTATTTCTCAATTGTATCTTTGACGGTTTTGTTGTGATTAAATTATCTTGCCAAATTTTATTCTTCTTACTAATTTTTATTTTGATAATTACTATTGTTACTACTGTTATTATTATAAGTAGCATAAGTATGTTTGGGTTAATTTTTAACGAATAATAATAACTCTGATGGTTATACCACTACTACTGTTAGTACTGCTGTTGTTTGTTTGCTTGTTTTCTGCTTCATCATCGCTGTTGTTATCTATGTTTATCCTGTGTATGTGTGTGTGTGTGGGCGTGTGTTGTTTTGTTCCTGTGTCCGTCCGTCGGTCTGTTGTTCGTGTGGGTAACTGGGTGTCGACTGTATTCCCAATGTGTATGGTATTATACACACTATGTACGTCGACAGCTTCTATGCACACACTCACACACACACGTAAAAACTACATTTATATACGGATCATGTTCTCTTAGCGTTCATCATTCCTGTTATTGTAGTAAACAAAAAAAACTGATGAGTTATCAAGATAATATCACAATTTTTTTGTAGTTTTTCTTCTTTATTTAGTTTAATCGGTTTTCACTTTCTTAGTGTTTGTATATTTGATAATTTTGATTATATATGTGAGGATATATACATTACACATTTTAATCTTGTTTTTTATTTCTAGTGTAATAATATTGACAGAGGTTTCTTCTTCTAGTTTACGCCTTGACTAGTAGTCACACACACACTGCGTCTATCTCTTGTGTGATTTTCCTTCCTTCTCTTCCTCTTCTACTTCTATGATTCTTGTTTTTGTGTTTGCATGTGTGTGTGTGTGTGTTATGGCGTCTGAACCTTATATGCATATTTGTGTACGTGCGTGGGTGTGCGTGCGTGCGAGTGCCTCATATGTAATTTGTTCAATGTAGTAGGCTGATGATGTAATGTTTTATTGATTGCTCCCCGCTCTCTCTCTCCGCCCCTACAACCAAGACAACCACCACCACCACCACCACGACTTATTTGACTTGACAGACTACTGCTGCTGAGTAACTGAAGTGACCGACTAATATGATTATTTATTGTCTTGTCTTTGTGCATTGTAATCTTTGTTTGTTTGTTGTTGTTTCTTGTGCGTCTATGGAGTATAACAGCTTATCGTATACAGCTTATAGTGGCGAATATTTTAAGCTGTCTTATATATTGTAAGTAATAACACATAGACCAGTGATATGTAATAACAGAGGCGAGACTACTCGTACAGAAAATTAGTACTATATATAGCAGTCACACACATTCTTGTGAAAAAAAATAATAATAAAACAAAATAGAAATGTTATTTATATTTATATATTTCCTTTCTTGAATTTGCTTTCTGTTCTCTCTTTTCTCCTAGCCACTTGTTTGTTTTTTCTTTTTTATATTTTTTGCCTTGTTAGCACGCACTCACGCGCGCGGTTGTCCGCGAGTGTGTGTGTGTGAGTGTGTTGATCTCACCGTTTCTTTTTCTCTCTCTCTCTGTCTCTATTTCTGTGTATTCCTTTCCATTGTCTAACACATTTAGCTTTTTTTGTCTTATGAACTCTGCATTACATACACACACATACACACACGCTCACAAACAAACAGACGACATTCACACACACTTCATTACAATAACACACTTATATAAATATATATTTATGTATTATGAAACGCTGATGTTTATTTATGTAAATTGTCACTTCATGAAGGAAAAAAAAGAAATCCACAGTATACATATATATAAATAAATAAATAAATAAAACTTCAATTAAAAATGCGACAGTTTTTGTTCTCCTCATCGCATCCCTCAGTTGGTTGTAAGACTGCACCAACCACGTTTGGTGTTGAAACTTCCAAACCTCAAGTGGCTTAGTAGAAGATCTATGTATGCTAGCGGAAAAAGCACACAGGAATGAAACAATTTTTTGCTTTCTTTAAGTGTTTATTTCTTAGGGATATGATTGGTTTGATTATGGATTGATATTGGTCAGGTACAGGAACTAGAGAATTCGTCGTCCGAATTGGTGAATGGTCGTCAAAGAGGTCGCTTTGTAACCTGAAGGTCTTGGGTTTAGTCCTTAGCAATGGGGTTGGGCCACAGGTGTGCGTACTGATGAGGAGTTCAGAAATAGGACGAAATTCATTTAATACTCACTAGTGACTGACTGGCTATAGGATGGAGTTACATGAAGTTGTAGTGAGAAGTCTACCAAATTGGGAGTGAGAGCAAACACTGTCCGATAAAAATGACTGGCAGTCGTATTCAGTATTGCAAATTGACGGAATCTACATTTGATGGGTTCATTGGATTTTCATCCCAGTAAATGAATAATATACAAGCTTGTCTTATGACATTAGGGATTTTGGTTCGATCCCTGGTGGGCCCATAGATGGGTAATGTTGAAAAGTCCTTAACTAGGGTGAAATCACTGTCCACTACTCTATGGTTATCAATCATTCTCTGACTGAAATCAGTATGTGATCAAATTTGGCATCAGTTAAATTCTTGAAGATCGAAACGTGGAAAATAGTTTAGTGCTCATTCATTACTAACTACAGAATGAAGTTGTCTCGATTTCAAGCTAGGAGTTATGACCTGAGCTCCTAGTTCACCAACTTAGGTGTAACGACAATGACGCGATAAGCCATAAATCTCCAGTGGTTAGAACTGACGGGCCCATCGAGTTCTGTCTCGGTTGATGAATGGTGGTCGAATAGGGTTCCCTCATAACTTGAAGGTCCTGAGTTCAGTCCCTAGTGGTATTAGGGTGCGTACCGATGAAGAGCCCTGAACAAGGACGAAAGGGATGTCCAGTGCCCTGTGCTTTTCAATGGTTCTCTGACTGTTATCGGTTTCGCCATTGCATTACTATTATTTTTGTCTCAGTAGTATAAAACAGTTTGACTGAGATAGAGTGGTGTATGGAATTTTAGGATAATCAGTTCTCTCTTTGCAGGGAACTGTGCCTGTTGTGTACGTGCGCGTGTGTGTGTATGGTAACAGTTGACGATACACTCTAGTTGCTGAAACTTGGAAGAATGTGACAGATTAGGTGTAACATAAGTACGAAATGTATACATAAGGGGATGACAGGACCAACAAAGTGAAAATTTTGAAAATGGAAGTATACACTTTGGATCATAGGAATTATTAGAAAGATGGTTGTAGAAAAGAAAATGTTTTATTGTAAAGGCATGAGAAAGTTCCAGAATCATTTCTGGTTAAAGGTCAAATTAATAAAATTACAAATTGTAATAATCATCAGGAAGGTTGAATAGAAGAGACATAATAAGACCGTAATTACTGAATAACTTGACTATTTGTACAAATTACACATTGACAACGTAGAAATAACAAAGTTGGTAGGAAGGTCGGACATATAAAATTTCTTAAAAAAAACAGCAACTAAATCTAGTAACGCAGATAGGAATTAAAGGGAAAAATGACAGCAGAAATAAACGGGTGGGTCGGACAAGAAACGCAACTGGATGATCATTATTGGTGGGACTGACTCTTCATGATGGCCACGGTTGGACGTGTTTCTTTTGAACACATAGAGTGGGCTCGAGCTTTTAGATCATCAGTGCCTCAGCTATTCCTAGATTTCATTCCCTTCGATTGGATCTTGTAATATGAATTTGAAGGACTTTTGAAATGGGGCTGAATTCTTTTGGAATTCACAAGCAGATGTTCTGTTGTCGAACTGTATACACTCTTGCGTTCCCCCTTTGCTAACCATGGTTGGTAGTGTTCCCGAGAGCGTTTTACAAGAAGACGCATGGTACAGCTAATATACTCGGCTTCACACGAGCAAGTGAACTGGCATATACATGTTGAAGTGGACCAATGCAACAACTTGTCTTTCACGTTCTGGTTGAATAGTTTCTTTCAGGAAAATGTCACTCGTGGGCTGGCGGTGAAGTATGCTTTACTGAGAAACTTCGAAATCTGTCTACAGAGAAGTTCTGCTTCGGCGTCACTTTTATATATTCTAAGTTCAGTATCAGCATCTTTTTGGGGGGGTAACTTGAACCTTTTTTCAGGTGTTTTCGTTGGTTGTAAACTCTTATTATGGATGTGGATGGGAATCCATTTGACCGAACACAATTTTGGAACTTTCTCACCTATTTACTACACGAATGCACAGCCTAGTTGGATAACTTTGTCGAAAAGAAAATTTAAAACGCTTTAAGTGTGTAGCTTAGTTTCTCATACAATTTTCCAAACATCACTCGACGATTCTTATCAAGTAGCATCTCAAAATTGTATGTTGGCTAAAGAATCGCGTAGAGCACACTGAACAAAGTGATTCAATGTTTTCAACGTATACGGTGGAAGTAGTGTACTTCAGGTTCATTTATATTAAGTAGAGTTTACAGACACACAGTATAGGCAGGAATAAAGTGGCAGTGTATTAAAATCTTTGCTCCACAATGAAGATCAAAGCTCCGGCCGGTCTGAAAGAATTAGAGGCAAGAAACTCTGTCTGGCAACAAATCAACACTAAGAGTCGATTGCTCACTGAATGTGCAGGAGAAAATGGAGATGAATTGATCGAGCATACGCCATTGAGGAAACCGTCGAATGACATCACCCTCAATGCAAGCCATCACTCCAGTGGAATTCCAATGAGAAGCGACGAGTGGGTCGTCGGTGCTAGGGTGACATGGAAGAGATCGCGCGGTGAAGCGGAGATGAGAGATTATAGTCAATCGTGGGGTCAGCCAGCTGAAGAGAACATCAGACAAGCCCTATGTTCCCCTCAGGACTCAAGGCAGTAATATTAAAAATAATACTACTGTATCTACAGTGTAATGGTAGGTGGCCCACCAACCATGAATGTGATCCAGATTTCGATCCCTGACCGACAAACTCCTGAAAACCTCGCCTAACCGGTAAGTAGTAAACCCGTTAGAGAGAGAAGATTTGTTGGGAAAACTTCAAAGCTCGAGTTATATTAATATATGTGTAAAACTTGTGCACTGTGGTAGTAACTAATTCCATATTAGTTTGTTTATTAAATGTATCACACAGTCACAGAAACAGTATTACTGTTTACTGGATGACGTTTCGAACAAAATTTATTCATTGTTCATAATCATTTCATCAATTATAATCACACAAGACTTTGAAACTTGAGGTGTATAGTTTTCTTTGTTCTCTCCTATTTGTCGTCGTTGGGGTAGTAGAGTTTTCTAGATACCTGAGTGAACAGGTGTTGAATCATTTCCTATTACACGTGTTGGTTTGCAGTTGATTCGATAAAGAAAGCTTCTGTTATCAGTCTCTCCCTCCAACCTGTGGCATTAGACTTTAAAACTACTGTCATCTTATCCCATCCATCCTATTGTATGGTTGTGTGTAACTGCATGTGGTGTAGTGCTATAGCTGAACTATTCTCCAGTTTCCTTATCTTATTTGGGTCAACTAATCACTAGGAGTACATTATACATAGAAGGAGCCTCGGTAAACTTACGCAGAATTCTTAACAAGGCAGCAATAAAAAAGGCTGGCATTCAAACCAACCACAAACTTAATTAGAAACAAGCTTTGTCGGTTAAAGGATCAATCCTGTTGAGCCTTTAAAACTGATATGTATCTATGAAATATGTGTGTTTGTTTGACAGTCTGTTATATTTGCTAGGTATATATGGATCGATATTCCACTATAATTTGCAATCATGTTAAGACTGTCTATTGGTTTGTTCATTTTGAATATTCGCCCACACACTTGTGTTCACACACTTGTTCGGACATTCACACTATTTTTGCTCTCACACACTTGTGTGACATTGATTCTCCTTGTGTTTGGAAAATAGAAGTATCATCGTAAACCTAGTGGTCTTCTGACTTCCGTCTTTCTCGCGTCAGGACTATTAAATTCTCGACCAGTACATAACAATAATTTGGCGACGGGGAAAACTATGGAGTCTTCTAAATTGGAATTACTATTTGAACGACAAATGAAATTAATGGAAATGTTCGTCAACAAACAGACTGGTCCAACTTCACCTTCAAGCAATCTGAATCATACCATGCTACCATCTGTCGACGGCATTGTGAATAGTATTTCACAGTTCAATTATAATCCAGATGCTAATGTCACTTTTGACACATGGTATCAACGATATGAGGATTTATTCACTGTTGATCTCGCCTCACAAGACGATGCTTGGAAGGTGCGAGTGTTATTACGTAAATTGGGTCCCGCAGAATATGAAAGGTACTGCAACCTAATTTTACCCCAGAAACCACGTGACAAGTGTTTCGATGATACAATAAAGCTGCTGCGTGAACATTTTGGAGACCACTCCTCATTATTCAGCATACGTTATCGTTGCCTCAAGCTGACAATGAATGAAAATGATGATTTTCTTACTCACGTTGGCACAGTCAACCGAGAATGTGAGAGATTTCGACTCAGGTCCTTAACAGATGATCAATTCAAAGCCTTGATTCTCATATGCAGTCTTCAATCTCCTCGTTTCACAGATATCCGAACTCGACTGCTCAATCAGCTAGAACAAAATCCTAAGTTAACATTACATGACATAGCTGATGAATATCAACGGCTGATTAATTTGCAGAAAGACACACACCTGGTCGAATCAACAACTTCGAGAAGCTCTGATATTCATGCATTACGAAAGAGCAAAAATCTCTCATCATCCAGTCCTGACCCACCTTCTCCTAATGTTCCGCGGAAATCTACACATACTCGTCCAACTTCAAAAAATACTGCAAAGAAGACCCCACCATCACCATGCTGGCATTGTGGCGCGTGGCACTTTGTAAAGTCTTGTCCGTACAAAAATCATCGTTGCAGCAAGTGCAAAATCATCGGTCATAAAAATGGTTTTTGTCAGCCACGCAAACTCAGATATCAAAATCCAGCGAAAGCTCGACAAACTGTTGGTCCTAAATCCCCAAAAAGGTCAATGAGTCTAGTCGCAACCTGTCAAGTCACAACACCAGGTATGCGGAAATATCTTGATCTTCAGATGAATGGTCATGATGCACGTCTGCAGCTAGATACCGCCTCTGATATTACTGTTATATCAGAGAAACTTTGGAATGATATTGGCAGACCACCTATCACAAATACTTCCCAGACACTTGTCAGCGCCTGTGGTGGGCGGCTCAAACTAATTGGTGAACTCAAATGTTCTGTTTCATTCCGTAACATCAAATTCACAGGAATTTGCTACGTCACCAAGAGTGATTTAAATCTTTTGGGACTTGATTGGTTCGATCGTTTGCATCTGGCTGATGTCCCACTAAATTCGCTATGCAATGCAGTCAAGAAGCATAAAATGTCAGACAATTCCGGACGAAGCCGAAGCCGCAAACCCAACAGGCAGACGAAGCGACAGACGTCAACAACAAGCTCAAAGGTTCCAGATAAACCCCCAGGAAAACACGCTACTAATCATCAATCTTCTCAAAAGGGGAGGTGATATGTATCCATATAATATGTGTGTTTGTTTGACAGTCTGTTATATTTGCTAGGTATATATGGATCGATATTCCACTATAATTTGCAATCATGTTAAGACTGTCTATTGGTTTGTTCATTTTTGAATATTAATTCTCGACCAGTATGTAACAAAAACAAAACTATTTAGTTTATCTAATGGTTATCAGGTCAAATATATAGGTCAAACTAGTAGAACAGGGAAAGTGTGACTAGCTGAACAGAAAAACGTAGCAGCAAAATCTAGATTGGTTGACCCAAGTAGGATAAGAAATCTAGTCCAGCTATACCATTCACTAAATGGAATTACACACAACCATACAATATGATGAGATAGAATGACAGTTTTAAAATTTAATGTCACAGGGTGGAGGGAGAGATTGATAACAGAAGCTTTCTTTATCGAATCAACTGCAAACCAACACGTGTAATAGGAATGATTCGACACTTGTCTACCCAGATATCTGGAAAATTCTACTACCCCAAAGACGACAAATAGGAGAGAACAAAGAAAACTTCAAAAGTCAATTTTCGAAGTCGTGTGTGATTATAATTGATAGAGTGATTATGAACAATAAATAAATTTTGTTCGAAACCTTGTCATCCAGTAAACAATACTGTTCCACTGACTGTGTCATACATCTAATAAACAAACTAAACTGGAATTCAAGGCTCGAGCTTGAAATCCTATGTTCCACTTGGAACGCAAAAGATCAAAATAGTATGATCACAATAGAAATAAAACAAAACAGCATGGAAAATGTATTTATTTATCTATTTACAAATGTGTGTATATATATATATCAGTAAAATTAAAACAAAACTTATCTAAAAGTTAATTTAAGGAAGACAAATCATCGATCGAGTGTATTTTTTTTCTAGACTTTTTTTTCTTTTAATGTTTTCAATATAATATTTCTATGCATTTACTAATAATAATAAAGTAATAAAACTTGATTATTTACTAAAGCTTCATCACTAAATTTTCGTTTACCCTGGTACTCGCCTTTTGAATCATACGCCACGTGAATTTTTGGCGGGGAATTAAAATCATAAAGTATTGATTGAAAGTGTACAATAGTAATTAATGTTTGAAAACTAACAATAAAATAGACACGTTGTATACTTGATTCATATTGACGAACAACACTAAGTAGATTATGTGTACCTTTTGGAATGAATGTGTACACTGTATTTTGATCAATTGGTGTATTTAACAAGGATACAGAGGATGATTTCTCCCAATAATCTTTCCAATCAAGTAAACGTTGTTTGCCTTTTTGAGGTAGATTTATATTACTCGGCCAATAAGTAGTATAATCAAGATAATTATCAAATGACCATTTTAACAAATCTTTATGACCAGTCACCTGAAGAGGGAAAGCAAAAAGGAGAAAAAGAAAGAACTGTTATATGTATATATATATATATATATACACATTGATGATCAAGTCGAATCACTCTAAGCGTCGTGGATAGTTCTATAGTGGAATGCTTACCAGCCATTACTCACAGGAGATGTGGGTTTGATTCTCGGCCAGTGTAAATGCAGAGTAAATACACAGCATTGATTAAGGCACTCTACTCGTAATCATGCAGCTAGGTGAGGGCTTACGGCGAGTTGTCATCTGAACTGTGGACAACTAGTGATGTCCGTCAGGGGGGGCCACTATTCCCATTTCTATTCAACTTCATCATAGATGTACTAATGGACTTAACCCTAAGTGACTTCAGAGACTCAGGGATTGACTTGCTACCACCAGGGAATAATCTCGTTGACTTAGATTATGCAGGTGATATAGTCCTTCTAGGTGAGGACGCTGACAAAGTAGAGCAGAGTCTTCTGAACATCTTGATAGGCTGCAATCTACGAATGTTTGGCATGCGATTCGCTACCGCCAAATATAACATGATTTTACAGGACTGGACCACACTGACTCCTAGTTTAGAAAGAGGGATTGAAGTCGTAGAGCACGTTGACCGCGGGTTGATCTCTGACTAAATCTCAGCACGGATACAGAGGGCTAGTTTCGCATTTGCCAGTTTACGCCGTCTATGGCGTAGACGGGATATCCGACTATCGACCAAAGGGTGGGTGTACTGCTCATCAGTCCGCTCCGTCCTCCTTTATGGCTAGCTGTGAGACCTGGCCATTGAGAGTGGAAGACATGAAAAGCGTGGCTAGCTGTCTTTGATGATAGGTGTCTGCGTTCTATCTCCCGTGCAAAGTGGTATAATAAGGTGAGAAATATTGAGGTTAGGAGTCGAGTTCTAGGTAAGGAGGGGAAATCAATCGAAGAGGTTGTGAAGTTACATACACTGAGATGGTTAGGACATGTGTTACGTATGCATGACTAGCCATCGCCTTCCTCGAAGAGCAATGTTAGCTGATATAGGGTCAGGCTGGAAAAGAGCTAGCGGTGGTCAAACCAAAACATGGCACCAGTCAATGAAATCTACAACACTTAGTCTAAGCCAGGTAGGAAGGTGTAGACTTCCCGGTTGGTGTCCTCGGGAGGGTAAAGACCAATGGTTGGAAACAATTTGTGGTAAGGCTCAAAGTAATCGTTCTCAATGGTGCAGATGCATCCACTCCTTGTGACTTATGATTTACAATGAAACTGTTTTGTTTTTCGTTACTACTATTCCTTTGTCTCACACCTCTGTTTACTGTCTCTATTTTGCATTTCTTGCACTTTTTTCTCTTGCTTTGTGTGCTACGAAGAAGGAGTGTGGCGACTTGAACTTCCGCACATATGTGCAAAGTTCTATGTCGAAAACAGACAGACTTGGCCAGTGTACTCTTCTAAAAGTCCCTCTTTTCCTAATTGGTAGGAAGCACGGAGAAAAGGCGAGAAAGTTTTGTATAATGAGACTAGTGGCTCCATCCCCTCCCAACCCCTTACCTTTAAAATCATCACTGACATTCACTACTGAGACTTCAGTCCTTGAAGCTCTACGTTCAATTCAGGGAGGCGGTTTGCTTAAATCACTGGACTGCCTTATAACTTCTTATCCATCAAAATGGATTGTGTTTACTGCCTTCCAATATTGTTTTGGTGATCTAATTACGACAGTGATACATAATCTAGACTAGAATTGATAATTTAAGTCATTACGCTGAGATAGACTGTTTTGTCATAACTTGAGTAACTATGATTCTCTTAAGGTAGCCAAATGCGTCGTCATCTCTGCCGCTTCCCTTCCTCATCGTGGATATACCTTGTGTACTGTTACACGCAGTCCAATTTATTATTGGTGTTTTTCGCCATCTAATCTCCCGTTGCCCAACCCAAGGTTGCCCTTTATCCAGTGATAGATGTGGCACGCTGTGACCATCTTATGCTTCCCTAAGATAAACGTCTCTGTATAAAATTTGTCTCCTTTTGGCTAACTTGCCCCAAATGACAAAATCCTGTCCGGTGCTTTGAGCATCAACGTGATGAAATTCACCTGGGCGGAACCAAGAGAGGAGTTACACGCTCCAGACACCTCCTCGTGGTACCCACCGGGAAGGGTTCAGTATACTGATTCCAAGCTAAGAGTTAGTGTACGCATGAACAACATCTGTGTCTGGCTACTGAGCTTAAATGAACCATACGGGAGAATCCCTAAAGCTTAATGCGGACTACGGGAGTCCAGAGGACCTAGATCACTGGAAGTTTGGGCGAGAGGGTCTGGACCGGTTTAACTTGTGACTCACGGTTAGCAGTTGGCAGCGGATGGCTTGGTAACCCCATCACAGATTACAGGAAGAGCATTCAGGATGGCAGTCAGTCGGAAGGGGTGTTCATGCAATGGTAAGTGGATTAGCGGTCGGGATCTCGTGTCCATGAGACAGGATGAGCTGTCTCCAGTGCATAAGGGTCCCTGATTAGATGTTCCCCCTTCCGTGATGCACAACAGCGATGTTCGTGCTTTGTACCGATATATAGAAAGCAGCATTTCGGAGAGAAATATTCTAGGATTTGTATCAAACACTGGATCAGCTCGCGTCACAAAAATAAAAAGATGCACCCTAAGTCCCGATGTCGATGCAATTGGCAGAAATCACAAGCAACGTGCACAGCCTTCCATGCCATACCTTATGCAACCAACCAATCAGATTACTTATTGGTAGCATGCTAATGTATTATAAAACAAAAACTTATTTTCCGAACCTGATTTCTCTGTGGGCTTAGCACGATCAAAGATATTCAACGAGACCACCAGTTGTAGTTGGTCAATAGTCGAGTCACCTATTGCTTTCAGTGTTGAATCCAAAACCCAGCACTATTATATCGAAGGTTGTAAGAAATTTGACAATGGGGTTACCGATCATATTCACCATTATATTCAAGGCCTGTTAGATAAGTGATAAATTGGTCACTTTGAAATCTGACGACCCCTGGTTTATAATCTCAAATAAGATCCTTGCTTTCACTTATACAAGTGCTCTGTACTAGGACGACGGCGTAAAGTGTAAACAGAGGATAAAGTTAGATGGAATTAACCTCTAGGATAAAATGAATAAATTTTCAGGTTTCTGTTTGCAGGGATTTGATTGATTAGAAGTTTGTTTGATCGTAAGCTGACACCAGTTGGAGAACCGTTCAAAAATCAGGTAGGAGTACTGGATAGGTGTTTGGGACTCTTCACCATCATTATGCAGCCATCGGAGGCCGACTTCAGAACCTTCCGGTAACAAGATAAGTTTGTAGACTATTCATTCAGCCACTGGGACTTGATCCAATGGCTCATGTATTCCTACATCTGCTGATTTAGGATGTCTACAGCGCAACCGATAGTCAATTTCATCGGCAAAAAGTTCCAAATAAGGACGAAACAGCCGCCCAGGACGTCTTGGACCTCGAATGGTTCTCTAACTGACGTCAGCTTATGATAGAACCTGTTTTTTTGTTTTCCTTCACGTTCCCCAGTGGAACATAGGGCTTCAAGCTAGAGGCTTGAAGTTTCTGTAGCAGTGTTTATTTTACATGATGGGGTTGCTAGCCTCATGCCCAACCTTTCCTCTTTATCAGGTTTATTTCTGGTTTAGCGAGGTAAAGGAGTGCGTCGATGGCCGGGGATCGAACCTCGTATCGTGTGCATGGTCGGCGAGCGTCCTAACCGCTATGCCACCGACACACGATCGAACTTGTAAAATGAATAAATCTTCTGGAGTATAGGAAGCGTAATTTCTTCATAAAATGTTGACTTACCAAATCAACTTCTTGTCCAGCCATCATTAAATAACTCCCTGGTAGAAAATATGCCAATTTTTGAATTGTAGCAAAATCTTTATTATCTTCACTTAATTGGATAACTTTCCATATTGGACTACATTTTCGTAATAGTGTATTATTCATAGCTGAAATCAGGAGGTAATAGTTTAAGTGATATTTAATCATAGGGTAAAATAAAAAGACAGTTGTAGCGAAGAAAATTCTCCTTTCCACAAAGTCACTATCAACTAGATAGCTGTACATTCGTGTATTTATAGTAAATCGATAGGAAAGTTCCAGAATAATTTCCCGTCAAGGGTCAGATTAATAAAATTACCACCAGGAATTAAAATGCCATTTTAAACAGAGGAGGGGACGGATAAAACTCAAACAAAGTAGCATCATAATTACTGAGATGATTGACATTGATTGTGCAATTGGGGGGTTAGAAATGTAGAAATAACAAAATAAATAGACAGGATGTTTGAATGAGAAACTGATGTGACGAATAATTGTTTATGCAGTTAGGGATTAAATATGTAGAAATAATAAAATGACAAAGTGGACAGGAAGTTCAGATACGAAAATATGGTATTGTAAATAGTGGAGGGATTAAGAAAAACTTAAAAATAACATGAATAAACAGGAAGTTTGGATAAGAAAGGGAATTGGATAGTCACTGTTAGAAGAATTTATCTGGTTATGATGGCCATGGCAGGGACAAGAATTGAACGTATTTCTTTTGGATACATAGTGTGGGTTTGAGGTTTTGGATGGCTAGTGCGTCGGTTATGCCCAGATGTCTTAATTTTGCTCCTTTGATAAGTCAACACGAATGTGTCATAAGCAGTTTCATTATGTAAACACAAGCTGCTTCTACAAATTTACACACAAACCTAACAAATCACACCTGGTTTTGTTATCTCTACCAATTGGCCAATTAGACAACGCAAAAATAACCCCATGCTAAGGAAAGATGGTTCAGTTTATATATATATATATATAATTATAAATTATTTAAATTAATCCCAGCGTGTTAAGAAAATCAAAACAAGATTTTTCTGAACGTTTCACCGTGTAGGAATGAAAGTTTCAGTAGCTTTAAATCTCGTTATAACAGAGCTAGAAACATTATAACAGATAATGACGATATGGAGAACGAGATAACCAATAAAAAACAGATTTTGATTGGAAATGGTTATCGTGAAAAGCTACTAGATAATATCATCAATAGCCATTCCATTTCGAAAAGACACAGCTGAACAACTTCAAAGACTATTTACTTCATATAATATTAAAGTCTATGTCAAACCTTCTAATTCTCTAGAGAAAGCGCTGGTGCATGTCAAAGATTTAGTTCCCAAAAATGTCACAAAGTAATTGCGTCTATTGAATAAAGTGTTCAGAATGTGAACCTTGCTTACTATATAGGGGATAGCAGTAGAAAGGTAAAGGTCAGAGTGAATGAACATGGACTATGCACGAAACGTCCCCGCCTAGAAATGAAGTAGAATTAAAAAGTCTAGAAAAAAGATCGGCTATAGCAATGCATGCGATAGACAGCGGACATAAGATTGATTTCGACAATGTCGAAATACTTGGAAGAGGATTTCATTCAACACATAAGGAAAGCTTGACCTCTGAAGCTTTGCACATTTTAACCACAGCGAATAGAAAAGAAGGGATAGACTTATCACTTATGTGGCAAACTCTTATGAAGCAAGACAGATGAAATAAAAACAAACACTCTATGAGCCTCCATGACCTTTTAAAACATGTAGTATCGTTAGTATACAATTGGTGGATGGTGGCTAGCAGTGGAATCTAGGATAACGTGCATTTCGTCCTATTTGAGACTCGTCAGCTGGGTGTACCTGCATTTCTCAGTAAGTGATGATGTTCCCACCGAGGCTCGAACCCAGTGCCCATAGTTTCAAACGCCAAAGCGTTATCCACTAGACCACTTGGGTCAAGAGAGCCACCTCTTGTGCAACGGGTCATATTAATTATTGAATTTTTGATTTTCCCGTTGATTGATTGAACCGAAGTGCTCGGTCTCAAGTTGACATGTCGGCGGGAAGATCAAAAATTCAATTCATGTAGTATCATGTTTATCACATGTGAATTCAAGTATTTTCCATATGGCAAATAACATACCCTGCACACTCATACAGAAGTAATCCTTACAAATCAACTATAGCAAAATATACACAATAACAATTTGACATTAGTCATTAAAAATATATGTGATGATTGCTTACATATTTCTAGCGGTAAAAATGTCCATGGTCAAATGACCTTCAAATAAACTGACTTCAATTTATGTAGAAAAAATCTTGACTGTATATATTTTGATGATTAATAAAAATCCGAACAATTCTGCTGATGAAGAAGCCGTGGTTTACACAGCGAAATGTTCAGAAAACAGATCTCGTTTTGATTTTCTTAAACACTCTGGGATTAATTTAAATAATTTATAATGAATCAATCTGACTCGACGCTCAAATTATTCCAGGAAGTTCGTAACACTTACAGTCTGGAAACCTATAATGTTATATATATATATATATATATATATATATATATATATATATATATAAGCTGAGATTTTATAAATTCTGGTCCATTATAATGAATATCGTATACCACCCAATACCCAAATTTTTTTCAAAATGTTAAAAGTGAACTTGGCTTAAACATAATAATAATAATAATGTTGATCAGGGATGAATTTAATTAAATTAACAGCTGGGCCTTTCAAAAAATTTGTATATTACCTTGTTGAATTTGTGAGTCTAAATCATTACGTCGTGTAGGCACACGAATATTAATTGTAAGCGTAAATAGGCAAACTTTATTCTCAGTATTAACCATTGCATCAATTACTGGCTCATCAGCAAACCATATAAATTCATCTAAAACGAAAATTAAAAGTAGATGTGATTGTGTTTTTGATATGTATCCATATATATATATATATATATATATATATATATATATATGTATGGTGGTCTCTCTTTCTTTTGCTCTCTTAGTCTGTGACCATTTCACTTGTATGAACCTGTCTCCTTTAACAATGTATATTCCCCTTATATTATATATAATATGTGTGTTTGTTGACAGTCTGACCTTGGTGACATGTATCCATATAAATTGTGTGTTTGTTAACATGTCTGCTATATCTTGCTATGTATATATGGATCGATATTCCATTACAATTAGCCTATCATGTTAAGACTGTCTATTGATTTGTTCATTTTGGATATTCGCTCACACACTTGTTCGGACATTCATATATATTTTGCTCTCACACTCTTGTGTGACATATTGATTCTCCTTGTGTTTGGAAAATAGAAGTATCATCGCAAACCTAGTGGTCTTCTGATTTCCGTCTTTCTTGCGTCAGGACTATTAAATTCTTGACCAGTACATAACAATAATTTGGCGACGAGTACATAACAGTTTTCTAGTGTTTTTGTCTGTTTTCACAGCTCGGCAGATTGCTTAAAGCTTCTTTGGAGCTTCTTTTATTCTTCCCTCTTATTTGTATTCTATAGTGAACACCTTCTTAAACATACTTAGCTACCTGAATTATTATTATTATTATGGGCTTACTTTTTTGTACTTTATTTTATTCCTTCTTTTGTGTATCTACTGCTTCCGACCATATTAGCACTATGAGTATTACAAAATTGTCCTGTCATTAACCATCATGTAATATTAATCTTGTGGTTGCTTGTGTTCAGCAATATTATCTGACAATCTTGTTTATGAATGCCATTATTACCATGTTAAAAAGTTTATATTATGCAGGATTACTCACACACTACCACTACAAACACCGCAAAAGACCTGACAAAAACCCTGAAATGTTTATTTTATGATTGTTTAGTGTAGTTCAAATCAAATTAACTGATCATCTTGGCTATAAACATTCTTAAATATCAATTCATTACTTCTAGCATAACTATAGCTTTATTGTCACCACGCATAAACATATCATAGCTTGCATCACCCAATACGGAGATATTATTTATTATGTTGTTTATTTTCCTTTCTAATTATTGGTATTTTTTTCGCATTTTATTTTTGTTTTTCTCTGCTTTTGTTGTTGTTTATATTTATTTTTTGAAATACTCCTTTTTAAATGCTTGATAAAGTTAGATGCAATATTGTAGATAAGTGCTGAAAATTCCACACTGTATCACTAGTACCGTTTTTGGAATAAAGCAAAAGCATTATTATTATTATTATTATTCACACGTTGTTCAAAAAGACAATGAGATCTTCGGGATTAAACACCACATTCAGCTCAGAGAAGATAACAGCACCAACCAACTGACAGGGAAATAGAACAGCAGTTAAGTAACTAACCAGTTAACACAAAAAGTTTCACTAGACACTTATGTTTCCTTGCACGGAGGATTTCATCATGAGCTGACATCAGTTAGAGAACCACTGAAAAACTTGTCAGGGAGTACTGCCAGACAACTGTTTCGTCCTAGTTTGGAACTCTTCATCAGCACGCACCCACCACAGGGGTTCAAACCCAGGACCTTCTGGTTACAAGGCTAGCGAGCTCGTAGACCATTTAGCCACTGGGATCCGATCTAATGGCCACCCTATAGATTCTAACTTCTACCAATTCACGACATAGCGCGACCATTTCGCAATGTTTTCTTCAATGAGTAACTGCCTCATCTTCAACTTGCTGTAACCTGCTGGTCAGGGCTTTCCTCCTTATATCATTATTATTCCCTTTGGTACCGAGTTAGAACATAGGGCTTCAATGGAACTGGCTCCAATAATGACAATAAGCTCTTGTCTCTTTCTCATATAGTCAGTCTCTTCCATAACAAATTTGGACCCCAGATCAACTCAAAACATCTCATTTGGGTACCAGTCAAGTGTCTGTGTGGCTCGCGTTTTCACTCAGCGGTCTCTTCTGTGTGTGTATGTGTGTGTCCTACCTATCTCTATTTTCCTCGGTATATTTTTTGGGTTGTAGGTTATGTGATTGATTCGTTACCAGAGTTCATTGTTGCTAATGTTATCTGACCAGACATCTAAGATTCACTGCTGAGAGAAGGCAGCTGCTGGTAAAAGTCTGAAGCCTGTTTTAAATGGTTATGGCGACACACCAATAAAGTCTGTGAACCATATATTTTTTCCTTCACGTCCCCAGTGGAACATAGAGCTTCAAGCTAGAGACTTGTAGCAGTGGTGTTTGTTGTTTCAGGATAGGGTTGCTAGCCTCATGCCCAACCTTCCCTCTTTACCAGTCTTATTGCTGGATAAGTGAGGTAAAGGAGTGCGTCGGTGGCCGAGGATCGAACCCCGGACCATATGCATGGTTGGCGAGTATCCTAACCACTGTGCCACCAACGCTTGTGAACCATATAGAATCATTGATTTGACATTATTGTAACAGATCCAGACTTTGTTCCTTAGTCTGACTCAAGCAGAATTCCACACGAGCTTTAAAGGAATGAAGATCTCTCTTGTCTTTACAGACCTCCCTAGATTGGAGATCTTCATTCGTGACGAGTGTAATTGAAATGATGTTGGGTTAGATAAGTAAGTCAAGTGACCTTGTCCAAATTAATTTTTCGGTTGATGGTAATTGGTACACTTATTGTTCTTAGTTGAGTATCTTCATCAATTCTGACTTTTCACTTGAAGCCACGTCTTCGTTGTTAGCCTCTCCCGTCAATAGACCTTCGAGTTTATTTTGCACTTAGATAAATTTCACCAATGTACAACCAGAACCCTACCTAAAACTGAAACCCATACCGTACTATATACACATGTGTCCGAAATAGGTGAGAATTCACCTCAGCATTTACTGATCCTATGACCAATATCTCTTTGCGGCATGGAAGCAAAACTAGATATTCAGAAACTAAGAACAGGAATCTCCCCCATAATGTTCCGTTATTCAGTATTTCTTATGTAGAGTGTACGTATTATTATATTATCACTATTGTCAGCTTGACTCTACTAAGATGAACAGCTTTCTATCAGGAATTAGAAAATGGTCTTCGTCTAACGGCCTTAAACTAAATCCTACCAAATGTCAAACTGTTAATTTCAGTTTCTGATGTTAAAGAAAGCTAAATAAAGCTGTTGGTTCCTGTGACCCTAGCAAAATTGATGATAGTAAGGATACAGAAATCAAATATGAAGGTAAGTATCTTGGATTAATTCTTTCTTTTGACCTATCCTGGTCTTCCCATGTCTTAGCGTCTTCTAAAAGAATATTTCGGCTGGCTTTTTACATTAAGAAGTTAAGCCACTCAGGTATTTTACCTATTCTTATTTACTGTTCACCCTTATTCTTTCCTGGGTTGCTTAAAAAAGAATATGTCATACTTCGTAGAACTCTGAAGACTGTCAGTCATTAGGGCAAGTGGTGGTATCCAATTGAGCCATATCGTTGACGTTGTCAATGATAGGCGCTTTTTGTCATGCAACAAATTTGTCAAAGGAATTTTGTCAGACTGTGAGCATCCACCGCAGCACCCGCAGCCCCAACCTTGTGTCTCCTCCTCAGGTAAAACAAGTATTTTCATAAGAATTTATGCACGTACCTCTAAGTATAAAAGTTCCACTATACCATATTTGACGGCATGTACTTTATGTGATGAAAATAGTGTTAGGCATGAACTAACTAACTAACCTTTTTTGCACTACTAAATAAACCATTTCCTCCACCCTTACAACATCAAACTTTATTGTATCGTACATTTATAATCCTCCCAATATTTTTTTTTGTTTATTTTTTCATAAGTTTGGACATCATTTAAGCTGTGTTATAACTGATAATTTTGTATTTCCCCTCACCATGCTGCTATATCAACAGAACATTAGATTCAATAATCTATAACATTCTAAGATTTTCAAACTGAATCGACGATACTGTTTGAAACAAACTCACTGTTATTATTATTATTATATTTGATGATCTCAATTCGTGCTTTGAATATTTTTGACTTTATATCGTAAACGTGGACAAATTCCGCTGATTACTTTTGTTTTAATTTTATTTATATTTTAAGTAAATCAGATGCAATATTGTGACAAATGCTGAGAATTCCATTGTGTATTATGAGTACTGTTCCTCTTGGAATAAAGTAGAAATTTATTATTATTATTATTAAATACATAAATTACGGGATTTTTATGGATTTGAATCAGCGAACCTACATCAGTTAGAGAGAGAGGGGGAGAGAGAAAGAGATAATTGAAAACCAGAGAGGATGGAACAATTGTTTCGCCCTATTCTTGGACTCTTCAATAGTGTGTATCTACGAGGCCAAACTCATTAACCATTCATTCAATTAGAGCGGAATTCAGCGGCCTGTGAATCCCAAGTTTTTCCATTCGTAATCCAGCGTTGCCCCCCCCGCACCAGCGACTTCGATGAGCACTCACTTCAACTTGGTAACATGGTGGGCACCTCTCCCCCCCGCATCTGGTTACCACTTCTCAGTAACGCTTCTTAATATCCAGCCGTCATCCAGTAGCCGTCGACGAGCTGTGGACTGACAATATAGATTATGGAGATTTTGGGTTAATTTAATTTCGATTATTAGCTGTCCAATACTCCCTACTGGTTTTACAATGATCTCTCTCTCCCTATCTGTATATCTACCTGAGGCTAGTTTGTGATGAAGTTTAATAATAATTGAAACGAAATTATTACTATTATCATTATTATTATTGTTAACTTACTATCAGTATCAGTATTTAGTATTTTTCTAACTCCTGCGACCATCTCTTGAAGCAGGTTAGAAGAATTTGTAATCATAACACCTTTGATTTGAAGGTTTTCTTTCCAAAATTTTATTATTTTAATCATTTCTGTTTGTACCTGATGGAGGATATACAGTTGTAGAGGGAAAAACAAATATCAAGAAAACACAGAATACAGGAAATATTAAAATATATTTCTAGTTTTAATTAGTGAAATTAGTAAATACAATATGAAGGTCTGTCAGTCTGTCTGGTTTAAACACAGAACGTTGCACCGATGTGCAGCAGTTCAAGTCGCCACACTCCCTCCACGTAGCACACAAAGCAAGCGAAGAAATTAAAAAGAAACTCAAAACAGAAACAATAAACCGAGATACGAGGCGAAAAGAATACTAATATCGATTAACCATATAGTTTTATTGGAAATTATAAGTCACAAAGAGTGGATGCATCTGCACCAGCCAGCCATTGAGAATGAGGATTCTGAGCCATATCACCGAGGACCCCAATCAGTCAGGAAGTCTACACCTTCCTAGATAGATGTACATCACTCTCTCGTCGGTATTTACTATCACGTTAATCTTATATTCTAACTGATGTCAGCTCATGATCAAATCCTTCATGCAATCTTATATTCCCCATTAATTGATTATGTTGATTATGACTTCTCACTAGAACACAAGTAAAACTACATACCTGAATACAGTCAGTCGCTAATAAACATCAGATCAATATTCAAGTTCTGGTTTGCAGGGTTCTGATTTGATTGTTTACAGGATCTCATCATGATGAGCTGAAATCGGTTAAAGAACCATTGTAAAACCTGTCAGAGAGTACTGGACAGCTAGCTGTCTCATCAGTCTAGTTTGGGACTCTTCATCAGTACACACCCACTGTAGTTCGAGCCCAGGACCTTCTGGTTACAAAGTGAGCTCTTAGACCATTAAGCCACTAGGACCCGTTCCAATGGCTAGGCAGCCAATGAATTCCAACCTCTGCCAATTCACGATATAGCACGACCACTTCGAAATGTCTTCTTCGATGAGTTACTGCCTCATCTTCAACCTGCTGTACCCTACTGGTCTTGACTTACCATTAGAACCCCAGGTAACTACCTACCTGAATAGGGCCAGTCGCTAGTGAGGATATTCTTTGCTGGAATTTTCTTCTCTCTTCTAAATATCCTTAACGATATTTTGAATTATACATAATTGCGTGGAGTATACCTTGCGGCTCATGTCGTTGTATGCTCTCGCCTATGTAGTGAAGTTTGGGGAAACAGATACCTGACATACAGAGTTGATGATTTTGTTCTTGTTTTTGATGTAATCAAACGGTAGCCGTCATCAACTCCCCTGGGTCCAAACTCACCATCCCTATTTCAACTTAACCCTAAGTTCCTAATATTTGAGAAGACGCTCCGAACCGATAATCACTGTGTACATTTCTCGACTTTAACTCCAAGAGAATTGGACTATTCCGTCCTGTACTCATATTGTTTTCACCAATACCTCTTTGGTATCTCCAGGTCATGTGTTCTACGTCAGGTACAGCAGTGCAGTAAAGGATTTCTCCAAATCTTTTTCCATTCCGAAGACAAAATGACAGCGCTCCAACAATGGGGCGTAGATAATTTATCTGCACACTCGGAGGAGTAACGCTTAACGTAAGGTCTACTATCTGACTTGGCTGTAAAAGCAAAACAGGGATTTTGCCGTCAACACCAATTGGAAGCAAAAGGACTTGACCATCATCTAGAGACAGACTATTCAATTTAGAAACTGTGTGATCTAATTCAGAAGGGAAGAATGTCGCCTCTGGCTATGGACAGGATCCACAGTTTTCATTTGTAACTTTAATAAGTCCCCCGACGTCTGAGGAGTCATATGGCGAAGCCCATATACGCGCGTCAAATTCTCTTCTATCAACTGAGTCAAGCGTGTTCTCTACAGTGGCGGATGCATTGTACACCGTAAGATGTCCACAGCTTGTACAACTTGTGGAATGATTGTTTTCAAAAGTGAAATCGAAATACGCTCCAATCGCTCGCTGTAAGTTCCAGACGGCTAGTTCCAGGAAAAACCGCCAAAACTCATCTGATAGATCATTTCCAACGACTGATTTGAGTTGCTGAATCAGCTCATCTTTATCTGTCGTACCCAGTGCAATGAACTGCCCAAGCAACTTGGCATCGATGTCAAACATTCTTAATTCCATATCGAAAACCTTTCATTGACTTTTCATTTTGACGGACATGTTATTGTGAAATATAAAAGTAATGACATCATAACAAAAAATATACCACTTGTATATGTGTATTTAGACTGATTTAATTTTCAATTAGTTATATAACACATCCATTGACAATATATTTCAATAATTCACCTTGAAACAGACAAACAAACAGACAGATAGACAGCAGATTTATGCATTCATTCTCATTGAACATTGAATAAAGAAATAATGGTTGAATATACAGTGCAGACAAACTACTATAAAGTCAGTCAGTCAGTCAGTAATATATATGCATCAATATATATACATACATTTCATATGTGACAGATAAATGAATGAATGAATGAATTTCACTTGTGATATGATTAGGTTGTCTAACCTTACACACACACACACACACACACACACACACACACACACGTATATACACTTCGTTATCATCTGACCTTAAGATCATCGAATGAGTCAACTGAGCAATGCAACCAACATACACGTGTGGGTCTGTCTGAGTGACACCACAGACAGAAAAGTGGCCTTTATACATTCAATTTATTATTGTGACATACATCATGCTTATTATTCTGATTATGAATAGACAAACTAGTTAGTTAGGTGGTATTCAACATCTTGTTTACTTCTAAATAATTAAACATGAATTTATACTAGTCAATGAACCGTAACAATAAACTCAATGAAGCTATTTGGAGTGAGGACAGGAGTGTAAGACAAGACACAGGCTGTTGTTTATTATTATGATCATCACCGATGATATTCCTGATTTGTGGTAGACTGGATCATGTGGAAGACTCCAGGGGGAGGGGCGAGATGACAGGAATACGTTGGATCAATCAAACAGACTCTAGAAGATCTGGGACCTTGTGGATAATTGATATCAAGTTTCATATAAACACACACACACACACACTTGAAGATCTACAAGCGAAAACCAACAACAGAATGCGTCAGTAGTAGTGAAGATACCCAGCCGACAACAACAACAACAAGAAACACCAACCATCATCAGTGGAAGAAAAGTGAAGAAAGCCAACTGCTTCACTCATCTAGGTTGCATCCTTTCAATTACAGGCGGCATATATGAAGATGTTAAAAGCCAACCAGAATCGGAAAGGCATGACAGACATTCAGTGTGGAAATCTTCTGCAGTCAGCATGGAGAACAAGATTCATTCATGTCAAGTCATTCACAGCTTCTACACTATTCAGACTTGGAAGATACGTCATGAAAAGCATTCCTAACAGGTTGCTTTTACTCGCTGCATAGTGAAGATCAGATAGACGGTCAAACAAGGATCTCTTGGAACAAGCCAACCAAGAACTTATAGGTCAAAAAATATGCTGAAGAAAATGAAGATGGAGTTGACACACGCTGACGAGACCGTTGAGTGACACCAGGCAACAGGCACACTCTCGAATAGAACCCAAATGCTAAACAACCAGTTGGGCGTGAAGCCGTGAGTGACATTCAGGAGATCGTGTAAATGACAGGTTGTTGGTAAAGAGGACTGTAGAGAATGAGATGAAATGGCGATGTGCTATGGAAGCCCTATATATATATATATATATATATATATATATATATATATATATATAGGGGGTTCGAACCCAGGACCTTCCGGTTACAAGGTAAGCTAGCTCTTATACCATTCAGCCACTGGGACCCGATAATTCCCAGACTAGGATAAAACAGCTGTCCAATACTCCGCGGTGGTTTTCAATGGTTCTCTAACTGATACCAGTCCGTGATCAACTCATAAAACAAAACTAATCCTTACAAATCAACTGTAGAAAATAAATCTGATGCTCGCTAGTGACTTGATACAGAGTGGAGATTCCTAGAGTTCCAGTGAAAAGTCATGATCAGTGAGTTCCACCCAGTCACGTGTGAGGATGCAGTTCCCACTGATGACATTGGTTGGTGTTCGCGCTAAATACATCACGAATTGGTGGAAGTTAGAATTCATGGGCTGGCCACTGAGTCAGATGGGTTACAATGGATGAATGGTATAACAGCTAGCTTCCCTTGTAACCGGAAGGTCCTGGGTTCGAACCCCCCTGTGGTAGATGTGTACTGACGATGATTCTAAAACTAGAATGAAACAGCTGTCCATTACTCCTGGGATTTCAATGTTTCTCTAACTAATATTACTATCATTATTATTATTATTGTTGTTAAGATTTATTACTGTTATGTACTGACAACGTCGTTATTTTATTGGATTACCAAACGTTGTGTTAATCATTCTGAAATCTTGCTTTGTCACTTTGTTTAATTTAACTGCCCTTAATTTTTTCAAATAAATTGACTTGACCAGTAAATGTGTGAGGGATCAGATTGTTCGAAATGTATAGCGTAAATACATCACATTATTTTTCAGATAATCTCCGTCTTCTAATAACGCTATCCAAATTTATAAAAGGGACTAATTGTTTTAAATTAAGATTACCGCTTATCAGTTCGCCTCTGAAAGGTAGGAACAATCATCAAACATTTAAAATGAGATTGCTTTCTTAGACATCCTACTACTGACAAGAAGATCGAATAGTAGTATATATAAAAAGAATTTCTAAGCGAGAAGTACATGGAAAGGATAATAGATACATTTTCAAAGATTCCTCCATTATGGCATAAAAGAAGTTTGGTAAAGATACAAAGTTACAGAGTCAGAGGTATTTCTTCAGAAGATGCATTTGAAGATGAAACGTTAACTGAGAATAGATACATTGGAAAATTCATTACGAAACTTATAGTAAAGAGAGTAGAAGAGGATTCTTTTGCATCTGTTAACGAGATGCCTGTAAATATATGACTACAATTCAGGAGTGATGTATTTATTCAGCGAAACAATAACCAACAAGTTGAGAAGATCAGTTGGAAGGACTTTTAATGTAGGTAAGTTGTAACTCACATTTTCCAAATGATCGATTGTGTTTCAGAAAATTGAAAGAGGAATTACCTAGGCTAGCCACCTCTGACTGTATGCCTAACAATAAAACTTCCCTTGTGGAAGCAGTTATCCTGACCGTTGCTCGCGTACACCTAACAGTGTGACTAAATGGAGGTGTTGTAAGAACCATCAGAAACCTCATTCAAACAAGCCACAAAGCTGGCATTCAAGAATCTTTCTCTGCCATCCATGGGATACCGAGTAAATTGACGAAGGTCTCCAAATAGCGAACACTTAAAATAGCAACTGGAGATCAATGTGCAAAAACAACAGGTCTAGCGACTATAACTATCCTGGTTTGCTACGGAATCTTTAAATTAATAGATTCTGAATTTCCTATAGTTAGTTTGTACGGATTAGATTTGTTTCTGTGAGTTGATCACGGATTGATATCAGTTAGAGAACCATTGAGAACCAGCCATAGGGAGTACTGGACAGTTGTTTCATCCTAGTTTGGGGATCATCGTCAGTATGCACCCATCACAGGGGATTCGAACCCAGGATCTTCCAATACCAATCAGCCACTGGGACCCGATTCAATGACCAGCACATGTATTCTAACCGTAACCCGGTGACATTGCTTGTTGTCGCGCTAAATCACGAATGGATAGATTCTCTATTATTTTTCCTAAATGATCCGATATCTAGTTTAATATTCCATTTTTATAAATATTATCACTTACAGATGCTTATGAATTGTGACCTAGTGATCTGATTGATTCCATGTCATAATAATTCTTTAACTATTATGGACGTATAACTTCAAAACCTCACGAGAAAGTCATTGAAAAGAATATTCTTTGTTCACCCCTAATCAGTCTTGTAAAATTTTTAATAAGGCGGCCTGCTTAAATCATTGGGCTACCAAAATTACTTTCCTCCAAAATGCTTAATTTCATCAGGATTTATCATTGTTTTAATCGTCCAGTTATATCAAATGACCTATACATAAACTTTCGCGATGATTTAACTTGCTCCTAAGTAAAAGCTGCACAATTCTTCAACGAAATGAAGATATACTTCAGATTATTAATTTACATGTGAATCCTGTGTGAAGAAAAAAGTACTTTGGAACTGAATACGCTGAAAATTTTTGCACCGTATATTCGCATACTGTCTTAAATAAAGCTTTACCATTGAAAAAAAATTAATCAGTCTTTATTTAGTCAGCAAACGTGAAAAAGTTCTGTGAATCCTTTCAACTACTTAAATTAGTTAGTTAGTAGTATGCACCACGTATTGTAATGTAATATGTTCAAGTTTGAAATTTGCAATATATTTATTTCTTCAGGGATTAATATACTTGTTATTTTGGACAAATTCAAAGCTTCTTATGAATTCTAATTTTAAGAAAAATCAATAAGAAAACAGCAGGTTCTGAGAGATGAATTCAAAACTCAATTTTTTATTTTCTATAGTTTGGTTTGTAAGGGTTAGTTTTGATTTTACGAGTTGATCACGGAATGATATGAGTTAGAAAACCATTGAAAACCAGCACTGGAGTACTTGACAGCCATTTCATCCTAGTTTTTGGAATCATCAGCAGTACGCATCCCCTGGGGTATTTTGAGTCTTACCAGTACGTGGGTGGTATAGTGGTAAAATTATATACTACTCATGAGCACTTATATATCACTCACAACAACCAGTACTGCTTACTATCCAGCCAGATCTATATGATCTAAAAATACCGAACGGCTGTTTCGCCCGTTTGGGTTCGATCTCACCAGTTGTAGAGTGGCAGAGTGCTCGCCGACTGTGTCAATTGGCCTGAGGCTTGCTCGATTCCTGACCGAAGAACTCCCAAAACCTCCTCGCTTAGCTTGCAACAAGCCCCGTAGGGGTGGAAGGTTGAATGTGAAACTAACAAGCCCATCCCCTAAAAAGAATAACACCACTGTTACTGAAACTTCAAAGCTCAAGAGGCTTGATGTCCACTATGTTCCACTCGAATAGTAAAGGAATAAAAATAATAAAACTGACAGCTGTACACCAGCTCTACGTGTCAATGAGTCATAGTGGATTTTTAGTCTCCCCATCTACCGAGGCTTTTTATTGATTGACTCAGATGAGTAGATGTACACCATTCACACCAACCAGCTATGCCTGCCAGCCAGCCAGGTCAAAGTGATCGAAATACTTGATGACAATTTTGCTCACCACTGATGTACCCGGTTTGACTTAGATCAGAAAGACGTATCATGAATTTAAACCACCCAATTTCTGGCTAAATACTCAGGCTAGCTGGTGACACCTCAAATTATATATATAGATTAATTAACGATCTCCAGTCTACACTTAAATCGAGCAGATGGAATTTCACTACATTTGCCTTCGGAAATCTAAGTTACTCACACCACAAATATATATATGATCTGCTAGATACCAAAAGTAGCAATCAAGTAAATAAGCATAAATGCATCGGGCTATATACTACTCATGTCAGTCAACCAGTAGTATACAGTTTCACACTTGCTTTTATGCTTGCGACCGCACCAATGACCTTGAAACGCTTACTGAGCAAGTTAGTGAAACCTGGCAAATAATGCTGTCATCATTAATAAATATGCTCATCAAAGTGTTATACTATTAAATGGGATATATCTGGCAAGTTTCAGTTCGGGTTTGAGAAAGGTTAAGTTATGCTTTAAGCCAAGGACAATTTTGGGGTTAGGTTAACCTAATAAAGGTGACATTACGATTGTTTCGGGTTACATTACAGTTAGGTTGAGGATATTTTCACGTCAGGGTAAGGTTCAGAAAAGTCAGGGTTATTGTCAGGGTTAGAAGAGCTAAATAATTACTTGCATAGAATGTGGTTAAATGTTTCTGTTGATATAAGAATAGAACTTGTACACTATGGTGGTAGGGTATAAATTCCATTGTGGGTTAAAAATTTATTTTGATAAAGTCTCACAGTGTTATACAGTAAGTAATAATTATTGATGACGTTTCGAGGACAATTTATTGCTCAGTAAATATTACTGTATAACACTATGGAACTTTATCAAAATGAATTTCACATTCAATGGAATTATACCCTGTCGATACACCAACCTAAAGCTAAGAGCTATTTTTATCACATTTGAGAGAAACGTATCGTCTGTAGCGTGTTTGTGCAGTTTTTATGCATTTTTTCATAAATATATGCATTCCATACCCAAAAATGCCTCCTCCACGTGATTGGTGCGGTCGGAGTTATTCTCTGATTGGTAACTGCCATATATAAAGTTAACCTGAGGTTCTAGTGGGAAGCCGTGACCAGTAGGGTACAGCAGGCCGAAGATGAGGCAGTAACTCATCGAAGAAAACATTTCGAAGTGGTCGCGCTATGTGGTGAATTGGCAGAAGTTAGAATTCAAGGACCATTGGATCGGGTCCCAGTGGTCCTGGCTTCGAACCCTGGTGTGTGCGTACTGCTGAAGAGTTCCAAACTAGGGCGAAACAGCTGTCCAGTAGTCGTAGGTGGTTTCCCAGTGGTTGTCCAACGGATGTCAGCTCATGATGAAATCCACCATGCAAAATATATATCCATAAATCAGTGAGTACTGAGTCCACCATATAGTACTGAGGGACTTATATGAGTAGCTGGAGAACACTGACGTCAAACAGTACTCATCGCCGGCCAGACTGAATTGATATAAACATCGGATGACCGTCTCAGTTTGTCAGCGATGTACAAAAACGAAAAGTGAATTCTGAGATCCGAATTAATTCAACTCACCCTAATTCTGGCTAACTACTTCATGTACGAACAACAAAATTCAACCAGAAGGTTCACCAAAAGTTTCATTTCCGTTTATGATACCAAGCAGATGATCTAAATAATTTTATTTCCTGAGTAAACTACGGTGAGTTTTCACTCCTCGAACTGTGTACACGGGAAATATTGAATCCCACTTATCATATCACTGGTTCGTTCAAGTAACTAGTCAGACAGTCGGTGTGGTTTGAACTGATCCAGCTACCTGGACTGAGTCAAATTGGGTACACCATTGATGAATTTGGTCCCAAAGGAGCGAAATGATCGCCCGAAGATGTTTAGATCACCTAAATATGATCAGCTGACCGGTGAGTACTGCTGGTTTGTGTGAGTGCTGTACAACTACTATTACTACTCTCAATTAATCAGTAGTATATAGTTTTTTGCACAATTTCTTTTGGAAAGAAAAATACGAATGTGAAGCGAAGAATAAAATTAAGTAGTCAACTTACATTTGGATTCGTTAAATTTAATAATGGACTATTTGGATTTCCATGAACATGTCGATAATATGCACGCCTTATGGAATCATATGCATAATGTCGTTTCTGTTGATCAGTTACAGGCTGAAAAAATGGTGTGTAACATTTAAATACTACTAAAGACATTATAAGTAGATTTTCGCATGAAATAAGATTAAGTAATAATAACTTTAGGATGGACAAAATTGTCTCTGTTAGCCGTGAAGTCATGATTAATGCACACATTGATATGATAACCTGATTGTGCAGTTTTTTATTGGTTTATTTTTGGAGCATCTTCAAGGTCATAGAGTCATTGACCTGGTTGACAGCAGGCCGGGCAACTAGGAGATGGGCATAAAATGGACCCACACAAAAAATCTGGAGGATCTGGATTTCACCGGTGATATATGTCTGATTTCCCACAAAGTGGAAGACGTGCAGGTGAAAAGCAACAAGTTGGCATAAGAACCATCAAAGATAGGAAATCCTTCAGGTGAACATAGAGAAAATAGAGGTGATGAAGATTTCTGGCCAACACCAACAGCAACAACAACAGACAACAATTAGCATAAATGGGAGAAATCTGAGAGAAGCAACCTTCTTCACCTGCCTACTGACTACAGGCAGGCGGAACTGATAAGGATATCAAAATGAGGGTCGGGAAAGCAAGACAAGCTTTCATTTCTCTCAAATCTGTGTGGATATCAACAGCACTCAGCATGAAAAATAAGATCCGGATTTTCAACTCAAATGTGTAGTCAATGATACTATACGGATCAGAGACTTGGCGAACGCGTCATAAAGAGCACCTCAAACAAACTACAGACCTACATCAACAGCTGTCTTCACTCAGTACTCAAGATCAGATGTCTGGCTAGAAAGGATCAGCAAGAAGGATATCTGGGAGCGAACCAACCAGGAACCGATTGTGCAACAAATAAGCAGGAAGAAATGGAGATGGATTGGCTGGCCATACTCCGAGTAAACAAACCATCAGGTGACATTACTAGACAAGCTCTCGAGCGGAACCCGAAAGGGAAGCGGCGAGTTGGTCGTCCGAAGGTGGAGTGACTTGGAGGAGGTCATGTGAAGAGGAGATGAAAGCATGTAGGCAGATTTGGAGCCAGGTGAAAACTCTAGCAGAGAACCGAACGCAATGAAGACGTACGGCTGAAGCCCTATGTTCCTCTAGGAATTAAAGGAAACAATCATAATAATAAAGTATCCGTGATGTTGTAATGATCAATAAATTGTGCTCTAAACGTCAACCAATTCTCAAACCTACATTACATACTGTGTTTTGTCAAATCAATATATTCTGTATAATACGGAATTGTACTCTACGATAGTGTCCAAAATTCTATCCTTATATTTATTGGCATAAACTTACTTCAATGTTTGTCCACATATAAAATGAAGCATACATACTATTCACATCAGTTTGACTAACACGAAACCATTGATGTCGATTACTAGTTGAGTATAACGGTAAACCAATCAATATGTTGATCGGTTTACTTGATCTTAATTTACCCAGTGGAGATTTACACTTGGCGATTAATTGTGGTAATAGGCTGCTGAAAGCTTCTTCAGTTGGATCAATAGATTGATTAATTGTCACCCAATCGATAATACCATTTGCATCAGAGGATAATAAGTTCGTTAACAGAATACTGGTGACACCAATCTAAAAGATGATGAATGAAAATAATAATTTAATAATTCCCATTTTGTAGCATTAAGAATACAATATTCAGCGAAGAGACTGTCTCCAACAACGAATTTATTATCAAGCTGTACAATTGTATATATATGGGTTTTTTTAAAAGAAATTATATCTGGTGAGGGAATTAGATGAACTGATAGATGCATCTATCAGTTCACCTACTCTTGTGCAGCAAGGTACATTGGCCGTAGTCAGAGGACGCTTTTAACACGAATATGAGAACATATCGCATCTACATGGTTTTACAAGGGAGAAAAGAAGTATGTGTGCGAAGCTCTATTCTGGAACACCTGATCGACTTCTGTCACGCTGTTAACCCTGATCATGATTTTAAGATCATATATAGAATCCATGCTAACTTGCCGTGTTTTCTTCGTTACAGACTTCTAAAGACAGCTGAGGCCTTGGCCATTCATGACTTTAAGTCAGCCAGACCTTTGTGTACAAAAGAAGTATGTACAATCCCTACTTTTGCCTTGGCCGTAGAGGGGTAGACATTTATTTATTTGATTGTATGGAGGATTTAATCATGAGCTGACATCAGTTAGAGAACCACTGGAAAACCTTGGAGTACTAGACAGCTATTTCGTCCTAGTTTGGGACTCCTCATCAGTACGCACCCACCGGGTTTCGAACCCAGGACCTTCTGGTTACAAGGCGAGCTCGTACCAAAAAACCAAATCCCTACAAAACCAACACTTGAAAATTTATTTATTTTGTTTATTTAGTTATTCTATGTACTTTTCACTTATTACTACGGTTATTATTATTATTCTCACTCTGAAACTTTCCACTTGACCTACTTGTCATTCTTAACCCAAAACTATTAATTTTTACAATATTGAATTCATTCTTACCGAATTTCACACCATGTTAGTTAACATTTTATATTCGTCTACTAATCTTATAATCATGTATCCCCCTTTCAAAACCTGTACACCTTATATATTATTCTATGTATTAAAGCATTAGTAGAAAAATCGAATAAAATAAAAACGTTACGTAATATTGTGTGAAATTTAATAAAATAGAACGAACTTTTCATTCAACCCCTCCAACTTTCATGGTACTAATCCCTCTATGCTAAAGTATGGTAATCCCCAATCATATTTTAGCTGTACCAATTTTTCATTTTTCCATTTCGTCTATTCAATTCGCATACTCTCCCTTTATTATGACAATGGTTACTACCATTAGTATTCTCACTTTGAACTGTCCCCCAGTATTATTTCACTTGTTCCACTTGTCATTCTAAATCAATTCGACTATTTTACAACGTTAAATTCTATGCTATTAAATTTCACACAATATTACGTAACGTTTTTATTTTATTCGATTTGTCTACTAATCGTATGATTGCACACCCTTTTTTCAAGTTCTATCCATCCTATGAATTTTTTACATATGACATTAATTGTTTTGCCACTTGACAGTTAACTACGATTATGATCAGAAACATTTTAGTTTTAATTGCATTTAATGCTATTATTAGTTCATGTATTTACACCTTTGATCTAATTCCCTCACCGGATATAATTTCTCAAAAAAAACTATGTGTATACGATTGAACAGCTTGATGATAAATTCGTTGAAAAGAGTCACTTCGCTGAAAATAATGATAATAATTAATATTTAAAATTATAGGATACAGTGGTGAATTCCATTTCCAGCAGACTACTGCAGACTGGAAAGAGTAAAAGATGCACTGGGTACAGAACTCCTCCAAACCCACCGGAACAAGCTGGATTCAGGAAAGGCAAATCATACGCTGATCAAATTGCAACTCTACACATCGTCATCACAGAACAATGCATTGAATGGCAGTCAAATCTCTACTTCAACCTTCTTTGTCGACTTCGAGAAGGCCTCTGATGGACAGCATTGACCGAGAAGTGAGTTGAAAAATACTAAAACACTATGACGTGCAGTGTACAACTTTTTATCAACCTTATTCAACAGCTGGTTAAATGACTACGCCACGTTCTAAGTGATCCCCAGTGAGGAACTCAGCGAGGCTTTCGAAGCTGACTGCCTATTATCATCGATGATTGTCGTAATTGTCATGGACTGGATTATGCATCACACAGTACGTGGAGAGCGAGAAGAAAGGAGTACGCTGGAAAACGGATAATAAGACTCTAGAAGATTTGGATTTTTCGCGTGGATGATTTATGTCTAATGTCGCATAAACTTGAAGACTTACAGGTGAAAACCAACAAACTGGCTGAATAGGTTGACAGGCAGCGAAGACGGGACTGCAGGTGAACACAGAGAAGACGATGGTAATAAAGATAACCAACTAACAGCAACAATAACAAACAGCACCAACCACCGTTAAAGGGAGATATATGTCAGAGGTTATCTCCTTCACTTATCTAAGAAGCGTCGTTTCAACTGAAGATTAGAGAAGCAGATGAGGATTTCGAAGCCAGGAGGGATCGGAAAGGCGAGATATACCTTCATCAACCTGAAACCGATTCGTAAATCTTCTGCTGTCATTTAGTCAGCATAAAGAATAAGATTCGGGTTTTCAACACCAATGTGAAGTCGGTCAGTCACTTCTTCAATGCGGGTCAGAAACTTGCACTACGTGTGCATCACAAAAATGATTTCCAATAAGTTACAGAGTTTTATCAACACCTGCTCACTTTACTGGCTGGCTGGCTCAATACTGAAAATCAAATGGCCGACCAACCGGCCGGTTAGAAGTAATTAACAACAAGAAACTCTGGCTGTGAACAAACCAACCAACGAAGAGTCGATTGTTCAATAAATATGTAATAGGAAATGGAGATGGATTGAGCATACTTTGAGGAGGCCGTTGAATGATATCGTGCTTAATGCAGACCATTGCTTATGTGCAATCCCAATGGGAAGCGACGAGGAGGGCAACATGGAGAAGAGATCGTTTGAGGAGGGGGAGATGAGAGAATTTGGTCAACCGTTGACCCAACTGAAGAGGGTAGCAGGAAAAAGAATAAACTGGAGATGTGTTGTTGAAGCCAGCCCTATGTTCCACTCGGAACTCAGGAGAATAATAATAAAAATAATACCTCATACGGTCATTAACCATCCCCTGCCTCGTGAAACTACCAAAGAAGTGCGACTTACGCCTCACTCTGCAAGAACTGGCGAGCAATCATGCTCCTGTCGACGCCAAGAAAAATCCTGAGTCACATCATCCTGGAGAGAATAAAGGCTACACAACTCCGACTAGAACAAGCTAGATTCACGAAAGGCAAATCATGTTCTGACCAAATTGCAACTCTACGCATCATCATCACAGAACAAAGCATGGAATGGCAATCAATCAAACCTCTACCTCAAATTTATAGACATCGAGAAGGCCTTCGACAGCGTTGACCGTGAAGTAATTTGGAAACTACTCGAGGACTACGGCGTGCAGCGCCCAAATATTCATCAAACTTATTCAACAGCTGTACGACAACGGTGGCACATGTCAAGTCATCCACAACGGAAAACTCAGCGAGGCGTTTGGAGTAAACACAGGAGTCAGACAAGGGTGATTATTATCACCAATGATATTCCTAATTGTGGTGGACTGGATTATGCGTCAGACAGTGAGTGGGGAACGAGAAGACAGGGATATCCTGGACTGATGCGAAGAACCTAGAAGACCTGGATTTCGCGCAGCGATGATTTATGTTTGATATCACACAAAATCGAAGACTTACAAGCGAAAACCGACCGAAAAACTGGTCGAAGAAGCAGACAGTGAAGACAGGACTCCAAGTGAACATAGACAAGACGGAGGTTGTGAAAACAACCAACCAACCCGACAACAACAACAGCAGCAACAACATCCAGCGCCAATCACCATCAACGGGAGGGATTTGAAAGAAGTTACTTCATTCACTTATCATCTAGGGAGCATTGTATCAACCACAGAAAGTCGGAACGGACGACGATGTCAAATCGAGCGAGAATCGGGAAGGCGAGCGAGAAACACATTAACTCATCAACCTGAAGCCAATCTGGAAATCTTCGTCACTCAATTCAGCATCAACAACAGAATTCAGTCGGATTTTCAATACAAACAACGTCAAGTCAATCAGCTCCTCTATACGGATCAGAAACTTGGCGCTTGGCGGGTCACAACGAATATTTCCAATAGCCTGTTGCATACCTTTATCAACGAACAACTGTCTTCGCTGGATCTATACTGAAAATCAATCAGACGGCCAGGCCGGAAAGAAACACCAACAAGAAACAAGAAACTATGGCTAGGAACAAACAAAACAAGAACCAATCGCCAACCAACAAATATGCAGGAGAAAGTGGATTGAGATGAATTGGACACTCGGTGAGGAGGCCGTCGCTGGGTGACATCGCGCATGCATCAGTCCATTGCTCGAGTGGAACCCGAAAGGGAAGCGGCGACTGAGTCGTCAGTGCAAGGGTAACATGGAGGAGATCGTGTGAAGAGGAGTTGAAACACAGTATGGACTAACATGGATACAGGTGAAAAGTACAGCAGAAGGAAGACAGAAGTGGCAAGTGGAGACGTGCAGTTGAAGCCCTATGTTCCACACTAGGAACCCAAGGGTACAATAATAATAAATAATTTATGAACAGTCTACTCACCTGACTAGATAAATATGGTATACGTGGAATAACATCATGCAGTCGTCCAACAGGTCCTTGTACATCATTTGCCCATGTTTCAATATTAATCTGATAAAATTGTGTACGACGCCACCATGGTTTAGCAGGCGGCAAATTTGGTATAAGCGTTTTATAGGCATATGTGATACCAATAGCCATTACAATAATAATTACCACAGTCAGTAGGATGAACAAAATAATTAAGATTATAAAACATTTCATAGTTATACCACCAGGTGGTTGAAATTTCCTACAAATAAGAAGGAAGAGAAGAAAAATAAAAATAAAATAAAAAATAGAAAAATTTTTTGTTAAACTGTTGAAAATAGATGGATTAACAATGAATTTAATGTAATCGACAAATGGTTCGGAAAATCCCCCCTTAACGATGCTATTTATAATATTTAGACATTTCAACTAACTTTGTAATTCCTGACCGATAACTGCTACCTAGTCGTGGTGGCCACCGGGCTGGCATACCTCAATGATCCAACAAGCTACGCTGGCTGGAACTGTTGTTCCTGCAGGTCCTAACATGTCAGTGTTAGGAAGAGGCAAAACACATGCAATTAGCAGGTCATTATCATGTCTCAGTCAAGTTATTATCGCGTTATTAACAAGTCGTTGACATGCAATTATCCTGCTTTCTGATTGGACGCTTGCACAATTCCAACTCTCAACCGGATTGGTTGATTTCCAGTCTACCTTATTTTTGTATAAATACAGTCACTTTTGTTATAATAAATGAACCTGGTTTTACCGCTGATTCTCGCGTGTTCTGCTTTGCCAGTTAAGTGGGCACTGGTCAGTAGTTAAGCAGTGACCTCGTGACAAAAGATCTAGCATCATAACAGTCAGGAAGATTGCTAGGATAGCGATTAGACTAAAAGAATTTACCGGCGAAGTCGTACTGCTGGGGACAGGGAGGTAACAGCAGTAAGGTGTTTCCCTCAGATGACCAGCATGCCGGTCAGCTATGCTGTCTATGCACTCTGGAGAGAAGGGGTTAGAAAAGTTCGCCCTCGAAAATTGTACATCCCGACTTACCCTACGGTGTTCCGTAACTGACGGTGAATTTACTAATACGGTACCAATCCTAGAAACCAGTTCATACAAGCCGTGTGTGATCGGCCTCAAGCAGTTGTCTCCTGGGCTCTGCGGTCACGCAACACTAATTCTATATCCATTTCAGGTAGCCCAAGAATCAACCAAATTCCAGGATGTGGGCGGCCGGGAAGTCACAACCACCCACACACTTCCAAAATCACACAAAGCAAACCAACTAGGAACCGATTGTGCAACAGATGTGCAGAAAGAAATGAAGGTGGATTGGTCATACCCTGAGAAAACCGTTAAGTGACATCACACGACAGGCAATCACTCAAGTTGAATCCGAATGGGAAATGGCGAGTTGGTCGTCAATGCGAGGGTGACATGGAGGAGATCATGTGAAGAGGGGATGTGGGCGCACGTGGAGCCCGGTGAAAACGTTGGCAGAGAACCGAACACCATTGAGACCTGAGGCTGAAGCCCTATGTTTCTCTAGGAACTAAAGGAAATAATAATAATAATTTGTAATTACTATTATGCGCTTTTTCCCTTGACTATGTATCATTAATCGATCTTCCGCCTTTATTATTTGCCTTTGTCATCCCTTGTTTAGTCTTCGATTACAATACTTTTCTTTGCGGCTGTGAGTACAATGACGATATGTTGTTTAACAATATATTAGTTTGTTTGAGTGATAGAACATCATTCTGACACATGATTGTCTTCAGGAAGTGTTGCCGTGTGATTCTTGTGGACAGAGCTTTTTATCGCACACCTCTATGGGAATATTCTCCTCCTCAATTCTAAAATAACTTTTTCAACTGAACTTTGGTTAACTTATGTTGTATTTAGAAAGCCACGTTGCCTGCCGGTATAGCTGCCTCACGGCACTGTTGAGGTAAATTTGAGTTTTTATGTTATTCTCCATTGTGGAGAGAATTTTATTTTGATAAAATCACACAGTATTGTACTATGGTGAGAGTAGGCTAGCCAAAATGGTAGACAACATTTTACGTCAATGGGTATGTCACAAATATCGGTGGTGAGAAATATGAACAAGACTTATTCGACAACCAATCACAGCAGACTTGGCGTAGGCAGACACAGTTAACATATAGATGACCTGAAATTCAAGAAACAGTCACAAAGAGATGAAAGGTCAACTTTCTGTAGAAAACAACCAATCAGAAGACTGTGTTTGTCTGCTTGAATAAGCTATAATAATGTACATGAAATATATATAAATACGTGTTGATTTCCTTAATAAACGATCTGTTGTTTGACTGTTGCCTTTTGTCGTTACAATACCATATTTACTGATGACCACTTTTCGAGCACAAATTATTACTACTCACAATCATATTAAGGCACTCACACAACTTTCTTGCTTCATTTATATGTATATGAGTAAAATTGATTAGACGATTGCATAGGACAGAGTGAAATGTGGGAATTTGCTGCTAAAGTCCTATGTTCCGCTTAGAACCCAAAGGGGTAATAATAATAATAATGCATTATCGGTGCATATTTCCATCATGGCTTTGAATTAAACAAAAACTAAAGATATAAAAAAGACGTCTAACAGATACTAAGATGTACTTCTTGTTACCACTATTGTCATATCATAATGAAATACATAAATTAGTACTAATATAGTCACGTGATTGTCTGTATGTGGTGATTCTAGATATATGAGTGAGTGGTCACATGATTAGTTAAATAGTACATTCAACAAACCAATTATTATGATTAGAAACAAGTTAGTAACTAGTGTAATGTGTCTTGTCCTATCTTTGAGGCAGACTGAATTTTCTCAGTCAAGTATACAGTGAAGACAAGAGTTCCTTCAAAGTTGTGGATATTTCTTGCTGACGAGTGCAAACCAGCACGAAACCCTGGTCTAAGGCTTTCTGCCTGCAAACTTCTAATAACAACAATTCAAAGTGCACCCTAATGGTAAGCCACCTAGAATAGGGTTCACATCGTAAACGTGACTGACAATAGAGTTCAGTCTGCACCAACACCGAGGACTAGGCACAACACACTAGTTACTGATTAGTGTCCAATCAAATATATCCAATACAGTCCTACAGAAGATCAGTCGCGAGCCTAAAGAACTCAGTGGTAACGTCTCGAATTGCAGCACTGGGTAATGCGAGTTTAAATTTCAGAAAGGACAAGAGTTTCTTCAGGGTTGCAGATACGCCATGCTGACTAGTGATTGCCAGCCAAGAAGCATGAAATCTAAGGTCTCAGCAGGGCTTCCTGCAGATTGCCTCCAACCTTCTAATATCAGACCAATTATTATTTAATATTATTGTTTGAAATGTTTGGTTCTCAATGCAACGAAAACGTGTTATTTATGTGGACGAGTAAAGATGTTTGTCATACTCTTGGGATTGCTTAATTCAATGCCTACCATGATTGCTGAAATCCTAAGTCAAACATCACTACTCAAATGTATTCCAGTAGCTTAGAAAAATGTTGAATGACTTTAGTTTTCTTTTAATGTCACGGCATAAAACTGAACACTTACATATAATAGTTGGTTTCTTTCCCTCATTTCTTTGCATTTCGAGTGAAGCATACGGATTCAAGACTTAATATAAGTGTAAAAATTAGGCACTGTGGTAGTAAGTAATTCTATATTAGTTTGTTTATTAAATGTATCATACAGTCGTCGAAACAGTATTATTTAATGGATGACGTTTCGAACACAGTTTATTGATTGTTCATAATCATTCCATCAATTATAATCACACATGACTTCGGAACTTGAGTTTTATAGTTTTCTTTGTCCTCTCCTATCTGTCATCGTTGGGGTAGTAGATTTTTCCAGATATCTGGGTGGACAGGTGTTGAATCATTCCTACTACATGTATTCACTCTCAGGCGATTCGATAAACAAAGCTTCTGTTATCAATCTCTCCCTCCACCCTGTGACATTAGATTTTAAAAGTGTCATCCTATCCTATCCCATCGTATTGTATGGTTGTGTGTAATTGCGTGTAGTGAGTGATATAGCTGAAATATTCTCTAGATTTCTTATCTTATATGGGTCAACCAATCTAGAATTAGAGACTTCAAGTCTCTTCAGCTTTGGAGTTTCAGTAGCAGGGGTGTTGCCTTTTTGCGGGGTTCAGTTGCCAAACCTTCCCTGTTTACCGAGAGCTTACTACCAAGCTAAGTGGAGTTTGTATGGAAGTGTCAGCCGGCAATAGAACCCCAGACCGCGTAAGGCGTGGTTCGCAGACAGTCCACCATTGAACAATGAACAAATAAATATTCTCAAAGATATGCATCCTCAAAGATGCGGATATATATCAACAACTCTCAAAAAATCCTATACAAACATTAAACAGCCGCATCCAAGGAATCTTAAACAAGCTCACCGAAACAGGTCACATCACAGAAAAGGACGAATGGAGAATGAAATCCAATGGACCAATCCTACCCCTATTCTACGGAGTATGCCGTTACGACTAATTGTATCACTCCCATGAACTACATCATACAATTTATCCAAGGAATAATACAGAAAATTGAAACACCTAACGGAATCTTGTGATCACTCCATCAACTCTGCTATCCAATTCCTAGAGAAAATCAGAGGCATCCAAATAGATGAACAAGAAATAATGGTATCCTTCGACGGCAAAGCATTATATACCTCAAGTGTACAGAAACTAGCAAAAGAGACCGTAAAGTAATTATTGAGCATCGACGAACACCTCCAACAACAATCAAAAATGCAACACACAAGCTGGATGGAATGCATTAACTTATGCCTAACAATGTACTTCCAATTCAACGGCCAAAATATACAAACAAGTTACAGGAGCACCTTAAGGGTCGCAAATATCAGGTTTGATTGCAGGAGCAGTGATGCAAAGGCTCGAAAACATAATCCTAACAAAGATCAAACCCAAAATTTGGATACTTTACGAAGATGACATATTTGAAATAATCAAAAGAAACGAGTTTGAAAAAACTCACATCTTAATAAATCACGTCTTCAACGACATCAAATTCGCCAGAGAAGAGAAATCTGAGAACAAAATCCCATTTTTAAACGTCTTAGGCAAGTGAACAACCACAGAGGAGTCAGAAACTCAAGTTTTAACAAAATCAACTCACACAGACCAAATACTGAATTACAACAGCAACAATCTAATAACACACAAAAGGAGTTGTATAAAAACACTATTCAAGACAGCCAGAACTAATTGCAGCACTCCCGCCTTAAGGAAAATTCAAAAATGATATCTCATGGACGTCTTCGAAAAGAATGGATATCCACGGAATTTCATCAGAAGGCATCTACTCCAAGCCAACCTACCAAATCGAAGACTCCCAAGGAAAACTCAAAGAAAATCGCCCTACCATATATAAAGGACGTCTCAGAAATCACTGCAAGACCCTTCAAACCTTTAGGAGTTGACTTCGCACACAAACCAACAAAATCACTTCACTCAGATGGCTCTGCGTCAACCAGAAGACTCAGCAGCGAAAGAAGATAAAACCAATATCGTCTACAAAATAAATTGCCACGACTGCAATAAACACTACATTGGCAAAATTCGACGTCTCCTTCGTCTTAGTATGCATGATCATAAGCTAGCCGTCAAAATACATGACACCCACTCCCTCATATCACTCGCTGCATACAGACAACCACGGAAAACATTTCGACTGGGACAGCCTTCAATTATCAGACAGAGGAGACACCAAGAATGCCAGAGAATTTTTTGGAAGCCCACCTGATATTCCAGTGAATCATCAAACAATAGACACATTGAGATAGACAAAATTTACCAACCGATAAGAAAGAAACCTCACACACAAATTGGCAGACTTCAAGTCAAGGCAACAATCAGTTCCAATACAAGTCACCAGGAGAGATGATTAATAAACTCGCGGAGAAACATAAAAGCTCACTTCATCAAACTGAAGTATGCGTTGAAGATGTTGCCTAGTGTTGGGGCAATGAAGGCTTCGCAAATAAACCATCCAGCTAGCTCAGAGTACACAACCATATCATAAAATATTTAATAAATATAGAAATAGAAACCAGCATCAATATATAAACTTACATACTTTTTAACTTTCCCGTCTACAGCAGCTTTTCTAAGCATAGCTGCTTTATTAATCACAGCGCCATCATCCATAACAACATTATGCTTTTGTACAAATCCAATTAGCTCTGGATCCATTCCATAGAATGGACTCGTCGGATCATAGATTTTATTTTTTTGTATACCACTAATCGCATAATCACCTTCATTTGCATAACCACTAATATCATTAGCATAGTAATTTTCATTCACATCATTTTGTCCATAGGTTGGGTAGATATCATTTCTAGGAAGTTTTTCAGAATAATTTTCCTCATTGTTATCATTATAAGTCATATCTTCAGGATAATCTGATTGCTGACTGCTATTTTTGCCACTTCGATTCGAATAACTAGATCCAACAGACATTTTAGTATTTTCTGTACAAATGGATGAGTGAATAAATTAATAAATTAGAAAGTAAATTTTAGTATAAGCATGATTGTCTAACCACATAGTTAACTAGGTATGCTAATACACTTTGATTAAAGTTCTACCTACCTATTATATACTCTATCAACTTAATTCTGATTGGCTAACTAAATCATGGTCTGCCCGTTACTATGACTACGATTGTGATAATGAGCAATTCAAGTTAATTTTAGTTAAACAAGAGATCGATAAATATGAATGAATCATATCATGACAGTTGAATTTTATACCCATATGTGTATTTTATTGTTTGAAACAGAGGTCAGGTATTTTTGAGTTAAACTTTTATTTATATTGAAGAAAAACCATTTTAATTATATATGCGAACAGTTGTTTAAGGTAAACATTTTTATTTGAGTAGAATTACACAAATATCAAAAACAGTCAAAGCATTGTTACAAGACACACACAATATGGTGCACATGAACATATACACAAAGGATTCAAAAGCTGGCTGTGATTTCGATTGTTTCTAGAATATTAGACTGAGTGCATATGCATAACAATCTCATATATCTTGAAAGGCAGTTATGAATTTGGAAGGATGACGGTTTTGCAAATTGAAAGTTCTCGAAACAAATCTTTCTAACAAATACTTTAATCAATAACTGACAACAACAAGCACCAATCACTCCCTATTAATGGAAGAAGTTTGAAGGAGGTCACTTATCGGCCTTATTCGGGTAGCATAGTTTCAACTACAGGCACAATGGATGAAGATGTCATGGCCGGTCAGGCTCTGAAAAGCAAGACCGACCTTGATTAGTCTGAAATAAGTGTGGAAGTCTATTGCACTCAATGTAAATGACAAGATTCAGATTTCCAACACTCATGTTAAGTCAGTCAGTTAGTGCTTTTATGTGGTTCACAGACTTGACTAACGTGTCACCAAGAGCATTTCCAACAGCCTGCTGAAGACTTTCACCAAAGGTTGCCTTCTCTGGCTAGATAGTTAGTATCAGATAGCTAGCCAGGAAGGAGAAGTAACGGGGAACTCTGTCAATGAACTAACCAACGACCTACTTACCAACGAAAATTCCAAAGGAAATGGTGATGGATCAGATGCACACTGAGGAGGTCATTGAGCGATATCGAGTACGCCAGACATACCACCCTCGCGTGAAACGCGAATGGGAAATGAACAGTTGAACTGAGATCTGAGAGTGACATGGAGGAGATTGTGTGAGCTGGAGGAAATTAAATCTTATGGGCAATCGTTGAGTCAGCTGATCAATATCATGTTTCTAGTCCTTTGAGTTTTCTAATTCTCACAAGGAATTGGAAAATAATTACGTTGTCTGATTTATTCCCTTGGTTCTCTTTGATGCAGCACACAGTGAGTAATACGTTATTGTTCATTGGATATTATTTCTAATTTAGAAATGCATCACTTTTTAAGATATATATGTGATGTAACAGTCTGAATATATCGATCTGATATTTCAAAAATGGGACCAATTTGAAGCTAGATTCTCATTGGTTATTTAAAGAGCAGTCTGATTGGCCGATTTGTTCATCGTCATCTATTCGTTTACATGAGGTGCAAAACCATGGAAACGTTTTCAGAAACATCAATAAACCATAAACTCACGATTAAGATACTTTTAGATTCGTATAAAAGTTTGGGAATCAACAGGATTATACTTCGAGTGAATCAGTTCTCCTTAAGGAGTACTATCGCTATCAAGAAGTATGATATCTTGACTTCATCAAATGCACAAAAGGAGCAAAAACAGGTAATAAAATTCTTTTCTTGGATGTCTGAATCAAAAGCACAAACACGAGAAATCCGGAGACCCACATATCCAGGTAATCAACACACACACATATACAAGGATCAAATACTCAACTATGACAACAATAATCCAGATACCTCACAATGGAAACTGTGTGCAGACATTGTTCACAAAAGACTTCAAATATGCGCTTTAGCACTCCAGTGTTGAAGAGAGTGGAAAAGAAATATTTGCTAATTATCTTTAGGAAAATGAATGCCTAGACTCTTTCTGACGAAAACAATGTCTAAACTCAAAATGAATTCAAGCATTGGTTTGTAGGGAATTATTTAATTGTTTACAGGATTTCATCATGAGCTGACATCCGTTAGAGAACCTTTAGAAAACCTGGGAGTACTGAACAGCCGTTTCGTCCTAGTTTGGGACTCATCGACAGTGCACACCCACCGGGGGTTGAAACCAGGACCTTATAGTTACAAGATAAGCTCGTAGACCATTAAGCCGCTAGGACCCAATCTAATGGCCCATGAATTCTAACTTCAGCCAATTAACGATTTAGCGCAACCGCTAGCCAACGTCTTCGGCGAGTATTTGTCCCCACACTAGACCTGCTGCACCTTACTTCCCACTAGAACCCCAGGTAACTATCTACCTGAATAGGGCTTAATGGCCTACGAGCTCGCCTTGTAACCAGAAGGTCTTGGGTTTGAACCTCGGTAGGTGCCTGATGATGAAGAGTCCCAAACCAGGACGAAACAGCTGTCCAGTACTCATAGGTTTTCCAGGGGTTTTCTAACTGATGTCAACTCATGATGACATCCTGTAATCAAATTGAATTGCTCAACAGAAAGAAACTATCTTCAACCACCACAAGAAAATTCATTCTAGAATATATACAGAATACTCTACTTGAAAGAGATGTAGCATGCAAGCCAACATAGTCAACTGACTCAATACTGTGCAGACCAAAAGACCCAATAACAAAAGAGAACATGATCAATATCATCTGAAAAATAAACTGCATAGACTATGATAAACACTGTAATATTGGATGGACGATTTCATCATGAGCTGATATCCGTTAGAGAACCACTGGAAAACCACTTGGGAGTACTGGACAGCTGTTTTGTCCTAGTTTGGGATTCTTCATCAGTACGCATCCACCATGGTTTGAACCTAGGGCCTTCTGGTAACAAGGCAAGCTCGTAGACCATTGAGCCAATAAGATTCGATTCATAAGGTCCTGGGCTCGAACCCCGGTGAGTTCCGAACTAGGACTAAACATCTGTCCAGTACTCTTTGGCAGGTTTTCCAGTGGTTCTGTAACAATGTCGGCTCATGATGAAATCCTCTATCCAATCAAAGAAAATCCCTGCAAAATCAATACTTGAAAAAACTGCAAATGTCAAAGTGGCCGCTCCTTTCGATTCAGAATCCAAAAGCACAAATTATGTATCATTTCATATCGATACATGTTGACAATTACGCATATTAGTTTAATTGAGTAAATTTAGAAGTTTTATATAGTAAACATTCGAAGCCTGTTACTTAGATGAATCAGCAATTAACAGACATATCACTAATATGGATGAAATTTACCAACTCATAAAAAATAAATCACATGACAAAAAAGTCCAAATTCCAAGTCAATAAAAATGATCAATACAGATGTGTAAATTAACAGCCAATCACAACAAAGTTTTTTCAAAAAGTACAATTATATGGTCCATGGAGAAGTGAATCAAATAAGTTCGATGATATTAGAAGGTTGGAGGTTGCACTGACGTCCCACTTACCGATTCCCTTTCAGGTTCCACTCGAGCAATGGACCGACGCACGCGCGACGTCACCCAGCAGCGCGGCCTCCTCACCGAGTGTCCAATCCATCTCAATCCACTTTCTCCTGCATATTTGTTGGTTGGCAATTCGTTCTTGTTTTGTTTGTTTGTGCCTATAGTTTCTTGTTGGTGATTCTTTCCAGCCCGGCCATCTGATCTTCAGCATAGAGCCAGAGAAGACAGTTGTTCGTTGATAAAGGTATGCAACGGGCTGTTGGAAGTAATCTATGTGACCTGCCCGCCAAGTTTCTGACCCGTATAGAAGAACTGACTGACTTGACGTTGTTTGTATTGAAAATCCGACCGAATTTTGTTGTTGATGCTGAGTTGAGTGACGAATATTTCCAGATTGCTTTCAGGTTGATGAGTGAATGTGTCTCTCGCTCGCCTTCCCGATTCTCGCTTGATTCGACATCCTCGTCAGTTCCGACTTCCTGTAGTTGATACAATGCTCCCTAGATGATAAGTGAATGAAGTAACCTCTTTCAAATCCCTCCCGTTGATGGTGATTGGGGCCGAATATTGTTGCTTCTGTTGTTGATGGTTGGTTGGTTATTTTCATAACCTCCGTCTTGTCTATGTTCACTTGGAGTCCTGTCTTCTCAGGCTGGTTCTTCGACCAGTTTTTCGGTTTTCGCTTGTAAGTCTTCGATTTTGTGTGACATCAAACATAAATCATCCACACGCAAAATCCAGGTCTTCTAGGTTCTTCACGTCGGTTCAGGATATTCCTGTCTTCTCGTTTCCCACTATCTGTAGGTTATACTGCTTGATAGTCTGGTCAGATAATATCTTCTAACAAGTAACTGTATTTCGTATATAAAATCTCACTGAAATAACGTCATTAATTCCTACCTTATGTATCATTTGTCTTGTACAGTCAATAAACTGTTATCTATGTACAAAGATAATTTAAATGCGTAGGATATTTAAAAAAAATTAAATAAACGTCCATAAGTGGTTTGACAATGGAATTCTTGAATATCCTGTATGATATCTAGGTTTGATTACCAGAGGACACACTCCAGGGACTGATATTTTTCCACATCATATCTCATTTGTCTATCAGTTGGATTACAACAAATCACATGTAAGAGGTTCAGTCACGAGTTGACATCAGTTAGAGAACCATTGGAAAATCATCTGGGAGTAATAGACAGCTCTTATGTCTTATTTTGGGACTCCTCATCAGTGCATACTGGGATTCAAACGCAGGACGTCCCAGCTACGAGGCGAACTGCTAGACCATCCACCCAGTGGGACCCGATTCAGTCGTCCATAAATTCTAACTTCTACCAATTCGTGATTAACATATATATACTTAACGCAATCGCCTGTCACTCTCACAGGCGAGTAATTGTCCTCAATTCCAAATGCTGGATTCCTTTGGTTACGACTTCTCACTAGAACTTCACATAACTTCCTGTATAGAGCCAGTTAGCAATGAGCATCATAGTAATTATCTAGTGTTG